CTTCGTGTCTATTGCAATTCCATAGTGCCCTAGGCCTCATAATGGCTGCATTCCTTTTACCTATTTTTAGCTTATTTTCTTCCTGTTCTTGTTGTTTTCCCTCATTCAACCATACTGCCAGATATTTATACCTCTCTACGTCTCGTTAAAACATCTCGAATTTTCAGGGGTCCCCCTTCTCATCGTTACAAACCATTATTCCCGACTTGTCGCTTCTGAATTTCAGGCCCAGAGAGTCTTTCCTCTTCACAGATCTTAATCAGCTCCTGTAACCTATCCCGGCTATCTGCTACCAGCACAATGTCGTCTGCGCAGAACATTCCTGGTATAACTTGGTTTACTTTTCCCCCTCTCTTCATATATGACACATCAGCACCTAAATTGCTCTCTTCTCATTTATTCTCCATCCTACTCAAGTATATCATAAAAAAAACTTTCAGCCTTTCCACTCTGGTGAAGAAGGAAGACCAGCGAAGCTGTCCTATGGTGGAATGAAGTAACGGCCGGCCGCAATTCGGCAAGCCAGAGTGGAAAGACTGGACAGCTACCGCCATCTGTGAGCGACTGTGGAAATCAGACAACCGGCAGATGGCGGTAACTGTCCAGGGTTTCGTGTCATCATCTGTTTGCTGGCGGACACGATACTGGGGTAACTAGCCCTTAACAGCGCCGCTGTAAAAGCAGAGGTGATGACACTGCCTGAGTCCTCTTCTTATTTCTGTTGATTCTGGGGGTTTCTGCTCCCATGTTATAACAACCTTATTATTTGCGTATACCTGTTCTAAAAGCAATAAAATATGCATCTATATCATACTCTCTCAACTGTACCCAGTTTTTCCTGACTCATATTGTCGTACACCCCTTTTATGTGTAGAAATGCTATCGGTAACGGCTTTTACTCACCCGTGCCACCTCTATAGATTGAGTGATGATGAATAAGTTATCATCTAATCTTCTATTTCTTCGGACCCCATTTTAGCTCACCCATAATGCTTTCTGCCCATACTTCCGTTCTTCTTTTTACTACCTGTATCGCTAATCTGTACAGGACAGAAGTTACTGTTATTGGGCGGTATGATGTTATGCTATCCCCTTTTCCCTTACCTTAATATAGTAATCTCATTCTGCTTAGTCTCCAATCATTGGGTACCTCTCCCCCATTATTATTTGATTAGTTGCCTGTCTCCACTTTAGTTTGCTTTTGGTTCCTAGTGTCTTGACTAGCCCCATTTCTATGCCATATGGACTTGTCGCCGTTCCAGCCGGCACTTTACTTTCTGCTCTGTCCCATTTCCCCGTGGTCGTCTCAGTTGTGTTCTCGTTAGTGTTCTCACCTCGTGCCGTGTTGCTGGCTGTGTTCTGTCCAATCTCGTTCGGTTCAAGTTCTGCGAATGTTGCCTCGATTGTTCGCCTAATAAATTCCCTCGCATCCTCGCCCTCTACAGTTATCCCCTCTTGTGTGGTCAGTGAACAATGAAACCCTTCTGTTTTTCTCCACTGTGCGTTAATGTGCTCCCAGGAGCTCTTGGCTGCATTCCTATCATTTTCGATTTACCCCCATCATCCACTGCACTCCAGCTGTACCAATCTTTGCCTGGATTAGAGCAGATGCCTCTCTTTTTCTTTTCCTGAAATGGGTTCCATTCGATACAACCTGAGCGGGTGTGTCCCCTCTTCGCCCATCTGTGTTACCTCAAGGCCTCTTGTCGCCCTGCTATATGACCGCCTTACGTTCACTGTCCCACCAGCTTTTTGGTGTGTGTTTTTTCTCCTTCTTCCTCTTTGTTTGATTCTAAACTTCTCTAACACTCTTTTAAAAGTGTTTATTAAATCGTCATTCGTCCATTCTCTCTCCGGTTGTCTGGATACTGCAGTCTCTATCGGTTCTGTGACTTCTTGTAGTTGGTAGCATCGTTTAAAGGAGCTGTGCAACAATTTTAGGGCTTTGCTTAAATAATTGTGGAAGTTGATGCAGTGAACTTCTGCAGTGAACTACAGAAAACAGATTTTGCCTGGATACCCTAGTTTTTACTTAAAAAAATGAAAAAGATCCAGGTTTTTGCCGCCTCTCAACTCGTGCATCGTCTTCCGGGTCACGTGCACAGTGACGTCACTAGAGTAGGCGCGGAGTTCCGGAAAAGTTCTCTCTTTAGAGCCATCAGCGAGCAGCGAGAACTCATCCGCTGCCGACTGCGTGACCACCCGTCCTTGCCCGTCCGGCGCTGTTCCCCTCCCCCTCCGGCTTCTGGCGGCTGTTCGCGGTTTTGTGGACCTAGGATAGATGGCGCCACTAAAACTCCGTATAATAAAAGTTGTCGATGATACCAGGGTGTTGACGCATTTATATATACGTTGGAACGACAAGATTTGTAAAAAGAGTTACCTTTTATCGAGCAGGTATTCGCACAACTTGCTATCTTTCTTACAACGACCCAAGTGACGTCACGCCGCTTGTTTCTCATGGCCGCCGCTCGTGGCTGCAGGTCGGGAAATATCCCAAGTTTTGCCTCGCTATTACGCGGCGGAAACGCAACATTGCGATGAAAGGAGGTGTGTTTTCTGCCATTTGTGACACAGTTAACAATATCAAAAGCAGAAAATGCCAATTCTTTCAACGTTAAAATCGTTGCACAGCTCCTTTAAGGTCGATATACCTTCTTTTTTAAGAATTTGTTTCTCTGACATGGATGAAGAAAGAATAAAACAATTAAAACAGGGACAACACAACCACATCTTTCAACTAGAAACAGACGAGTAAACTTTCAACAGCGAGCAGCCGACTATACCCAGTAGGAGTAGGGGAGAAGAGGGGGAGAGAAGGAAAGATAAGACACGCGATGTGCAAGTCAGGGTAGTAGGGTTATCTCGGATTTTAAAAATTGAACCTCAGTTTTCGCCAGCAGGAGGGCAGGGTTTGACACGATGCTTTTTGCTGTGGTCATGGCAAATGATTCTATGATTTCCCTGCCGAATCTGCTGTCATGCCCCCCCCCCCCCCCCCCCCCAGGATTTTTGTGTCATCAAAGAGGGGATGACAACGCAAACACGAACGGGCATGTATGACTATGGGATGATAAAAATCTGGAGAGGCCTTAGAAACTTCGTTGTGATGTTGTGATGTGATGTCCGTCGTTCCCAATCCGTCTTCTTTTGCTGCCTACTACGACCAGGTACAAATTGGGTTATGGGGATATTTATACAGCGTGTAGTTGGTCAGCCATTAAAGTTGCGACGAGTCACACGCTGTAGATGAGCAATTTAGCCAGTGCAGTATACAGCCGCTAGCCTGGGGTCTTTACCGTGCACCACGCAGTAGTGATACACGACCGCACGCCGGTACGATCCTCATCCAGATTGGACCAGGTGCTCGGTTCAAGGCGCGCTCCGCAGACCTGCACCGGGATTCCGTCCCGTGACGTGGCCTCCCTCTCGCCTCTGACTCTCCTCCTCTCTACGCGGAGAGCTTCCCTTTCCACTGGTTTGTCCGCAGACGTCAGCTTTTCCCTGTCACGTGGGCACTAATGCTAACGCAGTAATACATTGAGACCCTCAACTCTGATCGCTGTCATCGACTCAGTGTTTCTGCACCAAACGAATGACGGCCTCTGGAGGCTGATGAATTAACAAGTTACCATCGAGCGGACGTAAATGACCCATAGGCGTTTGAGACGCCACTCCAATACGACGCACAAATTAGTTGCTACGGCTGCGTCAGCCTTTATTTCCGAGTGTGGTCTAATTCCATTGTCGGCACAAGGAGTGTTCCAAAGCCTTTTTCTGGCGGAAATTTCATGGAGACGCCTGTGGGTCGCTGCTTTGCGCTGGCCACTTCTTCTGCTCGAGCCATCGAAACCGAATTAGTGACGCTGCCCGATTAGATAGTCTCACGACCGCCTTTAGTTGATCTAAAGCCATACTGCTTTTGAAACTGCTAGATAACACTGATTTTTTTTTTTTTTTTTTTTTAAAGGGCTTTTTGAGTATCTAGCACTAGATCCTGCAGCGGACGTCGGTACTCGCATCGAGCAAGCTTTTGGATTTGCGGTGGAAACCAGATTTAGGATGTGCACGAAGCGGAGGCTTGAGGCGGTCCACCTGTGAAACTCGTGGAGTGTCTATACTCCGTTTTCCTTTCACTTATACCGTGTTATTTGTCCTTTTTTTTTTTTTGCGTGTTTATTTTATAGACGCTCGTTACAGAGAGCAAACGCCGTTATGCGTGCATCGCAAACACTGGATCGTCCCTTGCTCGATCTGTCTGATGGACTGCGATGGATTCTATGGCGCGGCAGCGAGCGAGGACCTCCATTTGGCTCTCTCAGTCTGTTCTATGCTACGAAATCGATCGTTTTGACTCATCGATTGTAGCGATGGCTGAGTGCTGGGGCTGCTTTTCAGCTTGATTATGGCGTCAGGTAGCTCGGGCGAGAAGAGTTTTGCTCTGCCGCGGCCTGCTCGAACATTTCTGCAGGGCGGAAAACCGCTTCCTGCGCTTTCATATAAAACAGCGACGATTCCAAGCAGACTGGAGTGTCGGAAACCGGGCAGTTTAGTGCTTCTGCTCCAGTCATAGCCGCTTATTATTCGGAGCGAGCTGGCCACCGCATTCGTGTAAACAGTGGGCAGTGGGCACCGCAGCGAATGAAGCCGCTGTCACGCTGCTAAGGCAAAAGACACTGTCTTCTATGGCATTGGTCATACAAAAGGTATACGTCCGTGCGTATGAAGCGCTTCGAGGATGCTCGAGGCCGCAGATTGTGTTTTATACTACGTACGAGCAGTGTGATTCGCTCTCTATTATTGTGCCTGCGCGAACGCCTACACGTTCCAATAAAAAATCAGTCAGCGCTTGTCTAGTCGTTCCTTTATGTCCCCTTTTCGCGCAGTTCTTCGCGATCAACTCGTACCAACTAGCCCAAAGGTTCCATTCTAACACGTTGTATTCTTGTCGTGAGTTGGCATCGGTTTTTGAGGAAGCTCACCCTTTTCTTGGCACGCAGCTGGTGTTCGAGGACGTGCTGGCGGAGCCCGACGCGAGCCACGGCTTCGACGGCGCCTGGAAGCTGACGTACCTGGTTTTCTCGACCACGCGGCTCTGGTGCTACCGGCTGCTGTCGGCGCTGCTGGCCCTGCCGTGCGGCTTCACCTGGGGGCTGCTCTTCTCCATCCTCTCGCTGCTCCACGTCTGGCTCTTCACGCCCCTGCTCCGCATCTTCGACGTGCTCCTGCACGTGCTCCACAGGGCGAGTCTTCCCCTGAAACCTCATTACTGCCCATGGTTTCCGCAACGAGGACCCCCTTTAAAAGGGGCACTGAAGACATTTTTGACAAAAAGTCGCGTTCCCTCTTATATTGTTTAAAAATGTGTTACTTCGAAAAATATACCGAGTCCTATACTACAAAACCGCCTATTAATCTCAAGGCAATAGAAAACCGTGTGGACTCTTTTTCTCGCAGACTACATTGTGTGGCCCGAATGATTTTATTATAACTTGTTTCGAAGAGAGCCTGATAGGTACACATTCGGATAGGACTCCCCTTTTATTCTCCGCTGGCGAAGCCATCGCTTGCAACTCGCTGACAAGCGCCCTTCCTTGACAACTTCCTTCCCGAAAAGGGCGTGTCGCGATCTTTGAACACGCTTTTAACGAGGAAATAAGCTACGCACGACTGTGGTTTCGGGTTTGTTGGGATGCTTAGAGCATCTAGATATTGTCACCACACAAGGACGATCTCAAAATCGACTTCAGTGCCCCTTTAGGGATTCCCTCGGATAGTTCACACCTGCTGCAATATTTCGCAGCATACTTTGGAAAACGGCTGCTTTACCAGCGCACAAGTAAGCTTGTGTCATATAGAAATTATTATAATATATTCTCTCATTTATAAAATAGGTCTAGTCTCGTCATAATGAACGAGCTTGAAACTCAAATCCTTTTACGTTCCTCGGCTGTAGATAGCCCGCACCGCCTCAACTTCTAAACATATCCTCGAAACAGGGCATTCTGTCTGCCAAGTGTAGTCTTATTGTTGACCCCCCCAGTGAATGGTCCAGTGCACTTTATAGTTTTCCCGACGATTTTTTTTAATCAAATGTCTCGTAAAAGTTATGACTCTGGCTCTCAACGGCACGTGTGTGCACAAACGTCGCCAAGGTCGTCTACCATTTCATTACAACTTTGTCGGTCCACACTCTAAGATATCCCTAAAAAATGTCAACGGAGCTCTTTATTTCTTTATTTGAAATACCGCGGACCTTTCGGTCTACACAGGAGGGGAAAAATACAGCACACACACAAACCAATGATGCACTCACCGCGTGAAGTGAGCGCAGGTAGATTGTATCTACCCACGCGTGCTCAAGATATACATCTCCTCATTCGAAACTTAACTAAACAATTCATTCGGCTGTGCTCTAAATAATTCAGGATTACAACAATTCACAACTCGCTCTGGCAGAATGTTCCACTTAAAGGGAAGCTACGGAGGTTATTGAAAAAAAAAAGAGTTAGAAGTGAATTCTAGTCTATTATTAACCCCGTGAACCCGAATACCCAAAACATTTGCTGCGCAAACATTGTTAAACTCGAGAGAACGCGAAAGACAGTCGCTGTACGTGACTTCATCGACGGATCTTTTGGCTGACCAAGGCTAGGGAGGCGGGGTTTTAGCCCTATTTTGAAACTGCTCTTATGGCTCTCCGGCGCGTCGCATTGAAATATAATTGTAATATCTGCCATTCTAAAGGCCAAATGAACGCAATTCAAGTGTTTTTTCTCAATTGCAGAAGTGCCCCATCTTCCCTTTAACCATAGACTGGCAAAAAAAGAACAAAGAGTACAGTCAAACCCGTTTGTAACGAACAGCAGGAAACGCTACGATCAGTTCGATATAGCGAGTAGTTTGATATAGCAAAAACCATTTACAACAAACTTCCACGATGCGTCGAGAGCTTCTCTTTCTTTTGTAACAACTCGCTGGAAATTTTTTCTTTGTTGCATGCGTGCATATTTTTCTTTTCGCTTATCTCCCCGACTGAATCGCTTCTCTTCGTGGGCAACCACTTTGGGATGAAAAGATTTTTTTCTGTGCGTGCGTGTACAGTGTTTTCTCTAGCTTTCTCCCCTTTTGAATCGCTTCTCTTCACCCAATTTTGTTTACGGCTTGAAGTTTTGGAATTTTCTTTCTTTCCTACCTTTTTTTGGGGGGGGGGGGGGGAGGAACAGGCTGGAAGACGATTATTTGCACGTTTTTGGAAGCCTTCCCGGGGGAAAAAGTTCGATATAGCCAATGTGTTGTTCGTTATAAAAAGTAGTTTTAGAGCGCAGCTCTTAGGCGCCCGTTTCCGGCTTGAGCGGCGTCGGCGACGCCGTAACCGCGCGGTGCATTATGGGACATTTCCCATGATGCACCGCGCGGGGAGTCCCCTTCCCCTCCTCCTCCCCGCGCGGTGCATCATGGGAAATGCTCCATAATGCACCGCGCGGGGAGGAGGACGGAAAGGGTAAGGGAAGAGAGGGAAACGGGAGGAGGAAAGGGGAGGTGAAGTAGGAGGAGGAGGGGAGCAGGAGGACGAGGGGGAGAAGGAGGAGGAAGAGGAGGGAGGAGTGGCAGGCAGGATGACGAGGTGAGGAGGAGGGGCGAGGGGTATGCCCTCCCCTCAGTACCTTCCCCTCCTCCTCCTCAAGAGCTGCGCTCTAATTCGGCGTTACAGGGAGTTGTCAACGGCTTTCACTTTTTTTTTACGTGCATTTTTATTTAAATTTTCCGTGAGTTTGATATCGACGATAATTCGCTGTACGTGGGTTCGTTCTACACGGGTTTCACTGTACTTAAAAGCCGACGACCAGACCCGAAACCCTGCTAGGAAAAAATGATCCTCCTCACCATAGGGGAGAAGGAAACCGGCGACGGTGGAGAGCGTAGAAGGGGGAGGGGGGGGGGGGGGAGGAAGAAGCAAGAAGCGGGCCAAAAGTGGAAAGCGCGAACTGGTCGTCGGTCTTTAGAGCTATTTCTGTATACTGGTAGGGTGAAATCGCTTTAGTATTGCTGGTCCTTTTGTAGCGTGATCTTCGTCAAGCCATTGGCCACAACGTATGATTCTTTTCATCTACAAACTTCTTTTCTCTAAATAGTCAAGCCGCGCTTCATTTCTCATTGCAGTAACTGATTCAGTGCGCCTGTACTAAGAAAAAACAAACCGAAGTCACGACTGTCCACATAGTACCCCGCAAAAAATCGCCAGAGTTGTCCGCAGGTCATTACGAGCGCGGTTGTCGCCTGGCAATGACATCTTCCAGAAGTGAATAAAGTCATCTGTCAATAGGGACAACCGAAGAGAATTCGAATAGACCACCAGAGCCAGCTTGAGTAGGCTAGCGCTGGCGCAAAGCATCGAGGGCTCTTTCTGCATGTGCGACAACCTCGCTGGAGCTCTATGCGTGTAGAGCCTCTCGTGCACTGCCGTCTGCCTCCTGTTAAGTTGTGGCGGTGTAACACATGCGCCGACCGCTTAGGGATATCGGTCTATGGCCATAACTTACGAGAGTTTTAAGGATTGGGGAGGGGTGAGGGAAAATATTCTAGGGTTTGAACCCTCGAGTCAGTCCTTTCCGGGCATTCACATTGCATAGACAGAGCGTGCCTCTAAACGGGAGGCCCGCTCGTCTTTGCCGGCAGCCTTTTAGACGAACCAAGGATTCCTCGTCCCCTTTCTGCAGAAGGAGGAGAAACCCGACGGACACCTGGATAATCACAAGTATCGCGCGCGTCCTTATTAATTGGCTGGGTGACGCAAGTCACTGCTCTATTCAAGAAAAACAGCCGTCATGCATGCATCCATCCATCCTTAAAATAAATTAACGCAGGTTACGCGGCGCTAGTTGCCGCCCGATTCGGAGGGTGCAGCGATGCAGACGCATCCTTCCATCTACCCATCCGTAGGTGGCTTCACGTTTTGATCTGACGATTACCTTCTTTTTTTTTTTTAAATTTCTGATGGCAGGTGTGGGGAGGCCTGGTTCGGACCCTGCTGGACCCGGTGTTCCAGTCCATCGGGAGAGTTGCCGGCGATGTCCGCGTCACCCGGACCCAAGTCTACCCCAAGAACGACTTTGCCAGCGACCCCTGAGGGTTCCCGCCTCGGCGAGAGAGGGGCACCCCGACCATCTCTCTCCCGCTGCCTTCCCATTCTTCCTCGAGGTGCGCCGACGTTATTTCGGCCTTGTATTACTTCTGCGTTGGGATGCTACTGCCACGGCCGCCGTATCACACTCTTCCAAGTCCAGCAGCTCTAAGCAGGGCTCTGTTTGGATTTTTACTTTGTACCGAAGAGAGTATCTTCTTTTTAAGTCGTATGGTTTGCAGAGACATATGTGCATATATACTTCAGCATCTATTATTATTATTATTATTATGATTATGATTATTCACGTTTCAAATTAGTTCAAGAGATGCAGCGCCAAAATAGTTAAGATCATGCGTTCTTGTTTTTTTTTTTATTTTCATTCTTGTTATTAATATTTTTTTATTTTCATTCTTGCATAAAGTTTGGCAGCTTTTAGTGTTTTTTTTACGTTTTGCTTTATGTATTTTGCGAGTGGTTTTAAAACAAACTGTCGCTATGGAGGTTGTTTCCGATAGCCACCGACTTGTCACTGCCCGCTAAAGACCAATGAAAACAGCTATTTCTGCTCAAAAGTTGAGGAGATACCACTGAAACAGATCAAAACGCCTGTGCCTTATCTTCGAGAATATGATTGACGAAAATAATTACATATTTTAATAGTTTTAACTGTTTCGCTATAGCCCTCATATGTGTTGTACGTGTGTCTATGTAATATTGTGTGCTCTTTGCGAAGTTGTATTAACATCATGCTCATTTTTGTTTTGTATTCACTCGTAAACCGAGTGTCTCGTTTTTGTACAACTCTTTACTCGATCCGCTCATTGCCAGTTAATATTTGGCGGAACATTTTCGGTCGATATGTGCATCTGTGTGAACACTCAATGATACTCGTCTCACCTCCGAAGGAAAAGACATCAGTTGGAGCAGTGTGTCCTCTGTTGACGTGGGTCCGCCCGCGCAACATTGGGAGCAGCTCGTTCTAAAGCTGCCTTTTGTAACCATGCTTTGATGTGCAAAGTATTAAAATCATTTTTATCCAGTGTGCACCTTCGTGTGTCTTTTTGTAAAGCGAAACGCGTGACTGAGCCAACGGTCCTTGGCCGATGTGCGTCAAAAGGTATGTGCTGTGCTCGAAACATGCGTTAGTCTTAGAGCCTTCTGGTGGGATATAAATTGAAACAGACGAGCGCTATTGATCATGAAAACAGACGAGCCCCAGACTCGGCAAACACAAATGCCGAAAGGAGCGCGACGATTGGGCGACAAAAGTGCGGCGTCATCGTTGCGAGTCCACTCGGCGGGCTCCGTAGACTTCGGCCCTGTGTTTGAAGAGTCGAGGGAACACCACCTAGACGGGGAGGGCCTCCGCACCCGTTACCAGAGTCAGGTCGATCGCGGCGTGAGGTTGGGCACGAGTGCTGTGTCAGTGTTCGGCTGGGGCTCGTGTCCAATCAGCGCGTCGAAGGTAGGGCCGAATAGCCGAGTTATTTGGTAACAGTCCCTTGGTAAGAGCAGGCCAACTATCGAAGGCGACCCTCTTCGGGTCGTCCGATATACGTTCTTAATGGCAAAGCCCTGGCGGCTGATGGTGCGGTCGCCCACTTCGGTGAAGGCAGCGGCTCCAGGAGGTGGCCCAGTTGAGGTAGAGGGCTGCCACGCCCGATGCATTCACGTCCATGGCCAGAACCTAGCGCCGCGGTCACCCGGCAGAGCTTCTTGTCATCGTCTTGTCGGTCGGTGCATGGAGCCCCAGGAGCATGATGGCGCTATTGCTCACTGGGGTCACTGGGGTCGAAGCATCAGGCTCCAAGGAGAGAGAGAGAGAGAAAACTTTTATTTTCGCTCCGAGTCCGGAGCTCCGCTCCAAGGAGGTTGCCCAGTCAAAGTACAGGGTGTCGAAGAAGAAAATTTACACGGTCTTTTTTTTACCGCAAAAATAAACTAGGTATCGCCGAACGCTCATTCTTCGCCCGAAGGTAGAGCTAGAGCTCACAACCAGATGCCAAAGTTTCAGCCCGGTCCCATAACTTAATCAAAAGTTATAGGTGATTTTCTGAAAATTTCAATGGGAAGATGGAGCCCATTTTTGCCCGTTTTCGGTTTCTGGTGCCATAGAGCCCCATGTGTTTGAAAACTCCGTCGGCCGCCTGTGTTTGAGACTTTGTGTTGTGTTGTCCTCCCCCCCCCCCCAGTCTCGGAGTTTTGTTAAACCTCCACCAGCATGTTTGCGCACTAACTTTTTGCCATTTTCCCACTGAAATTTTCAGAAAATCACTTATAACTTTCGATTAAGTTATCGGATCGGGCTGAAACTGTGGCATCTGGTTGTGACCTCTAGCGCTACCTTTGGGCGGAGAATGAGCGTTCGGCGATGCCTAGTTTATTTTTCCGGTAAAAATAAACATGGTGGAAAAAACCCGCAGTCTCGGGGTTTTTTCAACCATGTCCCTTTCATCACCTGACCTCATTCTCTGCGCGTGGGTATGCGCGAGAGAGCGTGATCACGTGGCAAAAGTGTGGCTGGCCCAAAGAGCACGTGACTTCCACAGCACTGCCAGGTTTGGGGTGAACGGGGTGGGGAAAGCAGCTTTTGCCTGAATTTTGAGCGACGGGCTAATCTTCTGGGGGGGAAATGGCTGTGTCCGGTTACACAAACGAGAGTCCGAGCAAAAGGGGACTCCCCCTTTCCATCTTCTTGAACTGTTTGCTAGAATGCGCGATTTATGAGTTAAAGGGCCCATGAAACGAATTTTGGGCTGGAATAAATCAATTTATATTGACTCCAAACTGTGACCTTCTACCAGGGAGCTGTATAGAGTCACTCGAACTCATGTTATAATGCCCATTGTAGAGTTGATAAAAAAATTTTCACCTTCCAATTTTCCTTCGCTGACCCAAGGTTGGCAGCCTCGCTTTTTTTAATAGTTCTGTTACCGATTCCGTGCGGCGATACTCTGAATAAACAAATCTTACTGCCCGCCGCTGGATACGCTCAAGTTGTTCTATTTGATATTTGACATATGGAGAAATTGTGACTCCTAAGTATTTAAAAGTTTCAGATTGTTTCAAAAGTGCACCATTATAGGAATACGGAAATATATCAGGCGACCTCTTTTTTTTTTGTGATTGTTACAAAAGTTGTCTTCAAAATTTATCTTCATATCCCATTTGTGACACCACTTGTGCATATTCATTAACGAGTCATTTAATAGCATTTGGTCCCTTTGTGAATTAACTTTTATGTACATTAGACAATCGTCTGCAAAAAGGCGGACTTCAACAGATGGATGAATTTCATTTGCAGTCATTTACATACGCAAGAAACAAAATTGGCCCCAAACCGAGCCCTGAGGCACACCGGAAGTTACTGGCAGTAGCGTGGAAGTTTCCCCCGCGATCTCAACAAATTGAAATCTGTTTGACAAGTAAGATTTGATCCAAGAAATAATAGGAGTACTTGCCCCTAAATCCAACCATTTTTTTATCAGCTTCGAGTGCGTGAGTCTGTCAAATGCTTTTGACAGATCAAGACATCACATGTACTTGACCACGCTCATTTAAAACATGCGAAATAATGAGTTGCTCCAAATAACTGGGTGACAGTTGATAACTTCCTTCTAAAACCATGTTATCTTTCGCAAAAAAGGCCATTCTGTTCGGTGAACTCTGTGAGATGTTTACAAATAATATGTTCGAGGAGTTTGCAGGCAGTAGAAGTAAGAGATATCGGCCGATAATTTCTAACATCAAGTCGACTCCCGGATTCATGAATAGGGACTACTCGCACAAGTAACGAGTCCTTAAATAGCCCCGTCTGACTCAATGATGCTTGAAAAATAAGTACTAAAAACTCAGTAACTCTTAGACAGTTACGCCCCAAAAATTCATTTGGAATGTTATCTGGACCCGGTGCTTTTTTACATCAATATTCAGTAGCATCGAAAGAAAGGGTTTATCTCAAAACGTCCCATTCGCATTTGAACCTTGCACATTTCATCCCATTCTCATTTGGCCCTTCTTGTTTGAACCTTCTCATAAGATCCGAATCGTGTTTTTCGCAACTGGGCCCATTCTCATTTTGCCCGTTATCTCAAAACGTCCCTTTCGCATTTTGACCGTGCGCATTTCGTCTCATTCTCATTTGGTCCGCCTTGTTTGAACCTTCTCATAAGATCCAAATTGTATTTTTCGCAACTGGACCCATTCTAATTTCGCCCGTTCGCGCTACGACCGAATGGCACTAGTTCGCCATGCTTCTAACGTCGTTATGCCTTCGCGGTTTTGTTGGTGAGCCTTACTTTACTCGGGCCCACATACCATCAGATATATATGTTATCTGTAGAGGTTCGCACTAAAAATCGTACAATGACGCCTGCTTCCCTTCCTCTAAGCAAACAAGAAAACAAAAACCGATGAGCATTTAATTTGGAAACTTTGTTTCAACAGAAATAGCATACATAAGAGCAGTAATTCTCAACCATTGATGTTTCGCGGACCCCTTGTAGAAAGGCGGAGATGATGGAGGACCCCCTTCGGGGTGCGTGGAATAGAAAGGTATATGTTATCATGATAATGATTTCATAAATGAATATAACTAATTGCTAGTGTGAAGTAGACTTATCTCATTGACATACACACGAGAGTACTCACCCGAAAATTGGAAAGTTTTTTCTCAACGTGAAGAAAGACAACTAATATTTCCGTGCTTGACTGTTGAGACAGGTCTTCGCGGACCCCTAGGATGCCTTCGCAGACCCCCATTTGAGAGCCACTGCATAATAGAAGTAATGGCATTCTGCCAAGTCGAAAGGCCTCAAGCAACGTGACATTTGGGAATATGATCTGGCTACGATAAATAGTCGGTCTGTTTTATTGTCAGCTATTAGCTTTTCACGACGACCTCGACGCACTGCTAAAATCCTTAGCAGAGAGAGTATGCCTGTAGCTTGGCACACACACACACACATACACACACGCACAAAATATATGAATGTATTTATTATTATTACCCTAAAAACGATTTTGGTATAAAAAGAGTCAAGTGCGACGGGTCAAAGCGAGATATTTTTGAGAATGGCTGTTTTGAAAAGGGCCGGGGGTGAAGGGCAAAGCGAGAACGGGCCCAAATGAGGAGAGTTGGAATGCGAAAGACGAAACGGGAAAAGGCCAAATGCGACGGTCCAAAACGAGATCTTTTTGAGAATGGTTGTTTTGAGAAGGGCCAAGTAAGAAGGGCGAAATGAGAACGGACCCAAATGAGGAGGGTTGAAATGCGAAGGACGAAACAGGAAAGGGCCAAATGCGACAGGTCCAAGAGAGAAGGGCTTTTTGAGAATGGTTGTTTTGAGAAGGGCCAAGTGAGAAGTGCGAAACGAGAACGGGCTCAAATGATAACCACCCAGAAAGAATACCCTCATACTAGAGCACAATCTCTGTTTCAGGCAGACCAGTAATATTAGTTATGACACTTTCACGATCATTATCTTCGGTAAAAACAGAATGAAAAAACCTATTAAATTCAGTCGCCACAATTGCTGGATTGCTGCATACTTTTCCATCCTTTATGATTTCGTTAACTCTATGTTCCTTACATGACAGGTACTGCCACAATCTGCGTGGCGAATCCCTTAAAGGGGCCCTGCAATGACTTTTTGACTGGTGTTTAATTTGCACTGATCCTGAGCGTACTGAACGTAGTAACTTAATCCAACTTTTCTTTTCTCAAATTTCGCTTTATTTTAAAAGTTATAGGCAAATTAGAATTACAAGAACAAGCAAAAAATAACCTCCTTCATGACGTCTTAGGTCCTGCCTTGAGTGGCCTTGAACTAGAGGAGGAGTAGTGAGCTCATCGAGCGCACACGGCTGCCGCACTCCGTGTCGACGGCTCGAGAGGGCGCCACTAAAGCACGTGTTGGATAGGCTGTATGAAGCGGGCGGCCAGGGCAGCTCGTATTGCATTTGCAGCGCGACTAAACACTAATTCGGCATAACATTTCATTGGCCACAAACGACAGCAAACACGGGGTAAAGATCAGTTCAGAACGGGAGCCACTTCGCGCTGACGCACCGCCAAATGGCCAAATCGCCAGCAGGGCCCGCGCCGAAGGCCTTTGGAACGCTCGGAACCGGTCGGATAGCTCCGCCGCGTACATCCGGGACCTTTCTACGCTCCTCGTTTGTCGTAGCCTCATCCCACTAGCCTTTTCTAGTATGCGCCGTTTTTTTCCGCCGCTTGGTGGCGGGCATTGAGATCAGTGGTGGCGGGTATGTCGACGGGTCATTCCTCGTTTCCGTACTTTCTAAGCTGCATTTGTTTCTTTTCTGATGTAAAATAGTGAACAAAAACTACTTTCATACATAATTGAAACGGTTCGCGACACTTATATTTTGTATCTCGACTAAAAAAAAGCTCTTAGCGGCTTTGACCAGTGGCAAGCCCAGGACCAAAGACGTCACATTTTGCGCGTTTTCGGTACCGCGAGTCGCCCTCGTCGGTGGAGGAGGTTTCCGCGTCGTTCAGTTAAAATATGACGCACTGATATTTAGTTACTCTCTCCGTGCCCGCTGGCTTGCCCCAACCCCAAGAGACGTGGAAACCGCAAAAACGATAGACGCTTAAATATGATTGCAGGGCCCCTTTAAGTAATCGGTCAAGGTAGTTGAAAGGTAGTAGAGTAGACAGTTGGGCGAGTTGGTAGATATTGAACATAGTTACAGTTGCGCACACAAGGACAAGGGCAGAGAAGAGGAACACGTAGACGACAGACAAGCGCACACTCACAACTCATGTATTAACGAAAGAGGAAAAGAAAGGGGTACAGAACAGTGTTGCGGAGTTGCCACTCCGGAGTTGGAATGATTCCCCGGAATCATTCCGCATTTTCGCGACGCCGGAATGGAATGGCGGCAAAGTTTAGGGGGAATCGAATGGGAATGGAATTAGATGTCTTTTGCCTGGAATGGAATGGGAATGGAATGGGCCAGGCCCTTTATATTTTATTTATTTATTTATTTATTTTTTACGTTCAGCTATACCGAGCCAGTCAGGGAGTTGGTTGTTCAGAAACAAAATGGGCGGGAAACAGCGAACCCGCGTATGGCCCTAGCAGACTTATGCGCGAAAGAAAAAAATGCAATACAAAAAAACAAGCGTCAAAGCAACGAACAGAGGGGGGAGGGGGGGGGGGGGGGGGCGGCGGTGGCGCCTTTCACCAGTGAAGTACCCAGGAAGGAGGCCAGACGTGGCCTCGCTGTGCGGACCCAGACATCGTACACTTTCGACTCGTCTCGAGCGCGCTGCTTCTCGAAGAGCTCGCACCTGTGCCGGCCATCTCAGGTAGCAATCCACGAGGTCCCTGTTTGAATGATGCTAGGCGAAACTTGAAGACTGCCATTCATGCGTTGGAGGCGGAGAGTCGGCAGGAAGGATCGTCACAACAGGGATGCCACCGTATCGATTTTTCAACCGTAACAGAAGATAATACATGCGCTTCAGGATGCTTCAGGTGGTCCACTTTTCACGAAAATTTCAAATGCAACTGCCTGCATGGTCTTCAACGAGGTCAGCTACAACGAAAGTATGTATTGTCCTTTCATACAGCAGCGTGGGTAAAGTTTCATGTTCAAGGCAACACCTACAGGGTTGCCAGGTGTTTGAACTCCAACCCGCCAAACGTCTACGAGATATAGCCCAAAAATAGCCAAATGTCGATCCAGAAAAATAGCCCAAAAATAGCCCCCAAAAAACTTATCATTTGAAACGGTTATTTTGAGCAGAAAAGACATAATACATTTTTATCCATCAAATGCCCCAGAAATGGCGTCCCTTGCACGTTCGGCGAACTTCCTGAAACGCTCGCACAAGCGCATGACCACATACCTTCCACTGTATTGTCTCATGGCGCCGCCATCTTTCTCAGTGGGGTGCGCTCTTGGGCGCGGCCATAATCCGATTACGACGCTCTAGCAAGGCTTCGTAATCGGGTTATGGCTCGTCCAAGCGCACCCCAGCCAAGCAAGATGGCAGCGCCCTGAAGCCGTACTTGCAAACGTCTATAGGGGCATGGTGACCAGAATGACGTCACGGGAGAACTATGCAGAATTCAGACAACCTAAAGAATGCGCAGAACAGGTGCTGTTAAAGCTGCAAGGAATCGCGCTGTCACTGGTTGAGATGGAGGAATAACAGCACATGATTACATTCGGACAAAATTCGGAGGTAAACAATTGCACAAGGCGCGCAAAAAGAAGACAGATTTGTTTGCTGTCGCAAACTTATCAGGGTTAAGGGACTGAAGCGCCAAATGTTCACGTAACTTACTCTGAAAATACATTAGAACCTATAAACCCAAGTGCTTTCAGGCATTTTGAACCGTAACAGAAGATAATACATGCGCTTCAGGATGCTTCAGGTGGTCCACTTTTCACGAAAATTTCAAAACAACTGCCTGCATGGTCTTCAACGAGGTCAGCTACAACGAAAGTATGTATTGTCCTTTCATACAGCAGCGTGGGTAAAGTTTCATGTTCAAGGCAACACCTACAGATTCAAGAAGACTGGTTCATCCCACCGTGACGTCATGCAGTGCTGACAGGGGCGCCCTTATTGGACAGGGAAGTGGTGATTTTTTGATGGAATTTATTTTAGAGGTCGGTCTTTTCGCAGCACTGGTCAGTCAGACAGGATGCCAGGTAAGGGGACCGCGGTCAATCCTTGATGGAACGTTTTTTTAAACCTATTTAGGACTCTTCGTCCGGAACCACTACCATCAAGGCGAAGTGCGAAGCCTGCGAAAAAGTAATTTCGGGACCAAAAAAAAAAAAAAAAAAGAAACTTCCACTTTAAACTTAAAAGCCTCATCTCAGTTGGCGTCTCAAAGAAATTTGAAAAATGTATTGTATTATCAGTATTTATATTTCTGCCCTCCCTAAAATGTATTCTTTGTATTTCCAAAGACTTTTTGCCTCTTTTTAAAATGTATTTCCGATACGTATCACCATACATTTTTATGGATATATTTGAGACTTCAGTATCAGTATCTCAGCAACTATTTTCATCTATCCCAGTATTTGTATTTCCAAATACATTTCTGAATATTTCTGCCCAACCCTGCAACGTAATGCAGCTGTCAAGTGACACTTTTAACGTTTAGGAATTGGAGGAATGGAATGGAGCGACTCAGCCATTCCAGGAGTGGGAATGGGTCCAGTGTCCCCATTCCCAGGAGTTGAAAGGAATGGAATTATCGAAAACTCTAATTCCCCGGAATGGAATTGGAATGGAATGGGGGTGCCCATTCTACAACACTGGTACAGAACGCGGAATCCGCTCAAGCGTTGGCCACACAGGCACGAGGGACCAGAGGCCCGAGGGCTCGAGGGAGACACGTAAAATTACCCACACGAAAACGATTTTAAGAAGGCAATTTCCCTCCTCTGTTAATGAAACAGACTGAAAGCTAACACATCGCTCGCCCATGCTTAGGATAATAAAGGCTTCAAAAATCTCTCTGCTGTGTTTTTCTCGGTACCTGCCTATTATTTTAGTTTTCGAGAAAGATGGCGTACAATTACAGGATTTACAGTGCAGGGGTAGATGCCCCCCCCCCCCCCCCCCCCCCCCCCTTATAGACCTTTTCTGTGTAGTCTCGTCCCCAGCCACCTAACAGGCGTATCCGGTATGGGGGACGAAAAAATAATCCAACGTTTCAACCGGCAAATAGTAAAAAATAAAGGGGAGGCAAAACGAGAAAGTGTGACGATTGCGCTTATATCCTAAATGCCTTCTATTGGCGTGGCAAAGGCAAAACAATGTTTTCGCCCATACTGGAAGTGACGTCAATTCAAGGTGGCGGCGCACTTGCAGAAAAGGTCTATGGAGAGAGATTGTGCTCTCGCAGCCGGTCGTTCACACACCGTAGTTCTAGCAGACTTGACCTTTGATCGTACTTCACGGCTCAGATTAACAATCTCCAGAGCGTTCTTATAATACTGTAGGCAACGCCTACAGTATTATAAATTTAAGAAAAGTCACACATGAGGAAATGCAAGCACCGTATTTGGTTGTGACGGGATGCCGTGAACTGAGGTTGGCAAGTCGAAACCGAAACGGGGTGGTCAATGGGTTCCTAAGGTTTTTTATGTTTCTTTTAATATATCTTCAAGTTTTCTTCGCAGTCTTAAGGTTTAAACATCATGATTAGGGTCAAGTGTTGGCTGGGATAAAAAAAATTGTCTATCGTTTGAGATCATTTTGATTTTACAAGTGTATTTTTCGCACATAAGCCGCACATCATAATAATTGCTCTCTCAAGAGTTCTTTTAGCCACCGCTAGGGAACCTAAAACTATTAAAGTCGCGCGCACAAGATGGCGGCGCCCACTAAAATGGTGGACCCTGCGTCTTGGTCCAAAATAATAAGTGCCTTTCCCGGTAAATTCACGCTCGCTTTTTGCTATGGCTCCGGCGTGTTTCCACAGAAGGGAGCCGCTCAACCAAAGGCAAGGTTTCGCTGATAACACTCCAGTCTTCCGGGTCAAAATCACTTCCGCGTCTAACCGCTCCCAAGATCTTTTCGAGCTTTAACACCGCGTGTGCAATCCTCTACTTTAGCTGGCAAGACGTAACGCCAGTCTTTTCAGCTAGGCAGGTTTTAAGACTAAAGACATCTTAGCCCGATCGCCCGTTTTGCAGTGAATGGGGTGTGGCTAGCAGACGAACTCGTGGGAACGTTTGCTCCTAACAGCCCACTCAGGCACGTGCGTCGCGAATATGGAGCGCAAAAAATTATTTCAGTTTCCTCGGTGCACTTCGCTATCCTGGCCAAAGGTTTCATGTATACTCCGAGCCAGCGCAGTGATCGTCTTTTGCCCCCGAGAATGTAGTAGGCAAGTTTCTGAACAGAACTGCTCCGTCTGTTTCAGGGCAACATGCTCGATGTGATCTTCGCCGTCGACGATCCACTCGCTTGGCACCGGGAAAATTTGAAACGAAACTGGCGGCACTACTCGTTCCTGAGGTACGGCGGGCCCCACCTCGTGAACAAGGTGCAGAAGGACTTTGGCGCGTACGTCTATTACAACACGTTCGTGCCCTACGACGACGGGGTGAGTGACCCGCTGACCGGCAAGCTTCCGGTCGCCTTTAATGGCTGCTGCAGCAGAGCTACTACAAATCTGCCTAAAAAAAAAAAAAATTTTTTTTTTTTTTTTTTTTTTTTTGCTTTACACAGATTGTGCATTGCTGGATCAGTTAAATGCGTTACCGGAATCGAAAATTCACCACGGCGTTACCCGAATTAAGAGTTTCCCGTTACGATATCCGAGTTAGAAGCGGGCCTTAAACTTTCCCACTAGTTTACCTGGATCAGGAGTTACTCATACAATTACACTGAATTGAAATGCATTTGTAGTGTCACTTGATCTAAAAGTGAGCTATAATGAAAAGTTACTTATAGTGCAACTTGAATCAAAAGTTGGCCATAAGGAATACTGGATTGAAAGTGAACTTATGTGAACTTAAAGGGCTACTCCACTCAAAAAGTCGACCCTATAGAAATGGATGATATCACTTTAGGGGGTCAAAATATGGTCATACCCAAGATATCGCATCGAACCGACGCCACATTCCCGATTAAAACCAATATTAAAATTGGCCTACCGGCTGGGTTAGCAGCCCGACAGCGTGTCAGCAATGCTGGCACCGGGTGAGCTAGTGAAGCAAGACTGGGCAACGACGTAGGTTTCCTCCTCTGCTCTCGTACGGACGCCGCACACACTTACTTTCCCTGGGCATTCTGCTATTCTGCTGACGGCAAGAGGTGCTTACTGCAAGTCGTAAACTGGGCTAGTTGATAGTTACGAGGAAGAAAAAACGCAGCACAGGACAGGCCTTGACTCTCAATTGAAAACAGAAAAGTGAAAGCAAACTGTAGTCAGTGACAGGTTGAGAAAAGTTTTCTGGCTGGGGAGGAGGAAGCAGACGGAATGCTGAAGAGAGCGGAGGTTTGCTCCACTCCAGCATTTTGTCTGCCTCCTCCTCCTGCACCTTCCTTTCCGTCGAAAACTTCTCTTAACCTGTAACTGACTATAGAGAACACGCAACCACACTGGTCCGATTACATGATGGCAATCATACGGGAAAACTGAAACGACCATAATCTCCATTTTTAATAGCATGCTGAACATGGTAAGTGGTACGCTGCATTCACGCAAGCTTCTGTCGTGCAATCAGAGCTGTTTTGAGCAGAGATTGCGAGTGAAAAGCCAAACAAATTGCGTTGTGCGCTGTGCTATCGTCTGGCTATGTTAGCTATGATTGTCGTGCTTTTTTGGTTGTATTCTATATAATTTCTTTTTTCGCCGGAGCTGCGAACAAGGATGAAAGGTGCATGGCACTCGAGCTGTTGGCGCTCTACACATTTGCAAGCAGGGCATCCAGGCGCCACTCATGGTGGCGAGCCCATGCAATTGCGAGCCTGGCCAAGTTGCATAATGCGCGGGCCTGCACGCATGGGGCACTAGCTGGGACAACGTATTTGCTATGGCCTACACCTTGAGCGTAGTATACATAAGTCTGGAACAGCTACAAAGAGGTTTTGAGGTACGAGAAACGCGGATGATACCAAACAGTCGCCGCTCGATCGCAGGTTGCAGCAGCTCTAACTAGGTGCGCATAAAGGCATCTTAGCTTTGACAACAAACCGCTCATGGATGCCTTCTGTCCATCTGTCTCCCATTATTTCTTTTTCTCTAGGTTTGCGAGCAAGAAACAAATACAGTCGTGCTGTGCCATCACTGACTGCGTCCTATTATTTATAGCAGTCAGATTCGCTTTTCGGCCGGCAAATTTATAAATACACACGAGCACTGACTACTTTTGGTGTCTATTTACAAAGTGCGGCGGTAAACAAGAAAATGTGCAAAATTACCTTTTGTTTTGAAACCTTCTGTGCGACCGAGCCGGCCGGGTTTGTGCGTCGGCACAGGAGCGCGGGACGAGATCTTTTTCACGCCGTCGACGCGCAGCTCATTATCAGTATTGCCGAAATGCTAGAGTCAATAGTTTCGGTTTTGCCGTGCTGCCGGAACGATACTTGAATACGCGATATCTGCAAAACTGTACCCACTACCGAAAAACAAACTATATCTCGTGATTCAGGGTCGGCGACTAAACAGATCACGCAGATCATAACCCAAAAATCATAAAAATGGAGTGGAGTTGCCCTTTAATGAGTGAACCATAAACTTCTGTGAATCAAAATTTTCCCACAATATTACCCGAATCAAAAGTTGCGTAGGTTTTCTTAAAGGGAAGCTGAAGAAGTCTTTGAAGAAACGGAGTTGGAGGTGAATTTTCGCATATTTTTATCGCGTTAATTCAAAAAGGACGAGTACATGACCCAAACTTGTCGCTAGACGGTAGAAAAACCGAACCACTATTTGCCAGATGTGACACCGTACCCAGAGCTTTGGACTGCCTCGTGCGTGCCGCTTTTGAAGAAGAGCGTGCAGCTGCGAGCCTGTGGAAGTTGCCTTCGCGCAGACGCTGCACGTGCATTCTCGCCTGGGACGCCGTTTGGGACGCCTTTCTAAAGTTTCCCTGGCATTCATAAAGTAGTGATGAGTGCACGCGCGTTGCCTGATAAGCATGCAAGGTGCGCAAGCACTCGCGCAGCTCTTTGTAACCGTCATGAAAGTGACCCAAGACCCTTCAAGTACCCTTTGCCCAAAAACCGCGAAAACAAGTGCAGAGATGGACCGACCACACTAACAGGGATGCGAGGAACCGTGCCAAAAGTCGAACCACAACTGCCTTTCTGATTGCCCAAGTGAGGCTCACAGAAGGTGCGGAGAGGTCGAGATCTCTGCGTCACATGTCACGGCTCCCTCCTCGCACCTACTGCGCCAGGATGGACGTCTCTCGGCACCGCTTTGCGAGTGCTTCTACGGCTGCTTGGTGCATTGATTTCAAAAATAATTTTTCTGGTCGGGAAACTGGAGGCTAAATAAAGACAGTCTTCTTTTTCAAATACAAAACTGCTTCAGCTTTCTTTTATTTCTTTATGAAATTGTAGAAGGAATTACGAGCCGCTATTACATCTTCGTATAATTGTTATCGGGTGTCTTTGAGCTTAGGATAGTAGAGTTTTGCGTAAACCTCGGCTTGTAGAATTCCTAAATGCTCTTCCTTTCCCTCTTGCCGTGTTTTCTATCATCGTACGGGCTCCAGGCAATGGTGTGACGCTTGAGTTGACCCTTTCGTTTTCTTCACTGTTTCTAGCTGATGAAATACGGCGTGATCAGCACAGATCGACTGATTACCGATCTTCTGGACTGGGAGACGCTCTACCTCAGTGGCCGTCTGCATAAACCGGTAAGCCATGGAAACGGAGCTTTGCCAGATAATTACTTTTGTCTTCGAGATTTCCTCCCGAAGTTTGCGATAACAGTGTAAATTGTTCCGCGTGGTACGTGCAATTGCTAGACATTTTGGCTTCGTTGCCTGTCTTCTCCTTCGCTATCACCTTTGCCAATCTATAAAGCACATTTTATAGTTAACGAAGATTTCGGGAAAAATGTCCATCTTTTGATTCTATATTGTTTACAAAATGCAGCGTCGCAACTCCGCGAAAATTTCACAAACTCAAGCTGGGCGTTTATTGGTGCGCGGTCTCCATTGGCGCCACTGTGGCATCGAAAATCAACTTAGAAATCGCACGAACAGGCCGAGAGCAGCGCAGAAATGCGGGGTACAGTGCCGCAGCCTAGCTTAGCAAATAACATGTGTCCGAATCAAATAGAATCTTTTTTACGTCATTCGTTTCAAAATGTTGGAAGCATGGACAAAAAAGCACCATAAACGTGGGTTGACTATGCAGCACCCCCTTACAGCATCCTAATATACCGGTTACGGTGTGCGAGTTATAAAAAAAAAAAGATTAGCAGGAGTCGCAATGATAGTGTCGCGTCAAATGCAATGAAGTGCTCCAGTGGAACCGTTAGACTCGCTTGCAATCACCGCTGAATCCCTCCCATAGAGCAGGTAACGCACAGCGAACGAATAATGGATGCAGACGAAATTACGAGGTACAAAAGACAAATCAGATTTTTGGTCTAATGGCCAAGAGCGTCGAATAAGGATGGCAGTGGGGAACTTAGTGATTGGTTTGTGCACGTGCGAGGAATGTTCCGCGTTTCAGGGTGGCATATGTCATAGCTGCTGCCATTTCCCATAAAGTTGGATAAAGTTGCCATTTTGATTTTTACCGTCCTCCTGCCACTCGAGAAGTTTGTCAGGTTCTAAAAAGTGAAGAGGTGAAAAGGAAGAAGACGCTCCTGAAAAGTGGCTTTCTGAGAGCCCCTTGCAGACGTCCGCTCGAGTGTTCCCTGCTGCGAGCTGCACCGATATTTATTTACGGGCTTTGTAATCTGTATGTCGGCCAACGCACTGTTTACAAACGCCAGGTGTGGACACCGCGCCGACGGCGGCGCCACCGCAGTGATGCGACCTCAGAGCCGCGTGTTGGTGTGTACGAGGTATCAAAAATGAAACGTGCGACGAACCTCAAATAATTGGAAAGCATGTTGCCGTAACTACAGTTTCTTTCTAGGTGGAGAACTATGCACAAAAGAAAGGAAGCATACCGCAGTAACCCTGCACTTATTCTAGCAGTATACGTCGACTAGAATGGAAGGCCTCGGAGCACGATGCTTTTATTCGTTGGAATTATAAAAAAGTCAGACTGGACAATGTTTTGTGGCGATCTATTTACAGATTATGTACGATTAAAGAACGAAAGAGGCGGGGCACGGTCTTGGCACTCGCTAATAGAGTACGGCAAAGTCCCCTCGTAACAAACACTAATGCGAATCGATAAAAGATTAGAACTCCCCTAAAGGGGCTTAGTATGTTCGAGAATGCAAACGGGCAACATTTTATTGATTTTCTGAACGTGTCACTGATTGAGTGCGCTAAGTGACTTCATCTCGAAAGCACCCTGTTGGTGGGGACGCAAACATCTCGGACAGAAGTCTGTCCGGTTGGGTGGCACTATACCAGTAAAAAGTAAACATTGTGACCAAAGGCCTAAAAAATGCTTTTTTAGGGCTTCGGTGGTAGCGCTTGCTTTGTTACTCTCTAGGTGGGCGTGCCATGCTTACTCCCAGCCATCCAGTCGTTGTGTCGTATTCAATTTAATTTGGCTCGAAGCTTCATTTTTCAGGTAGATGCCAGAGGCACCCAGAGAAAAAAAACTGCTAAAGAGCAGCTTGGATGCTCTCTCGCTCGTTTCCAGAAGCTCTATGCCCAGCGGCCAGGAAGTTTCCTAAAGTCACTTGTAGCCTCTCGGGGACCAGTTTGGATGCGTCGAGGCACCGGTCGGAGACGCGTTGCAGGCACCCTAGTCATTACAATCACCCCAAGAATGTCCTCTGATCGTAGTTACGACCGCCCTAAACTACCGGCTGCTGCGTCCTGTCGGACAAGACTGTGTCGGCAAGTGGGGGTGGGTTCCGGGCCATCCAGTGTGGAAGAATGCCAGCCACACATTGTTTTGTGAGCTTAAATTTTTAACGTTAAGAGTTGAAGGGGTTATGGAAGGCCAAAAATAAAATATGAGATAACAATACTGCTGGGACCCATTCTATGTTCCTATAATCCTGCTAAATTTGTTTCGAAAATGACGCGATAGTTTCGTAAATAAATCGATTTATATGCGTCGTCCCTCGGATCCGCCCCGTCTAAAAGGCTGCCGTGGCTGGGCGGCTGGTGACGTAGCCAGCCTCCCGCGCAGCGTCCTCTTGCACGCACTCACAGACTTCGCTCTCTTGGCATCTCGAGCTTCAGCTTCCTCGTTTACCTTCCGTGTTTGGAGCATGCGGTCAGTGACGATTATGTCTACGGCATCGCTCGCCTTGTCAAAGTGTTCGACATTGATCGCTGCAGCGATGAGAGTGATAGCCATCGAGAGATGGGGGAAGCTGTTCATTTTGACTCGACCCGCTGGCGACAAGTGACGGCGATTTACGGACGAACTCGCCGTGGTCGCCGTCGTCCGGGAATATCTTGCAGACGCATGCAGTGTGGAAGGTCAACGGGCCGGGAGCAAGACCGACAATAGCTTTGGAGTTGCCGAGTTGCATGAGCGGTTTTGATCGTATCGTGAAGAGCTTGGGCGATCATGGGGGGGCTTAAAATGAGCTTTCATGATCACGTGGTTTATGGACACCATAGGCTGTGACTAACTCGAGCACTGTTGTCTGGTCGCCAGATGAATATATAAAAATGCGTTAATTGATTATTACACTTAGCTCTAAAAATCGCGTAACTTGGTGTATATACTAAGTAGACTATGAGCATTCCATTTCAAGAATAATCTATCTGTTTAAATTTGGTTTCATAACCCCTTTAAAGACACGTCATATATTCACTGGATGGCATATTTGAGGGTGCCATTTAGGGCGCGTGCTCGGAATGAGCTCGCATTAATAGGCCGCTAAGGCTGGCAACCTCGAAGGTGTGGAAGGATCGTTGCAAAAGAACCGTGGAAGCTTGCCATCACCTCGCTCTCGACAGTCGCGAACGCAGCTATGGACACCATCGAATACTCCCTGCAGCCGACAACCGGTCCTTCTAGATGAGATCGTATTGGGGCAATAAAACGATACAAACTTAAGTGCCATGTTTTCGAGCATTCCTTTTTCCCTCGGGAAATTATTGAACGGAACTCTCTGTCGTACGAAATCACGAGCCTTCCGTCGGCTTCCCTGACGCGATTTATTTCGTCGCGCAAAAATGCTTCCGCATACCCGTACCAGCTACGGCCCACACGCGCGAGCGGTTGGTCTTGAATGAACCAAGCAATGGGGGACGTCCCAGGTGAAGATCCTTGAGGAGCCCACTGGGGAGATCAGGCGTGCCATGGCCCTGAACCACAGGACGGCCATCCACACGGCCCTGCTCATGCTGCCGGCCAGCTTCACCGAGGAGGAGCTCTACCTCAAGATTGCGGGACTCTCCTACGTCGGTGCGTCTGCCCCCAGATTTCTCTTATGCGGGAACCCCCCACGGACCTCGCTCGCTCGCCTCGGTCGGAGGAGAGCCGGCAACGGTGGGCTGCGCCGTCCCTTGCTTTGAGGGACACTCAACTCCCAAGAAAATTGTTTAACTCTCCGGATCGGCACGTTTGTTGCAACGCGTTTATTCTCGTATTATTGCCGACATTTTTTTCTTTTTCGTCGGCTTAATATTTTGCGGATTTCGTGGGATGTGGGCTTCAGAAACATGTTGCGAACGCGAAATTTCGCGATTTGGAGTGATATGCTACGTGACTGTTACTGCGGGTGATATTATTTGGGGCACCAATTTTCCGCTATATCTTTCGAGCCGCAAAACTCGCGCAAATTAGGTTCTCGCAAAATCTAAGTAATTTAGAGTATTGCTCGATCAGGTTTCGTGTGTCGGTAATTCTTTTCCCTCACTCCCGCGACTGCCTGATAACTGCGGTATTTAGAAGAAAAAAAATAAATTGAAAAACAAGAATTGTTTCTGCGAAAACAAAATTAGCGCAATATTTACGTTCGAGGCCTATTTTAAGTGGGGAGCAATTCTGAAACATGCTTCTTTGTCGAGACATCAACCCCGAAATAAAAGCACGTCGCGAGACTCAAAACGAGTCTCGCAGTGTAAATAATATGCAAAAAGGTTTTCGTGCAGGCAGAGTTTATTTCGCGCCGTAATGTCCTATCCAGGCACTTTCAAAAATTGATTTTGGGAGTTGAGTGCTTTGCTCAGATCCAACCTGGAAGGTCTTGTTTGGCAGTGCTGAAAACAGCTTCCGCCCTTCCTTCTGTTCGTCGATAGAAAAGGCAAGGAACCCCTCAGCAGTTGGAAGAAAAGAAAGTCGCCTTTCTTTGTCCTCTCCGACGTAGGTTTGGAGTGGACGGTACACGGCAGCAATCTGGAACTTCCTTCGAAGAATTTGCAATTGCGTGCAGGCTTGGCAAGCTAGAATAGTGCTCTTTGGGCATATTTAGAAACCTTTCAAATAAAGTGTACTTTGAGCTGCCCCAGAAAAAAAAAAAAAAACATCTTTCCACATTTTACGTTTTTATCCAAACATCGGAAAGCTGCCGCCGTGATGGTAGAAACAAAATGTTGGTCGTAGAAAATCTTTTGGCATCTAAAAGAGGGGGCAGTCTATGTGTGCTGCATGCCTACGTGTGCGGTGAAATCGCCTCTCCAAAGCCGCGAGCTTGCGTTTACACGTTTGTTTGAATTGTGCCCAAAGTATCCTCTTTTTTGTTTTTGCGGATGGTCCGCGTCGTCGGTGTAGCTATATTTTGCGAACGTGGGAAGAGAAGATCGCCACTGCAACTACGCTCAATGCGACCCCTTGATCCTGGATGCTATCGAGTGCCTCTAGAATATGTTGTCTACTGGTACGCATTGCTCAAAGAAATGAGCGAACTTGCACGTGCTCTTATTCAGAGCAACTGCTTGCATTCGGGTCGCACCAAAATCTTATTCAAACAGAGTGCTTTACTCAGTTTGTTCGGATAAATTACTGGAAGCTCGCGCCGCAGACTGGCGTTGTGACTCCGAGTTCCTTCCACCGATCTCTACTATGGGGGCTGGATGGCGTGTAGCTGCTTTCCGAGCCTGATGCGGGTGAAGTCGCGGGGAGTTCGATGGTCCTCCCCGAAGTCGGGCGTCTGCTGGGCTTCCTGGCGCATTCGGCCCTGTTTGGGTTCTTGCTTTCTCGTGTCTTTGAGTGGGCTTTAATAATCCCGACTTCAATCCCAATAATGAGGCGCCGGAATGTGGGGCATGTGCACACTCGATCAATTATTATCTAAAAATTTTCACATCCAATCCACATTTCTTTCACATCCAGGAGATTTCTCAGGTTTGCGTGCGCTGTTAGTGCGCAACGAGCAGGCTCTCTCGAGGTGATGAGGAAAAATCCAGCGCCCTGGATGCAGTTTGAATCAGCCCTGGGAAGAGTTTCCGGTGGCTTCGTAGCTGTTTACTCGGTGCGCCATCCAGCCCCTAGTGGAGATCGGTGGTTCCTGCCAGTTCTGACATGGACCTGGACTACTCCATGGTGTGCCTTAGGTGCCCCAGCAGTTGTACCACACTGGCAGCATCGCCCCTGCCATGACACGAGTCACCGTCCCATGGCAGTGTCCCTCTTTGCAAACAAGTATTTGCCAACTTTTGGGGCCCTTTATTGGGTCAATCTCATTTCCCGTTGTAGTCTCTTCTTCATTCCTTAATGCAGGTTTTTCGTTTGTGTATTTGAATAGTTTATTTGTTTATTATTTCGTGCGTAAATTGAACCTTACCAACACGCTTGGCTTATAATAAAAATAGAAGATGGTTATCACCCGGCACAACCTTATGTGAGTGATAGAGCTTAGAAGGGGCAAAATGTGCCCTAACAAAGAGAGAGAGAACAACAAAATGGCAGAGGGGCGTTCGTGAAACTGAGAAATGACACCGAGACAAACAAAACGATGCAGAGCGCTCAATGGCACTCCGCATCTACTCGTCCTTCGTCCGCCTTTGCACTCTTCGATTTCACGATGCGGATCTGCCGAAGTTTCAACGATACTACAGTTTCTGACGTTCGTCCTGTTTGGCTACTCTGTGCTGATGATGGTGGCACCGAGAATAGGCACATATTTCTTATAAAAGCGTTATTGTCTTAGAATTGTCATCAAACCTACTAGTGGGGTAGAAAAGGGCTCGTTGGGGCTCTAACCCAAGTGGTAAAATTATGCACTCACTGATACGTCGTCCTAGTAAGTAGTAAAAAGATGTCGATGACACGCGTTACTTTTCTGCATCGTGCAGCGTACTTTACAACCCTAAAACTTTTTCGGTCTCAGTTTTTTTTTTTTTTTTTGTCCGAGTGATAAGTTTGCTAAACTCGAGAGTGGCTCCATACTTGGTTCTCCCGGGGTTTGGCACTTCGGTGCATCGTCGCGCGAGAGATTACTCAACAACTAATTGCCGGACGAATGCTCCAATGCCCAGGCGACTTCCGGATGATCGTGGGAGAAGACAAGAACAAGGTCTCGAACATTGTGTCCGGCCAGCTGCCCGAGTTCCGCAAGATCTACCGGCCGTACCTGGAGACGACCGAGATGATATCTTGGAACGAGGAGACGCAGATGTTTGAGGTGACTACCGGGTACACTTTCACCATTTGGACGTCCCAACGCAAACGCAAAGTCACTATTAATGACCCTTTTCTTTCTAAAAGCGAAGGGTTTTCTTTCTTTAGGAAGTTGGGTATACACCTTTCCGGCACTTACCAACCAGGCGAAAAACGTCCACGGGTCGTGGATGCACGTATCACCTTCGATGGTCCTGAGATGAAAGCTTGGAAGGCGTTCGGCATCCGAGTAGGCGAAGGCGTGCGGGAGGCAATCATTGGGACTCTGTCTACTGGCGAATCATTCCGGTCAGACTAACGTCCCGTGGCAGAATACGTTGCGCAAAAACTAGCGGAAAAGACCAGAACGGAAACGTCCCCCGTTATTCTGAAAGGGGGAGCTGGACCGTAGCGTTGCAGGCGAACTTCACGCGGACAAATACAAAAACGTGTGGTACGTATTATTTCGCGCCACAAAAGCTGGAAAGCCATTGGATGTCGCGATCCTGTAAAGCTATGTCGCCATTTCAAAGACATCCACGATGTAGGAAAGAGGCCAAGGAATTGCCTTAACCGAAATAAATGGTCCGTCGCAGCGAAGCACGTCCACGCTGCATGCTTGCGAACCCGCACGTGCTTTTTAGGACTCCTAAAATCCGGGGATTTTTAAAACGCGTTTGCTTCTAATCAGGTTGTCTGTCTATCCTGCGACGAAGATAGCGGCTCTCAATGCAATGTCCGCTGAAAGCGAGACCTTTAGACGGGGTAACCCAGAAAAAAAGGTAGTAGTTCTTCCTTTGCCACTCATTTCCTTGTATCTTCTCTGGCCCCCAGCATTTCCCCTCTCTCTTCGGCCAGGCCGCCCCTCCAGACGATGCGGTCGGCGGAATAAATCTTCAAGCTGCCAGTTGCAAAGATGTTTTGTCCCGTTCTATAGTACTTGTTGCTTCCCTTTTATCCCTGAAAGGGAAAACCGACGTGTCTCACAACACCCCTGAAGGGGAAAAGGAGAAATGGGTGGGTCCCTTAGCCCACTGAAGTTGAATGATGGCTAGAACAGGAAGATGGTAGACTCGGTGAGTGACATTGGCAGCCTCTGTGGTCACTGATATTGTGACGAACCCCCGTGAACAAGCCCAGAGTTACTGCATGTAGGTATTGTTGATTTTCTTCTCTCCATCTCTGTCTTGTCGCTATGTTTTGTTCTCTACCTCCCTTTCCGTCTATGTCTCTTTATTTGCGCTCTTTCTCGATCATTCTTTCAGGCCCATGGAAGCACTAAAATCTGTTGCGCACCGACGCCGTCCACTCGCTGCAAATTTTTTCCGAGCGCGATTGCTGCTGCATAAATCCAAGAGTCCAGGATGAGTTACATTGCCAAAAGCCGCCTGAAGCGACAGTCAAATACGATGCTTGCCTGCTTCTCAAAAAAGAGTCGAGATTTGAATTCAACGGACTTTGCATCAGCACCGGAATGGGCAACTCCGAGCATTCGTGAACCAGTGATTCAACAGACGCTGTCACTTTTGCCTCTACGTAGCCGAGTTTTCTTCTCATACACTATGGCCATGGGAGGTGCGGCCATGCGGCAATACGGCCCCGGGTGGATACGTGGTTGGCTTCGACAGCTCGCATTGGGTCGCACGAGCCGTAGCTTTTGTCGTCTGTAAAGTCACGTGGAATGGAGTATACAGTAAACAACTTGGTTTTCATAAAGAACTACGTCCTTCGGGATGCATGGTAACGCATGGTAACGACTACACCACGGATCATGAAAATTTGTGCCGGCAAAATAATTCCGAAACTGGTTGATTTCCGAGTTGCACGTGCAGCACTACAATCTCAACACGGCACGTCAAAGTTTGTTTCATTGCGAGGTATACACGAACTCAACACTCCTACGTCACGCCGCGGTGGTGGCGCGCCGGACGCACTTCCGGTCTGGGGCGGTGGGCAGAAGTCGCCGTGCCAGACATGCATTCCTGTGTTCCTTTGGAAGATACAAGACAAAAAACTTGCCTTCTCGTCAAAATGCTGCGATGGGGGCTGTACCAAGAGAGTCCAGCAAGGTTTGAAGATCAGTTTTCATGTGTTTTTGCCCGCTCCGTTCGTCCGAGAACGTGGATAGTCGCCATGAAAAGGGCAAACCAGAAGCTGTTGAACTACGATTGCGTGTGCGGGCAACACTTTGTGATCGCCTGATGTATTTGCTTTGTTCCAACATGAACGAGAGAAAACCGCCAAGTTGTCCGGACCACCCACGGGTTCAGTCCATCTTCAAACTCACACGGCCGCCTGATCGTTCAAACTTTCGTCTGCTCTTTCAAACTTGTCTGTTTTTTGTCGTCTGCTCGTTCAATCAAAAGCGGCCCGTAGACCAAACTCAGACCTGGTAATTGCAATAAGAAGTCATTGCAGGCCTCAAAAGAGTTAAGTAGGCTCGCTGTAAACAGTAGATAAAAGATGTTAATCATTGGTACCGGTGGCCATCACCGACTTGTTACGCTCGGTCTGTTCCCGCTTCCGATTTTCAATATCGACGTCGATCATCGCCGCTACCTTCTACATTTTTGCAGCACGAGCGACGTCGCGATCGAAAATAGCTAGAAGAATCTCATCATGGTTTTGGCGTCCATTCTGCGGCGTTCACGCGAATGAATCGCCGCACGTCAAATTATTTACACAGAGTTTAGCGGCGTAACGAGCCTTGATAATTTCGCTCAGGCGATTAAAGTGGTAAGACATTGCGATGACGACGTAGAATCGACAATTGCAACGCGAAAAAGATTATGCAGACTCACACAGATGCCAACAACGCAACATTCGAATGGTTTGTTGACGCAAGACGCGGTGCTTCTTGCCCGCACTCCATTGCGCATGCGTTCGAACTGTCGTCTGCTCCTTCAAACTTGGCTGCTTTTTGTCGCCAGCTCGTTCAAACGACAGCGCCCTGTAAACCAAACGTTGACCCGGTAATAGTGATAAGAACTAAGTGCAGGCCTCAAAACACTTTTGAAGGTTGGTTGCGGTAAGTAGGCTAAGTGTAAACAGATACAAGAATGTGTTGATCATTGTTACCAGTGGCTATCACCGACTTGTAATGCCCGATTCTACTTGCGGTTTTCAGTATCGACGTCCACCATCTCAGCTACGGTCCACGCTTTTGCCGCCCGAGCGACGTTGCGACTGAAAATAGCGAGCAGAATCTCATCGTGGGAGTCAGGCTTTAGCGCCCATTCTGCGGCGTTTACGTGAAATGAATTGCCGCACATAACATTATTCACGCAAAGTTTGGCCTCGTTAGTTTTGCTGAAGGCGCTCAAGTAGTCATCCATTGTTAGGAGGACGTAGAATCAACAATTACAACGCGAAAAAGAGCACGGGGACTCCCACCGACGCCGACAACAACGCAATTCAATGGTTTGTTTATGGGCGACGGCGGGCTTCTTGCCCACCATTCACTGCGCATGCGCGGCGCCAGTGGCGTTCGCTAGGGGTGCTCCGGTTTGTTTGTAAACATGAGTTGGTGTATAGCTCGGAAATAAATAAAAATATTTGAATATTTGCGTAGCTTTCCTAAGCCCTCTCTTTGCCCCCCGGACCCACCTCAGCTATCAAATTTTCCAGAAACTCCCCCTCCGCAGACGAAAACCCCAGGTGCACCAATGTCTGGGAATATTTTTTAGCACGGATAAGGACAGCACCGCCACGCCGGTCTGTTCTGTCACAACGAGAAATGTTAACTTCTACGTCCCGATTATCACCTAAAATTTCGCAGTCATTCTCTACGGGGAGAAAGACACATTTCCGAAATCAAAGAGCCGATTAAAGAACACGAATCATCTAGCTTGGGTTCTAGCATTAGTGTAAAGAAGGTATGTGGGTTTTGCTATTAAAAAGCCAGCGAATCAACCCTATCCAGTAAGGTGAGTAACGCCGTCGTCGGTGGTGCTGCTGGCATGCTGCCGAGGTAGAACGTATCGTGACGGTCCGCGATCCTTGACGCCAGGTGTTGCGGAAAAAGCGACCGCCGCTCTCGTACCAGACGGGCCGGACGACACGAGGTGGCAATTCGCCGTGTTGGCAAGGTCGTACGTGCGCCGTCTTGCATCTTGCGGGTCCCTCGGAAGTGTCAGTTCTTGTGACGTCTGCTTGTATATGGCCACTTTGGAACCGCGCTCGCGTTATAAAAGGGATGCAATTAGACGCGCCTAAGTGGAACGCACAATGTCCGAACGTTTGGGAAGATTCCCGCTCGTCGGACTTCGGAGCAAGATCTACATTCCAGGTATGCGGAGCGAAAAACTAGTCCCGCGCCGAACCTGGCGCTCCTCGAGCCGGCTTCCCCGCAAGCGCGAAGTAATATTTGGTACACGTGAGCCCTTCTCCGCCAACAAGGAGTCGGCGGTGGAAGGAAGGCGAAGCGGTGGCTCCCCCCCCTTAGTCGGCTGCCGAGGCAGAGCACCCCCCTTGGGGGTCGGAAAGACGGGGTGTCCGACGTCCTCTGTGTCCCCCCAGCAACGGCCGGGGCCCGACGGGCGGCTGCACCACCTGAACCTGCTGCCCAAGTCCCTGCAGTCGCACCTGCTGCGGGTCTGGAACCGGGACGGCCGCCACAGGGACCTCGAGGACGTGCTCCAGGCCGTGGCCGGCGACCCCCACTGCGCTCAGTTCGTGGAGGAAGGTGCGCCCGACTCTCGTGGCCCCACTTATTCTTTAGCAATACCGTGGCAGGCCCCAGGAGGGACCCAGGCAGGAGGGTCGCTCATACGTAATGGTGCAATACAAGAAGAAAGGAATGGGCAAAGAAACACGCTACATTTTGTTAACAAAATTGCTTATTTCAACAGCGTCGTGGGTCCACAAATTAATAATCAACGGCGAATGCACGTAACGTTTGCCGTTAAGTAGCCACTCTCGTATTGTTTTGTTCCTTTCTCGTAATGACGACTTTGCTTTTAGTCGAGTTGGGCAAGGGGGGGGTCGGAAGTAAGAAGCCGTGGCTTGACTGGTACTCGGACGCACACGACGGTCGGCTGCGTGCTGGCGTGCGAGACATGCGCAAAATTCGACGTACCCCTGAAAAAAAAAATTGTCGTAACGAACGAGCGAAGAATCGCTTCTCCGCGAAGAAAAACGAATTTCAGAAATCACCGGGCCACATTTGAGTGAAAAAGGATAAGAATGACGATAAATTGAGCGCCAGAAAGTAAGAAATGTGAATGTAACTTTAATATATACGCGAAGCACCCGCGCAAGACTCGGAGATAATCCCGAAAAAAGAAACTTTCAGCCTTTCCACTCTGGCGAAGAAGGAAGAGCAGCGGAGCTATAACTTCTGTTCTCGGCGGTAGTTTTTGGGGCGAGTGATCTGCTCTTCTTTCGCGAGGGAATCTGAAGCGCTCAACGCACTGAAACTTAGGCGATAGCAGCCTCGCAGCACGTGCCAAACCATTCGCGCTGCTGCGCGCACCGCCACTCATTCCGCTTCCGCTATTCTTCCTCCAAAGGTTGCCGCCATCCACGAGCGACGGCGGCAGCCAGTTGTCTGATTGCCGCCATCGCTCATAGATGGCGGTAGGTGTACAGAATTCAGTGTCATCGTTTCTTTGCTGGTGGACACGATCATGGGGAAACTAGCCCTTAACAGCTCCGCCGTAAAATGTGGATGAGCCCTCGTTACTTTCGAGTGCAGAGAAGCAGAAGGGCCACTTAGTGGGGTGTGCCCTCGTTTGATCCTACGAAACGGTACGAAAGTCTAGCTGAACTTCTCGTTTTTAAGCGATTGCAACGCTTTTGTTAAGCCCTCTTTGAGCCGGCGCTCTCACGTCGAGCTTTACCGCTTGGCACCGACGTGCACGCGTAAAGCTTCCCCACTTGGCGCTACCTGGCCGGAGAAGCGGCCAACAAGGGAGAACCTCGGTGAGCTCGGACGTGTGCCAAGGCAGGCGCTTTGTGCGTCCTTCACCTATATTTGGAACGTTTCAAAAGCGGGGATCTTACTGCGACGTAGACGGAAGCTCGGCATTTTACTGGAAGTGTAGCAGCCCGCGCTGGAGCGACCGAAAAACTACTTCGTCATTTCTCATTTCCTTTTACTCGCGGCACGAGCACCTCGCGTAATGCTGACATACTGGCGAGCGCGCGATTGAATAGTTTGATTGCAGATGCCGTAGTGGTCTGACATTCCTGTAGTAGGTAGTAGAAACGGGATAAACCGCGCTTTCACGCCCTTGATGGAAACTCTGCCGTAATGCTCGTAGGGGTTTTGCCGGTTCATTCTGACGAGTGTGCAGACCGACCGCCTCCAATAACCTGGGTGCTTCTTTCTCCCGCCAGCGGTTGCCGGCGTTGTCTGGAGATCGAGTTGGGGCCAAATGGCAAAAGGCATTGTCACAGCAGGTGAGCTATTTGCACGTCACTATATTCCGTCATTCTTAGTCCATTGGCATTCATGCACGTTGGGGACAGGGTGCGGCTGTGCCAGGACCTTGAATGGCAGCTAGCGATTCCTCTCTTCCTCTAGAGATGGACTTGCATCATCTCGTCCCTCTTGCATCGGCCCTCGCATTGTTTGGGCGCCGTTTTCCTTGACTTTGATGCCCTCCCAACTTAACCAACTGATTGATCGGTCGATGGCAGAAGGCAGTCCTTGCAAAGAGGGACACGTAGTGCTTCTTTCTTTTTTCTGTAATTGACGCGTGTAAACATAGACTGGCAGTAGCTGTTCCATTGTTTGTGAATGTGAAGAGTTTGTAGACAACCAAATTAAACATTATTTCTAAGTTTCCCTAATTTGCCGAAGCAGCAAAAACGCGCGCGACGGTACTCCGTTTCGGCATGACTCGGCAGAGAGCAAATCTCGCAGCCCCCTCGAGCCGGTGGGGGTTACGGAGCGAAGCACCCGGCGGCTTTTCGGAGTGGGTGCGCACTTTGGCGCTACGTCGTCCCGTAACCCACTTCGACGCTCCGATTGGCTCGCCGGGGCCGTAGCTTTCGCCATTTGCCGAGTTGCGACGAAACGGAGCGAGCACCCGCGCCTTGGGGCGATAAAAGCAGACGTTGAGTCGTATTCTTACCTCTCTAGGTCTGTGGAATTCCCTTCACTATGGAAGCAAAAAGATCATCAAGATGCTGAAAAGCCTCACGACATAGCCGAGGTAAGGCCTTTGGTTCCGAAACGTTTCGTCGCGATCGACCGCTGGTCGGTTTTGCCTTGACGAGATCCTCGTTTGTTTTGGGCGCAGGTGCGAGCTCGCAGCGGCGCTCCCCGTTCTTCATCTCGACCACATCGTGCCGCGCACGTTCGCGCGTCGAAGCATTAGTCTCTTAGTCGACGCGATTACCGTAGGAAGAACTGGCTTCGTACTAGGAACTTCGTGTCATTTTTGAAGACTCCTTTTAGTCCAAGTTTTTGGGTTTGTTTTTTCTACGGAAGTGGGTTAGTGAGGGGAACGGGGCCATTTCGAGTGACTTTGAACTGCCATGTTTTCGTTGGTGGGACCCAAGTACAGTGCCGCCTCTTCTGGGAACAATGAGACGGGCACTGTGCCTCGTGATATTTATACTAAGATACATCCACATATTGTTACGAAGGATCGTGCCGTTCCATTTATGCTCCAGTCAGACTACGCCTGGAGAGCACAAACTGCAATATATAGTAATCTCCAGAGTTCGTCATTGAAAATGAAATCTCGGAGAAAAAACATTTTTTTTACGTTTATTTCGGTGTTTGGTTTTCGTCGGGCCACAAATTTTGGTTTTACAATAGAAAACTCACGGACGAGCATTGTAAATATCAGATTCTGATCTAAATAATAAAAAGACTGGTAGTATTTTGTCTGTGTAAGGTTTCCAGATGGTTTCTTCGGTTAGATGTAACGACCGTCGTTGTAATCTTTTTCGGGGGTGCTAATATTTTTTTTTTCTTTGGGGAGTTGAAAACCTTATTCTCTTAGAGTTTGGGGAAAAAATTAATACTGGGGCAATATAGATTTTAATCAAAACCAAAATTCCCAGAGTTTGCATCTCTAAAATTTTGCATAAAATTTTGTTTGTATAGTTCCAAATCATGCCCGTGAGTGCCATCAAAATCCCGATTGATTTGAATGTGCTTCCCAGCAACAGTTGGGATTCATGTTTTCTGCAACATTAATGGGTTTGGTTTATTAAGGTGCCTGGAATCAAGCTGGCACATCTTATCTCGAGTCACTAAGAGAGCGTGAAATAAAGAATCGTTAATCAACTTCAGTTTGGGACTGTTCGAATGGAATGCGAGCAGCTGGAGCAACGTCATTAGTTCTTCCTGGTGCTTAGGTAATTTATGCGACATAAAAATACCCGTTCTGATTCTTAACTACATTGCACACACACAAATGCGCACGCAAGACACACGTGCTGTTACTAGTAAGGTATCAATATTTTTCTTTTTGTGCAATTCATTGATTTTTGTGGGACAAACGTTTTGGCCCATGTTTGGAGAAACAATGGATGATATATCTGGCTAATGTTATATCTAGGGTTTTATGTTTTTGGTGTTTTATTTTTTTTCCAATTTGAGTGTATTTTTTTGGAGGGGGTATTTTTCTCCTACAGATACCGCATTTTTTTTGCGTAAATGGGCAAGTTATAAGCAATTTACACAAAACGCACAGAATCTGTGCAGAAGAAATAACCTCCCCACCCCCAAAAAAAAGAATATCCCCAAATTCCAAAAAAACAAAACAATGAAAACACAGAACCCTAGTTACAGGAGTCCAAATGTGCAGGTAGACAACTTGAAGCAGGAAAAAAATGGGTTTTCCCGCTTGGTGGGAACCCAGCTCTGGGGCATGGCTGGAGTGCTGCGACCCGTACGCATTACGAGGCCTTCGGTCTCCGACTTGCTCGGAATGCCTCGGGCACGCGCTCGTTGCCTTTCCCCTCTCTTTTGGCACGTGCACACGCCAAAAGCTGGAGAGATGCCCAGCCAGAAGGACCTCCCTGCCATTCTCGTCTTAAAGGCTGGTTCGCACGCTCCCTTCGAGCCATCTCAAATCTCTTAGGACGAGAGAATACCCCGGTGCCGTCCATTGGGTTGCCGGGTAACGCCCTGCATTTCCTTATATTTTCAATTTTTTCCCCGCATCATTCATTCTTTTCGGCTCGGAAAACTTCCAGTGGTGTTGCAAAACGTATATTTGGTGTCGCAAATAGCGCAAAACCTAGGTTCTAGTGAAATACCGTTTTGGGGTCACCTTGTGGTTGTCTCCGGCGCATTCTCTCGTCGTAAAAAGTTGCAACAGTTTGGCCCTGAGCAGACGCGATCGTGCGAACGGGCCCGGAGCATACGGCACGTACGACGGCCGCGCTCTTTATTGGCGTCGTCAGTCTCGTCTCGGCCGCCGCAAAATCCCAAACGGCGGGCGGTCTCCGAAGGTCTAGAGGGGCTCGACGGCGCCTCTACGGCCGATCTCGACGGGTTCGCACGACGTCTCGAGCATGCGGTTGACCCAGTCGACGTCGGAGTACGGGTCCGCCGTCGGATCGCCGAGGGCGTCGGACCGGTCGTTGTCCGGCCGCGGCTGCGGTTGGTCCCAGTCCGCAGACACGTAGAGTTGGTTGTGGAAGAGCGCCGTCCGGTCGTCGCCGTTCCGGGCAGCTTCGTGGTCGTCCGCCGACGCGTCCCTCCTCCTCCGGCTGGGCCACGTCGCTCCCCGGGGTCCGGACCTGCGGGTCGGTTTCCCGGGAGACGGAGTTGGAAGACGCCCTAACTCGATCGAGTGCCGGCCTCCCAGAGTGCGCGCTGCTATCTCATTGGGCCGTAAATTTTCCGACGTTTATTTCTAAGGAAAGTTGGCGAATGTTTATCTATGTTTTCCGGTTAAAACTGGGAACTTTTGCAGCCTATTTTTACCGAAAGCCCCCGCACTGAAAAGTCTGTTGTCCCGCGCGGCCACACATACCCCGTGGCGGGGTATGCAAGCGCACCCGGTTCGGTTTCCGTGGTAGCATGAACCAAAAGCGGCCTAGGTGGGCAATTGCTTCAAATGAATCCGATAGACGCTCTTCGCCCGGTAGAAATGAAACTCGGGACTTCTGGGTGTGCGACATTCTGCTTTGAATATAGTGCAAGTCCCACGTCTCTTACCGCAGCTACTGCTTACCAACGCTCTCTGTAACGCACCACGTTGTAGACGAGGTTGATGGCGGTCAATTGACTATAGGTTTTTGTTCGCTCCTCAAAACAACTTTCTAATGTCTTCGAAAACAAATTTGAACGTGAAAGGGACAGTGACACGGTATTGATGCTCACCGAGGTTTTTATTTGAACGTGACCTATAAGTGTACAATTACCCAAAACATAATTTGCAGCTCAAAATTTGTTTTCCTTTCGCCCGGAAACAGCCAATCGACAAGTGGCGCAATCGCGCTCACTCTCTTTTCTAGGGTCACGTAGCATTCAAATCATGCGTACCAAATATATTCCGAGCCGTGGGTCATCTAAGGCACGCATTCAATATTATAAAATAGAGAAGAATATGAACCCCATTCTTGTAGCCTCCAAAAAGCTCCAAACACGTTGATTGAAATAAAATGTTGCACAGATCGCAGGAAGTACATGCACCTGTCATTCCTCATATGGCGACGTACTGCGAGCGGGACGACACAATGGCAGCGCACGACGGACCACTATTGCGACGGACGTGAATGGCAGCGCACTTCGGAACTGTTGTTCGTGGTACCGGCCAATCGATCTTCAAGCGCAGAACTCGGAGCGGAAGGGATAGAAGTGCGAAGCCATCAAACGACAAACGGTGCATGCAAATTCGTCGTTATCTTTGCACAGATCGCAGGAAGTACATGCACCTGTCATTCCTCATATGGCGACGTACTGCGAGCGGGACGACACAATGGCAGCGCACGACGGACCACTATTGCGACGGACGTGAATGGCAGCGCACTTCGGAACTGTTGTTCGTGGTACCGGCCAATCGATCTTCAAGCGCAGAACATGGAGCGGAAGGGATAGAAGTGCGAAGCCATCAAACGACAAACGGTGCATGCAAATTCGTCGTTATCTTTGCCTGCTTCATACGCCGGAGAAGTGGGGAAAGAAAAACGCAGTCGGGTCTAGCCACGTGACTTCCACCCACGAGCTTTCGCGCTCATGTTTCGGTTTCGAGCAGTTGAGTTTTTTGGCTTTATTAATGGCGAATTCGGGTGGTCCTTTCCCAACTAAATATTTTGCCTTATCTTCGGCATGGGCGTTCACGTGGTCAAAAACTGCCGAGTGCGCGCCGTTCAGGTGACGCTTCTCGGGCGTGTGCCGGCAATTTACCGGCACAATTTTTGCCCAAGCTTCAAGAGGTCGGGCAGCTTGTCTGCCAGTCTGTATCATCACATCCGATTGGGGAAAGGGAACCAAACTAAACAAAGGTCGCCGATAGCGGGTTTGAGTAGAAAACAAATTTGCCATCGGGACAGACACCTCTCTGCGGTCTGAGAGAAAACAGCAAGAACAATGGAGATAAAGATGAAATATTTTATAGGAAGCTTGCGCAAGATCAGTTTGTTATGGGACACGGCGTGTTATTACACCAATGTAAAAAAAAAAAAAAGTGTGCCGATAGTGCTGCAGCTTGACACTTGAACGCGCATTACTATTTCAAAGGGCTGGGCCTAATGAAAAGGCTGAGTATTCCGGAAAAAAGGTAATAACGAGCAAATAGAATATAAACAGCGACACTGGTGAGCTTTCTGGGATCCTTGTAAGATGGTAACAGTTCTTAGGGAATCCAAACAAAATATATTAAAATTTGTTTACCCACATCTCAGAGTCTGAATACGTTGCTGATGCCTACAGCGTGCCTATTGTATTATAAAATAATCTTACGCGCTACCCAGGAAAATGAAAAGTCCAGTTGCCGGGAGGAGAGGGTCATGTGGTGCGCCGCTGGCGCATTTCTGGTTGCCGAAACTGCCGGCAGGCGTTCACCGGCGATGGACCACCCGAATTCGCAAAAAAGATATACGTAAAATATTAATTGGGCAGTCTTCTGACTCCATATTAAATTGTCTGGCAAACAACAAAACAAACAATTGTGGGGGGGGGTAGCGTTTTTCTTAATTATTCGTTCCACCCGCTTTATAGGACTTGGGAGCTAAAGGTTGCTGCCAATGGTTAACATATTATTTTGCCCAGCGACTACATTGTTAATGAAACGCCGCTGAACGAGATGTCTGCAACAAAATTGCGTACGCAGTTACAATAGCTGTCGGCGAGATGATGGGGTGAAATGACTGTCGTCGGTGCGACAGGGCAGAGGATTTTGCTTTTGCAAATCGAGTTATAGTGATAGTCTCGTTTCTGCGTCGCTACAATTCCGGTCGGCATTTTGAGTGCTCTCTCACACTCGGAAATTTGCGCTCGTTAAGAGGGACTTACCGCCTGAAGTAGAGCAGTGCCAGGACGATAACGAGCACTGCCACGGGGAGCGTAGCGTCTGCGGAGGAAAGCGGGTGAGGAAGACCTTTCTGTTTACACGCACGAGGCGAGCACGTGAACGAAAATGGGCAGTGGGGACTTGCATAAAACCAGCTTCCAAGGAGACATTTCTGTGCTGCTCGACTTGTGCTCCATGGCCATGCTGCTGTGCCATCCTGACAAGAAGCCAAACAAAGAAAGACGTTTACAAATCTGTAATGCGAAATTAAAGTGCAGCTCTTGAGGAGGAAATGAATCTCCTCCCCTCGTCCTCCTGCATACCGTCCCCTTCTCCTCCTCCCAGTTTCCTGCGAAATTTAGCTGGAAAATTGATGCCTAGTAACCTCAACACCGATTCAGTGTTCCCGCTAAATTTAGGATGGGTTGTTGACGCAGTGGTAATGCCTCCGGTTTGCACCCAGTGGAGCCAGGTTCGATTCCCATGGGTGACGGCCCATCTTTTTTGAGGATTTGGTAACATCGACGATGGACGCCCTACAACGCCAACTACTACTACATCAACAACTACAACATTGACAATGGACATAAGCCCATTACGGTAGTCACTTTAAAAGGGGAAGGAATTCCTCCAATGCATAGGGAGCTAGCCCAACTGCTGTGTCACCTTTTTTTTTGCAATTTATTTGCCTAGGTTATTGTCAAATGCCCCACTTAATAGACCGGCTTGAAGTGTCTCGTATAGCATTTGTACCACATGGAACCATGCTCTGCGCAGTGATTAGCCCGCCATTTGCTCTCATTCATAATTTTGCTCAAACAGGTTAGCATTGAACAACAAGTGTACAGGTTTGTCCCACACATTCCACTTCCCTAGTAGTTTCGGTGGCAGCTTTTCAACCGAGCGAGGAAAATGGGAGAACAAGCGGTCGCACGTTTGGGCTAATGGCATCGCACCTCGCACTTTGTAGAGTTAGCAGTTTTCTCGGGGTTTCTAAGAGTACCGTACTACTGTTTGAAGTTTGCTACGCGAGGAATACCCAATATTAAAACATACCTAGTTGAACTTGAACTTTTAGTCATTGTTCAGCTAAAAACTAAACTGGCCAAGCAATATTATGCTGGGTGAACGTCTAGCTCGCAGAGCGTTTCCACTAGCCTTTTGACACCTCTCTGCACAATGGTAGGTTAGGCAGTATAATTTATTGCGGTAAGTGATTTCTAGATTGAGATCTATGGAACGCTAATGCATAAACAAACGCTTATGTAATGACCATGAACCAGCAGCAAAATGCGAGCAATGCAGCACGAGGGCTCGTCGTGCGCCGACCTGGTCGTGTGATGCTAAACCCGTTGGCTTTGGGCAGCAGCTCATTAAAGCCGGAGGCAACACTTCTGCAAACAATCCGTGTTGTCACTAATGGTAGGATTGGTATTTAAAGGAAGTTTCCATCGAGGTCCAGTGATGGTTTCTGGTACTGTACTTGAAATTCCAAGATGGTTTGTTGCTTCTGAGAGTTGAACAGAACTTTTTGGAAGGATCTCGTGACTGCGACCCAAGGCTGCTACTGTGTGCTGCTCGGGACAATTTTGTGACACAGCCCTCGCGTTGTGGCGAAGCTCCATAAACCCGCATTGTTTACGAGAAGGTTTGCTGAAGCAGAGCCACATTGCTACTTCCTCGGTACATGGAACTGGCACGAAATTGGGCTTGCAAGTTTTTTGGTGCTCCATCGCTTCCCTGCAGTGCCTCCCAGCATGAGGAGTAGCTCCCCCATAAAATGGAGGGACTCTCGGTTTCCGAGTCGAAGAGGGCCTTCCCAAAAGTCTACCGTCTGGTAAGGTATTGCCGTAAAGCGGTAGTCCCAAAGGACGTAATCGGACGCGGTTTGCGTTCCGGATGCGTCGATAGTTTCGCCATCGTGCGAGATTTCAGAGCACCCACAGAAGGCATGGTGCTTACGAAAAGGTTCTATTGCCACGATGCTCTCCAGTCCAAGTTCGTTGTTGAGCCACAGCTGTACTTCGCACTTCCAAATTTTACGAGGGCACATATTGACTGTTTTTGTTGTGTCTGAATGTCTTTCAAACTGCTACGTAAATATCCACTTCTTTGGTGTCGCTCGAGCTTACCGTAATATCCCGCGAAATGGCCCACCTTCCCGAGATAATCCACCCGTTTTCGGCACGATTTTCTACTTTTTCAAAAACACTGGAAGATAGCCCGCTTCTAGTAGTTGCAGGGCCCTGGCCAACGGTGACCTCGGCGAAAATGTTGTTAATACTTACCTATGACGGGAGACAAGCGAACATTGCCGACTTGGAAGGACGGCAATTTTTGCTTCATAGCCCTTAGCTGCGATCGCAGGCTCCACGGGACACAAAATCTCAAGCTAGCACATTTTTTTGGATCACACACGAAAAGTTGGCCCCGTTTTAAGCCTAGCTGCTTTCGATTCTAGGTGGGCTATCACCGGTGATATTACGGTCTTTGTCTTGCGCCAAGTCTGGGAGCACACTCGTGTCTTACCCGCGTCCTCTCGAACCGCAAAGATGGTGACTTCGCACAGCTCTTCGACGCTGTGTATGTCCACGGCGTGAACCCTGGCCGAAAATTCTCCCCTGTAGTTCCAGATGTTTCCTGCGGAAAACTCGACAGCTCGGGTAAGTCGGTCAAACGTCTCCGTCACGTACGAATGCCGACGTTACGTCGTCTCGCATGCTACTACCTTTCCAGATGTCCAACTGGGGCTTGCGGACCGTGTCGTTTTTGTCTTCTAGCAGGTAATAGACGACATTGGGCTCTGTGTGGACAAAAGGTGACGAGTTGGGTATGCCCCGACGGGGGAATGCTGCATGGTCTTGGCGTCGAACGACGTGCTAACGGGACAAGTCATTTTGCCATTGATGCGACGCGTCGACCTTGAATTTTTCAAGAACTGCATAGTGAAGTTTGCAAAATGGCTACGGTATGCTTGTACTGTTGGTTACTCACACTCTCGTTTTAGTGTGGCAGGAAGCCAGCCTGACGAGTAAATCGCCACGGTTTGATGAAAACGGATCATTTGGTGCACAGGAGGTCTTTGGGAGAAGTCAAATTGGGATTTTTATTTTTGCCACATTAAGCAAAGCACTACGCTACGACGGTGAAGAACAAATTATGTCCTAGTTTCCTCGCAAAAGTAGCGGAGAAATGTGCTCTTAATGTGCGGCATATTGCGAGGTTGTGATTCGAGCATGAACCAACATCCCGACACTGCACACTTCATTGCGAATCATCCCAGGTCTCGTACAGTCTTTGCTGTATTTCCAAAAATGTATACCTAAGAACTTTCAGAAGCACTAAAATTCCGCTAAAGTCGGCCTTCTTCAACTAGTCAAGACTGGCACCAGGTAGAAGTATGAAAGAATACTGGGAAGTTGCGGTAGGCTCGCGAGACAAGGATCTAAGTAATGCGAAGGTTTTGAAAAGAGAGGTGACACTTTATTCCGGGCAAGAGGAGGTTCTTACGTGGACTGGCCACGACCCGGGAGAGGGCCACGGGAGCGGAGCGGTTCAGGAAGAGGCGCACAGAAGCCCGCGTGCGGTTCAGTTCGGACAGCACGGAGAAGCAGGTGTGGTCGTCGCCGTCCCAGATGCGAGCAACGCGCTCACTCACCACGCCACTGTAGTTGAGCACCTCGACGCTGTACGGAACTGCGTTGAACCAGGCCTTTAGTGCCCCGCTGTTCAATACTCGGGGGCCAACTACGTAATTGTCGTCTGCCGGGCAGAAAAACAGTTCCCAGTTTTCTTTTCTACCCATGGGAGTTTGAACTAATCCCCGCAGAGAGGAGGAGTGAAATCGGCAAATAAAAAGGATGCCAAAAACAACATTTAAATGTACCCGCGCTTTTCAGTGCCGCGACGTCACTGGCAGGCGCACTTGAAGATCGAACGGGCAGTTTCGAAAACGGAGTATGCCTGAGAGCTACATCAAGCACCTGCTGCGCAGGTGCTCGATGTAGCTCTCAAACCATTCATTCGGCACCTTGGAACTGCTCGTAATCAGTTGGGAACAAAATGTAGTCCCAAGAGCGAACCCCTGCCTGCAGCCGGCGTCACTTTTTCATTCTTGCCAAACATCATGAGGACCAAAAACGTAAATTTATTAATTAAAAAAAAAAAGAAATATTTGTCTTTACATTTGGGTTATTAGCTCAGCGATGTTTGTTGGTGTGTCCAGTAAATTTTGAGGCAAATCGGGGACCTCGAACAAAATGCTGGAGCATAAAGGGCCCCTGAAAAGAAACAAAAGAAGATTTTTCTTTTTTTAACAGTCTGGTTGCGACACGCGTGTCAAAAAATTAATTTTACGCAAAAAGAAAATGTTTAGGGCAATATTGAGGGCACGAGATGCAATTTAGTCGGGAGTCACCTCGTTTCCACTTGTTTTCTCTCTCGGCATTTCGGACGCGTGGAAGAGAGCTGCATCAGCTTCGCCTTCACGTTGAGGGGGAAAGAGCGAATGCCCAAGATGGTCACAAGTATTTGATGGTCATTCCGGAATGACCCGTTACGTCATTAACTTTGCGCGCAGAATTTCAAATAAATCTCTCGCCGTCAGTATTGCTCTAAAATGTCCCAACCAAAATGTTTAAAAAAAAGTTTTTTTTTCTTTTCAGGGTTTTTTTAAGGCGAGTTCACGCGTGCACCACGGTGTTGGCACCACCAAAAAACGGGTACAAACGTGCTGGAAATGATGCCGCCGCAAAGGAATCGCTATGGCACAACTTTAGGCTTTCTGGTTTTCGTGAAATGATTTGGTGCCATAATTTGCCGTTTAAATATAACGAAAATAAAATTGGCGTCTGGCAGTGTCCCTTTTACACGCGTAAAATCTCGCAACATGTCGTCTGAGAAAGGAACTAGAGCAAAAGCGGCCAGACCTGTACAGTCTCTTTCTCGAAGCACATTTGCTGAAAGTGAGCGTCACCACGTCGGGGTGTCTGCGATAGACCCCTTTCAAAATTGTGCCCCTTCTGGCATAGCTGAAAATGCTTCATGTAGCGGGCAAAATGGGAGGCAGTCGCGCGATCGAATGACGTTTTAGCGAACGCCCATGTTTCACCAAATGACACTTCAGCACGGGTGGGCCAAGTGGGTTCACTTTTGTAATGAGCCGCCGCAGACTCGCCGCAAAGTGGCGTAAGCGCGGCAAAAAGAGGTGGGTTAATAAGCCTTTATTCGCTAAAACGTCGATTCGCTCAAATGTCGCTAAAACGTCATTCGCTCACGTGATATGGAGCAGTTTCCATCCGATAAGGGTCTTTCTTTGAAGCAGATTACTTATTCTCTTTTGTGGCAAGATAGATAGGATGCAAAAAGAACGCGTAGCCTTTTTTTTAGAAATAAGGCTAGAGTCGGAGTGGGTACCATTTATGATTATTTTTTAAAAAAATATAGAAAAACGAAGCATAGCGCAACGCTTCAGTCGAGAAACAGCCTCTCTCTCTTTCACTCTGCAGTAATTTAGTCGGCAGATATAATTCGCCTAAAATGCCGGCAAAAATTGGCACGTTTGCTAAAACACGTATCCATAAAAGTGCGTCCCCCCAAGGTTTTTGAACACTGAACTCGAGGTTCTAATTTCGTAAGCTGCAAAAGTAACCACCCACAAATATGAATAAAATGTACGTTGTTTTTTTATTTATCGGCTTTCTTCCGAGTGCCGCACAAAGAGCCCTAGGCCTTTCTAGTGGTGCACTGAAAACGATCCCATGCACAAAACAAAGGTCTCCATGTCGTGATGAAAGAAGAACATTGATGCACTCTGGAAATTTCCATTCGAGTCCAAAAATGTCAATATCAAGATTACCCGAGCTAGATTCCTATTTGTTGAAGACCAGGTGCAAATGAGTCATAGTGTCACTTCAAAAGCAACATTGAGCTTTTGCGGCAGTTGAACCAGAGTCGAGTTTGCTCCCCTTTTGATTGACCGCTGCACGTGAACTACCTTGGCTAACATGTTCACTCAAGTATAGACACGTATTCCCTTCTTAAAATTAGAGGTCAACCTACTGTCGAGACCAGAGGAGGTCTACCTGTTGAGCATAATTCCCGAGCCAATCGTGCTCTCCACACGAGCCGCTGCTCCTGGCACTGCGGTGCAAAGCGGAGACGCTCGACGCACTGGTGCCAGGCCGTGAAGGTTGACGCGGGTGGCACGCCGTGGCCACCACGCGGAGGCGTGTGGCAGACATAAGGATCGAGTGGTATCGTTGGCTATAAAAGACTTTGGTTGTCTCGGTACAGTAGCGGCCATCCCACTGTTCCGCAAATTTTTCTCCAGACTCCTGGCTCCCGACATTGTCTAAAAAAGTTGACGAGCAGTCTCTACACTTTGTTTCACCTCGAGTCAAAGCTCGGGCGATGTTACGAGCCAATGAAACGGCATCAAAAGTGCGACGTTGTGGCATTCGTCGTCTATCTGTACGTGCTCTTGCATCCGCTAAACCAACCAAGTGCAGCGATTGCACCTAGACTCGCACCTTTAGTGTGCGTGTTCGTAGGCGTTTGAGCTTTGAACTGTGCCCCGATCTAAGATGAAACAAACTATACGATGGGTAGAGGCACTGGGGAATGCATATTTGTACCATTTTTATTTCCTTCTAGTTCTCTAAATATTAACGGAGAATAGTATTTTTAGTTTTTGCTCTATTTAAGCTCATCTCGGCGCAGGTGTGGTGCAATCCTTAGCCAAAATGATGCTTCGGCGCAAGATGTCAGACTTTCTTTCGGGGCACAAATGGCCACAGCACTTCCATCGCAGAACTGCAAACCGATTTCCTATTTGTCAACCTTCATAGAAGAATTTGTTAAGAACAGCCGCGTAGCAAAAGCCTTTTGAAAGCGTACCATCTTTTTGTTTCGGTCTTTGAAATGACCATCTGGCACGGGCCATTAACTCTCGATAATGAGCAGTTTCTTTCTTAATGCGAGATGCATCGCTCACAAAATGGGATTTTAACGAGTATCCCCGACTAAACGAAGATATTAATGACCATTCTCGTAGAAAACACCCGCTGCTTTTAAACGAGCAACACACGTGGCATCCAAAAACTTTTGCAACACAGAACGCGCGACAGAAAAATGCTCAGCAATCCAGGAATTGTGGAAGGTGCTCCAAGGAGCGGCGTCACTCACCCCCCTTGGCCCGACACGCAACAGCCCACAAAAGGAGCGGCCAAACTTTGCCAAGAGCCATGCTATGTGCGAGGAAACCAAAGGCTGCCAGCAATTGTGCCTCGTTGCTCCATCACGATACAATCACGCACTTCCTCGGCCAGCTTCCTGTCTTTTCAAGGGCAGATAAGGTTAATGAACCAAAATGCATTTGCTGCATTCAATTTATCGGGTCGAGGCAACCCACATTTCAGGATTTTTGGGCCATGGACGATTCCTACGGCAAAGGAAATTGCTGCACCCAAGTGTAGGCACCCACCGAGCTGCACACTTCCTTTTCTCGGAGAAACTTTCAATAATGATTTGCATAGGAACAACAGTTTTGCAAAGAATGTGCGTGAAGAGCCCACCACGGTTATTTGGAGTCTGTAAAGACGTGCTGGCAAGAAAACTAGGACTGCAGCTTACCAACTTTAGGCTCCGATTTCCAAACCGTTCGACAAAACGAGATAGTGGAGGCTACTCCGGTCGTAGCAGAAAGCCAGATCAAGTGCTGTCACTCGCATTTTGTACGGGTGTAGAGATCATTCCAAGAAAGCTTGTAGCCAGCACCATCTTCAGTTTGTGCACGCTTTGCTCACTTTACAAAGCGACAATCACTCGCGTGCTCGGCTCTGGAAACATTGGGACGGTGTAAACTCTATACTTGCAGCATCACCTCGTTCTTTGATCACTTCTTCGAATGTTCTACACCCGAGATCTCCAAACACCCGACCGGCGACCCGCTGCTAGCAACGCAAAAATCCTGTGGAAAAAAAAAATAAATATTGCGTTGCTACATGCACCAAAAACACAGATATATATAATGAGAAAAAACTGCACCATAATGGCGGTTCTTTGGCCATATTTATTGTGCACAGTCATCACCAGCATTACTATTTGTAGTCCCGTGCAACTAGAATTCCTTTGAAATCTCACATATATTTAAGGGTGACCAGACGTCCCGTTTTTGAGGTCCGCTTCTGCTGTCCCGTCTTTTTGTCCTAATAAAGAATCGTGTCCCGTTTTCGGGACATGATTCTTGTTTTTTTTCTATATATGTGCGCAGACTTTTACAGCCGAGTCTTGCAGAATAAAGTCCCGCTTAAGAAGCTTCAGTCGTAGGCAAAATACGTCCACACCAACGAAGGACCCGAAGCACTCATTTGGAAGGTCCTTCCAAATGAGTGCATGCAACTGAACCACGAGTGGGGCTGTTCTTTAGGCCCTAGGGCTTGGTGCAATATGGTAATGTTTTGAAATGAGAGCAGTTACTTCATTAAAGTTTTTCTCCCAATCTCAATATTTAAAAGCACCCCCCCCCCCCCCCCCACTGGGATGTCCAGTTTTCTACCTCGGGGAGTATGGTCACCCTACATATATTGTGCATAGCATCCTATGTCGTACTAGTTTGTTTAGCATTGTTCGGGTACCTTGGAAAACGAAAGGATGCATGCGCAAAGTGGGCGCCAGAGTATCGGTAGGAGAACCATCTCCCTTCCTAATTCGTCTTCTGCCCCGTGTGGATCACATTTTGTAATATCATAACTAGCTATTTGTTGAATTAAACATAGTATATGTATTCATCCACCTTACATTGTTTAAATGTTCTCGTTTAATTATCAAAATGCTCGTATAGGCTTATTTGTTTGGTATCTTTATTTCAATTTGCTCAATTTTCTGCCCTCAAGACTTCCCAATCCCAGCCACAACACTTGGGAGACCCCCACCCTAGAATGACATAGGCATGCTCCTAGGCTTGCCAGGGCACGCCTTCAGAACAATTCCTTCCAGATCATCCGGAGTTGATCTTCCAGTTTCGAGACGAAGATATTCTTGCCTTTTCCAATATCTCCAACACTCACAAGACACCGTGTACGAGGAAACGGTTTATTATCGAGAATCTTCTCCAATCTCCCAGGGCAGGGACGAGATCTCGGCAACTTTCCGGAGGCTGGAGCTGAAAAACTAGAAACATTAACGGCACCACATAAACACTTTGCGACACGCTACTCAATTCCAACAGCTCGCAGTACTGCCTGCTGTCCTGCTCCGAGCTAAGAGTTTAGCTGCCCAACTTTCCAGAGACACTGCTTTCCTGTAAAGAGTAACTGCAAAGCTACGTGACACCCAAAATAATCATCAGAATGGATAAAATCAGCCAATACAGAGTTCAGTTTTCCTGACTGGCTCCAGCTAGAATGCAACTTTATTGAAAACATCAATGCCCATTACACGCTACAATGAATATGACAATGCAGTTTTGATACAGCACACCGCAATAACCAAAGCACATCTAACAAGGACAAAAGAAATCACTTTACCTCGAGATGCTACGAGAATGAATGGGGAAGGGTGGAACACACATCTCAAATGGATCGGCGACTGAAACTTTACCAGTGTTCTGGGAGACAATGTTGAAAGGATGGCCGTTGCACCGCCGAGGTCTAAAGGCAGGCCGGCGCGAGAATGACGCTGGTACGACAAGTAGGCATTCCACGACAATTGGGATGAGGGCGACAAATGCCGTTGCTTTTCGCTTCGTGCGGTGAATTTGAGTGACAATTGGTAACATCCACAAAGAAAACAAAGTGACATTGCTCATAAGAGAAGGGGGGTTCACAGCCTCATCTGGCTTTTGCAAAACAATGTTTTCACAGCCTCTTTTTTTTCTCTCGCAAAACAAGCTTTTCACTGCCTCGCTTCTTCCGAGCATTCGCAACAGAGGCTTGGAGCTTTTTTTCGCCAATTCACATTTTGCGCTTTGCCTTTGCTAGTTGCACGTGTCATTTTCAATAGAGGCACAGTTTTTCTCTTAACATTGTGCTACAATGGCGCTCGAGACAGAACCAAAGAAATAAAGCCAAGCCGTGACATTTTTGCGCGACTGACAATCTTCTCGGTTGAAATTCTTCCCCCTCGTGAACAAAGTGCAGAAAACAGTGGGCTCTCGCAACACAGGTACACAGAACTCTGGGTTGTAGCAACCATCGTGCTCTCAAAGAGGGGCAACTAGGGCTCTCAGTAACGCCTGACCCCCCCTCCGCCGCCCATGTAGCGGTTGGCATTGAAGTTGGCCCCTCCCCCCATGCCCGAGTGGGCCATCATGTTGGAATTGCCGGCCCCCGAATTGTAGCCCTGCGAGCCCTGCCCCGCCGCCCCCCCGCCTCGGCCCCCCGACACCCAGCGCTCCGGCTGCGAAGACCACGATGAGTCCTGCTTGCGCCCCGCGTCCGCGCCCCAAGACTGAGAGACCCCGGACGAGGAGTAGCCCCCCCTGCCCCCTTGGCGGCCCCCCGAGCCCCACAACTCCCCTCCCCCCGAGGGGAACCTCGCACCTCCCCCGTAGGCCCCGCCCCCTGCCGAGAAGCCCTCCTTGGGGGCAAAGCGCTGGCGCCCCGGCGGAGAGTCCCTGGTCGGCCGGTCTCTGCGGAACTCCCGGTCCCCAAAGTCCCCCGGGGAGCGCTCAAAGCGCCGGTCATCTCTGTCCGTGCTCCGGTCGTAGCCCATGTGGGGACGCTTGGCGCCCCCCGCCCGCCAGAAGTCGCCGCCACCCTCCATGCGCGGCGCCGCGGGCGGGACCCCCCCTTCTTCGTCGTAGGGTCGCTTCATGGGCCGGCGCATGGGGCCGCCGTCCCCAAAGTCCCCCCGCCCCATCTTGCGCAGGCGGAGCTCCTCCCGCTCCCGCTGGATGCGCTCCCGCTCCAGCCGCTGCTTCTCGCGCTCCAGGCGCAGCAGCTCCAGCCGCTCTCGCTCCAGCTTCTCCCGCTCCACGCGCAGGCGCTCCCGCTCGCGCTCAATGCGCATCGCCTCCTCGTGCTGGCGCCGCTCCAGCTCCCGCTGCCGGAAGGAGGGACCGTCGCCGTCTCGAAAGGGCCCGCCCCGGAAGGGCTCCCGCTGGTCACGTCCAAAATCGTTGTTGTTCATGCGCGCGCGGAAGGGTCCGCGGAAGAAAGGCCGGCGGACGAAGGGGCGCCGGAAGCCCCGCGTCGGGCGAAAGCCCCGGATGAAGGGGCGGAAGAAGCGCCGCCGGGGGAAGTGCTCTCGCGAGTGGCTGCGGCTGCGTCTGCGGACCTCCCTGTGCTTGCGGCCCTTGCCCTCCTCCTCCTCCTCTTCGTCCTCCTTCTCCTCGGCATTCTCGTCCACCACCTCCAACTCCTCTTCCGGCTTCTCCGCTTCCGCCTTGGCCGGCTTGGCCTTCTCGGCCGCCTCCTTGGCTTTGGCCGCCTCCTTGGCCTTGGCCGCCGGCTTTGGCTTGGCGGGCGGGGCAGCCGCTTCTTTGGCCTCTTTGGCGGCCGCAGCCGGCTTGGCAGCCGGAGTGGCCGGAGCCGCGACTGTCTTGGCTTCAGACTTGCGGAGGGCTCCGCCAGGCTCATGCCGGGTCCGCTCCACGGAGATCATCTTTCCGTGCAGCTCGGTGCGGTTCAGATGTTGGATGCATTTGGACGCCTCCTCCGGCGTTCCCATCGTCATGAAGCCGTAGCACCGCGAACCGGGGGTCTTGGCGTTGGTCACTATTTTGGCGGATACCACTTTGCCGTGCTTGCCAAACAGTGCTTTGAGGTCGGCGGCGCGCGTGGTGTTGGCGAGCCCGCTCACCCACAGGTTGCGTATGGTCTCTTTGTCCACTTTGGGGACCACTTTGACGACCTTGGCCGCGGCGGCCTTGGCCTTGGCCGGAGCCTTCTTTGCCGTCTCGGTCTTGGCCGCTTCGGCGGCCTCCTTCTGCGCTTTGGCGGCCTCGGCCTTTTTGGCCGCCGGGGTCTTGGCCGCGGCCGTGTTGTTGGTCACTTTGACGTCGGCCGCCTTGCCATCGTCCTCTTCCATGTCGCCGTCGAGGTCGTGGTTATCGTCGACGTGCACGATAAGCGCCTGCTCGGACTCCTGCCCTCCCTGCCCGTCCTCCTCCTCTTTGGCTGGCTCGGGCTTGGCCGCTTCTTTCTTTTTCTCCGGCTTACCTGGCTCTGCGGCCGGCTCCTTCTCATCTTCCTCGTCCTCCTCGTCTTCGTCACCGCCCGCCTTGGCGTCTCCCTCGGCCACGCTGTCCTCGTCCTCTTCGTCCACGGTCTCGATCTCGGCCTCCTCCTCATAGTCCGAGTCACCGGCCTCGTGAGCGTCGTCGTTGCTCTGCGTCTCGGACTCGTTGTCCTGACTGAGCTTCTTGTTGACGCGCTTCGTCGGCGGCTTCTTGACCGGCGTGGGCTCGGCCGGCACCTCAAACTCGAACGATTCCGGGTCCTCGCCTTCGTCGCGAAGCGCGTGCGACAGCCTCTCGATCAGGGCCGCCTTCACGCCCGTTTTGTCCAAGTCTCGCTTCTCGAGTTCTCCGCGCAGGTCGATCACACGAAGCTCCGACATCTTTTTCTTTGTGGTCGAGTTAGCACTATCCGGGCTGGGAGCCATATTGGATTTGGCGCTACGGCGGCGGTTCACGCGAAACGGCGATCGAACGGAGACTCGGAACAACGCACCTTTGGCGACGCTGACACCTGCAACGTTGGCGCAGATGATCGACGACGGATCGCCGACCGGAAGGTCCTAGAAACTGGCTACCGTCAAAACGCCGGTTCACTACGCATCCACCCTCCAACAAGATGAAATGGCGCCCACTAACGATAATCGTATCGTGCTCTGATTGGTCGAAAGCGGCTTTGGTGGCGTTAGCCGCTTTGGCAGCGTTCGCGAGGTATGCCACGCGTGTGCCGTTGGAGCGGTTGGAGCGTTGGGGCGCCAGCTGCTGATCTTAATATATATTTATGCCCAGCGCTGTAAAGAAAACTAAACATAGATTATCTAACAGGTAAAGTTTGTACAAAGGACACTTTTTTTTTTGCCTTGTAAGGTGAGAGCGTGAGAGGCAATGTCTAAAATGTCCCACTCCCGCGAGTGAAGCCACCGGACGGCCATCTTGCTGGTAGACAATTTTCGGTTCTGCTAGCGTTACAGTGGCTAGCGGCAGCGTGCTGAAGACACGTTTTCTACTCGTTCGTCGTCACTCGTCGGAGAAGATTTTTAGTATCGTGTGTAAAGGGTGAGACTTTCCGTTGAGAACGCGCAAACATTTTTACGAAAGCGCAGTGCAGCAGGAAAAAGCCACAACAAAAATAAAGATTTTGTGCTACTGATTTGATGGCCATACGCGTATAATAATAAAAAAAAAACGCACCACTGATGCCGTTTTTTTTTTTTTTTTCCAACCCCCCACTTTTTTTCCGTCGCCACTGGACGCTGGATCAAGCTCGGCTGGACGACGGCGAGTGTGGCGAAAATCAGCCCACTTCCAGCTGGATTATGGAACTGGTCCCAGCTGGACTGTCTCATTTCCAGCTGGAACCATAATCCAGCTGGAAGTGGGCTAATTTTAGAGTAAAAAAGTAAAACGCTGCCCAGAGGATACGGCTCCACGCACATTGCACTGGCAAAACACATCCACACGGCGCCGAAACGAATCTTCATCGGTATCCAAGCGTGCGAAGGCACATAGACGCAGCACTTCGGCGTGCCTTTGAACCCGTCGCGAGACCGGCGAAACTTGCTTTCGACGAGTTGTGCCTTTTAACTGCGACACTGCGCTTTTGTAAAATTAAAAAAAAAAAAAAATCAGTGGTCTTGGTTGTCTATTTAAGATTGTGTTTTGTGAAATAAACCTCAGCTAGCTGTGTTCGGAGATCCGTGTTGTCCTGCCCTGTTCCTCTCTATTCCACTCTCCAGGGTTCAAAAAAATGTCAGTGGTCTGTTCTTTCCTGTCTTCCTTGGCGTTTTCCATTTCCCTGCCCCCAGCCTCAGGTTTACCTTCACGTTCAACTTGCACCACCTCACCAGCACTCCGATTATAGTTTTCATCAGTTCACCACCATCCCGATCACTGATCTCTATTGGTGGTGGTCGTGAATACGTTTATTTAAAGAAAAAAAAAATATACATCTCCGGAGACTCGAAGTTTTAATGACGCGGTGGCCTTAAGGCTTTGCATCGTCTCCTAAGTTAAAGGTGTTAGATGGAGTTTCTCAGGTCTCCCTCAGGAATATACTCTAAGAGAGATCCAACGTTACTAGAGGATCTGGTCTTGCGTGAGGTGTCGCCCGCTGGGTGCGTCCAGTCCTGCAGTTTTGAAGGTCTTTCATCATTCGCCATCTTACTGAAGATGAGTGTTCTGAGGGGGGAGAGGGCCTCACATTCCCAGATTATGTGTTTAAGTCTGGGAATGGATTCCTCGGCTTGACACCGCTGGCATCTGGGGTCGGGAGGGACAGCGTAGGGTTGTTAAGTCTTGCCAGGTCAATTTGGTATCTGAACCTGGGTGTGACTGCTCTCCTGTGCGTATGCGGCGTAGGATCACTGATTCTTTTCTCTTGAATTCTTTCCTAGGGAGAGGATGTTGTTCTGGGGTCCATGCATCTCGCCAGATGTTTTCGTGTCTTCTGGGCTAACCTGGGTTCCTCCCTTGGATCGTATGGGGGAAGCTCAGTGTCTTGTTGCTGTGGTGCTGAGCCTGCCGTAGAGGACTGAGACAACAGGGACGGTTGCGTGAGATTCCTCATCGCCTGCTGTGCTGCCTCATGGGCTAGCTCGTTGCCCGAAATGCCTTCGTGCCCGGGAGTCCACCTGACATTAATTTGAATTTTCTTGGATCGCAAAGGCGATGATAGCGTCATTAAAACAAACATTAAAACTGACAGCCCTAGCAGTTCTTATGAATAAATATTTTGTGGTCGAGAGATGACTCCGCTGTAGTGCAGCTCAATGAGGCGAGACTTATCGCAGACGACAAGCTCGAAGGCTTTACTACGCGGAATTCGCTCGCTCCCGGAAAGCCGCTGTCGAGATGGTACGATGGTACTTCTTTGACATTCATCAACTTCTTGGCTTCCCCGAGGACGGTCTCATTGACGGCAAGTTCCTTTGTTTACTCCGCTACGAGAGCAAGCTTGCCAGCTCAGCCGTAGGTGCTACATTTGATTTTTTTAATCGGTGTTCGAACGTTTGACAAGTACCGATTCGATCTCCAAACACCCGACATAAGGATCGCAGCACACCATAAAATACTGGCCCCCGAGCACAGCGTGCATGCTTCAATATTCCTACTTTTGTGCGTTTCTCACGTACTGCCTGGTGTCAAGCAATGGCCGCCGGTGGCGACACCGACAGGCTCCCGATCCGCGATCCAGCCTACCACACGCGCACGCCTTCCCCTTGTAAAAGATTCGAAGTAAATAACCAAACTAAAGCGTTGACGAATGCGCGTGCAAGATGCCATTTGTTTTAGGTATTTGCTTCAGAAAAGTTACTACTGCTGAGGCCAGCACGTACGGCGCGTGGAAGACCAATCCCTGCATTCTCCTTGATGAGGCCTGGGAGGCGACCTTGTCCAGCTGGTTCAGCCAGGTACTCGACGAGGACCAGTTCAATTTTCAACATAGGCGCGGCATCGCCAATCTCTGTGGCACGGCCTGTCGCCTTTCCGCGGTGCCGTGGCTCTCCCGGCCCCCGGGTAGGACCAACGTGAGCTAATTTGGCGCGCTCGCTGGATTCGGGAGGCCAACCGAGCCCTGAACTGAGGGCTCCGACCGGATTAAGGTAGCAGTTTGGGCCAGTTGGTTCATGATCACCTCAAGAAGCGCAAAAAATGCAAGGACGACGAAGTAAACAGAGCCTGACAGAGCGCTCGCGGAGTAACATAGAAAGGAGCCCGATGTAAAAGAAATAAACTGCATTAAGGTAGCAATTTGGTACAGTTGGTTCATGATCACCTAAAGAAGCGCCAAAAATACAAAAACGAGGAAATAAACGGACGGTGGGTATCCTAATCTTTAGAGAAAATAATGTTTTAACCATTACCACCTCGTTTTTCTTCGACGCGTCCTTACCTTTTCTGATGTTTCACCACAGTGACTAAGTGGCGCAACCTGCCGCCCAATTCAGAGTTAGACCTATTTATTTTTTCATTTATCCAGCTAAAACTTGTTTATTGTCAAAGATGGCCGCCCACAGAAAAGGTGTGTTGGAGTTCGACGGCGTTCAGGTGAAACCTTCGAGCGATCTGCTGACGTTCCTCAAAGACGTGTGCCAGAGCGACGAGTACGCCGAATCCCTGAAGAAGCAAGTACGACGGGTCCTTGACAAACACCCCGTGCGCGTACCGTTTAAGACGCTCAAATGCGTTCGCGACGCCGCCAGAAAAGCGTCGCAGCCCCCCGTCTACCTGCACGAGCTGCTCGAAAGGTCGGAACTTTGCCTACCGAACCCCGTGACGCCACCGCGGAACCCGGAGCTCGAACTCCGGATCCAGAAGCTGAAGGCGCAACAGATGAACCGCGAGTACGACCGCATGACGGCGAACGTGGATCGATGTCGGAAATCGGTCGGTACCGCCGCGGCGACGTCCTCGGCAGTGGGCGCCGAGATTCGCGAGGTGAAGAAGCAGTCCCTGGCCGTGGTGAACCTGCTGCTCAGCATCGGCGGCACGTTCGCCTTCTTCTACAAGGCGGTCGAGTATTCGCTGCCAGAGCCCCACATCGCGGCTCAGGTTTTGGCCGGACTCTTCGCGGCCATCGTTGTCGCTGTTGCCGAGCTTTATTTTGTTATCAAAGTCATTTAAAGCCTCCTTTCTTGTCCAAGTGTAATGAAAGCGTATTTTTGAAGAAACTCCAAATATATATATAAATATATGCACACTTGTCACAATTTTGAGTACCGAAAACCACTAAATCAGTCAATCTAGAAGGATTTGAAGCTTGCAGGGGGCTGCGCTAAAGTTACCACTGGTGCAACAGGCTCAAGGCGGCTGATATCATCCTTGTCTTTGCACCTGCAGCCTTGAGCTTGTCGCGCGAGTGGTATGTTTAGCGCACCCCCACCCCTCCCACGTGCTTTGAGTCCTTCTAAAATTACTCATTTAGTGGTTTTGGTTGGAACCATATGTCTATTTTAACTAACTAAAAAGCTAATGAACAAATTTTAGTCGAAAATTCGACTTATTGTGACGATTATCTCCTTATATTAAGAAGTTCTAAAATAGCGTGTGCAATTTTAGTGCATGCTACTGCTAGCACTAAATTTAGCGCTTGCTTTAGCGCACGCTACGCGAGAGAGTTTTAGGATATTGTTTCTTCGCCAATGACACAAAAGCCTAAGCATCTCGCGCTTGGAATGCCACCAAGATGCAGTCACAATTTTTATTTCACGCAGTAAATACTGTAACTCGAGAAAAAAATTCGTCCAGAGTAACATTTAGATTTGTTTAAACATGAGAATGCGACGCGAGCAGTCGACTGGTCGTGTCCGCTTGCGTCACCTCGGCAAGAGAGGTCTTGTGTACTGACCGTCGCACTCGGTTCCTTTGCCGAGAAATGTTTGAGCGTCGCGAGCCTCACATTACCGGCGATCGTTGCCAAACTGAGTGCAATGTCGTCCCGTATTGAAAATCGCAGTCGTGAGGATGCCGCCGACGTCGCACTCACGACGCCGCCAAAGCAGCCGCACACATGGTCCTGGGCGCCGCCATTTTTTAACAGTGATCGTCTTGGCTTTAGTCAACTTCTCATCACGAATCCTCCTTCGAGGAGCGCAGAGAATCTTTGCGTATGCGCACCATTTAAAAAAAAATAGCACACGCAAAGCTTAAAACGCGGTTAGCGTTCGGCGCATGTGCGGGACGACGACGCTATTCTTTGCGTACACAAAGCTTTAGCGTGCGCTATTATAAAACTTCTTATGTCCCTCTGGCCGTATGACTTGCCCGCGAAAGCCGCATTAGTGTGCCATTTGCAGCTTTTCTTTAGCATGTCTGAAAAGATAAGACGCCCTGTGTATACATGGCTTGCCTATGACGTCATTCGCGGCCATCCAGTATTTTATGCGCCGCGAGTGTTGGGTTTATCGTGTTAGTTTCCCATTGCGTGTGTTGTACTTTGAAGAAGCCAGCAAGTATAAATAACTAGAGATGCCGCAAACTTTCTGCAAACCTGAGGTTTGAAATGTTTGCGAAGTTTCAGAATGTCGAACTTATTACATAAAAAAGTAGTGGATTTTCAATTTTTTCGATTTTGGGTTGTTTTCAAACTTCCGACATTTTTACGGTACGAAATTGAACATTTTTGAACTTTGGAATTTATCACGCTAAGAACTTTGACAAATTTCAAACTTTTGAAAGTGTTAGGCTCAAGCGTTTGACGAACTTCGCGGGGCTGCAAGTAGGAATAACGCGAGATATCACCAATGTGTGAAGTGGTGAAAAGTGCACTTAGCCGATGGCAGCCCGAACAACTCGCTTTTAAAGCGCCGAATGATCGCTTTGGAGAGGCCTCGTACCTTGCACAGCAAGAGCTGTTTCGGGCTCTTTCCGCCACTGGGCCCTTTTCACTGTCGTTGTAGTGGGCGATGGAGGGCATCCGTCGCCGAGGGTGCCAAAGCCTTAAAAAAGGGCGCCCACCGCCTGTGGGATCGCACCTGGGTCAGCGGTGTGAATACGACGCCGATGCCCAACAACCTCGCCGTGACGGGTCGCTGCCATCGCTGGGACTGTGCGTTGTCCCGCAATGTCTTTTTTTTTTTTCGACTTCCACACAAAGTGTATTTTTGTAGGTTGTCCCGAGGTGGGCCAACAGATCCCCGATCTGCAGGCTCCAAATTCAACCGAGCTGCTTCACCGGGGATCCTTCGTGGCCCCGATTTCCTCGAGTTAGCGGCCGGTCGGGGAAAGGTGCCCCAATGCGCTACAGCGAACGCTGGACCTGCGCTTACGTCGTTATCATTTGTAGCCGGCTGCATTTTAGAGCGGCCAATATCTTCGTTAATCGAAGAAAAAAATGTTCCACACGGAGGAAATGTGGTCAGCCCGACGAGAACCAGTCATGGACCTGATCGTCTGTATTTTCGGGGGGGGGGGGGGGGGGGGGGGGTCCCCTATTCAACCTTGAGTTGTGTCGGGGTTGCTGTGCCCGAGTCCAGTGTTTACTCCACCTTGCGGGTCACCCAGCTAGAAATAAACGCCCAAAGGAACTAAAAATTTTAGGGATGCCTAGACGCCTTCATGTGCGTGCGTTGTTCCGTATGTTGAGTTGTCTTATGGCACCATTGCATTTAGGCGACGTTTGATCAAATTGCTACTGGGTTCCGAAGTAGTAGTAATCACGTACGCGGACCTGACTGCCTTAGGGCTTTTCCATGAACCGTTCAACCAATTCAACGCTCGTTTCATCAGTTACAACAAATAACAAGCAATACAGGTAGTGCCGCCAATGCCACAGCACTGAAAAGGAAGGAAATTCGAGGCATAAAAGAAATGGGCAAAGTTTTCCGTAAAATATTTTCGCAATTTTTTTAGATGATTTTATAAAAACATAGTTTCAACTGCAGATTTTGATCTCTGTCTGTGAAGTTCGGGGGCTTAGAACTTAAAATAGAACTTTTCAAACTTGTACCTCGAAAAATTTTAAATCGTCTAATTTGTCAAACTTGAATGCTAAAGAAGTTAGAAATGTTCGAAGTTTTGAAGCGATCTGTAAAAACATTTGAAATCTTCCAACTCAAACTTTTGAAAACATTGACACTTTCAAATGATTCAAATCCGAACCTCGGCGGGATCCTAAAGTTGCGAAATTTTTCAATTTGAACCTTAGTGAGGTTTGAGATCCCTGGAAAGCTCAAACTTCCACCGAATGTGCTTTCAGGTGGTCAGTTTGATTTTGTAAAATTTCAAGGTGCTCCCTTCTTGTAAAAATAAGACGAACAAACTTGCCAAAGTCAACGGTAGACCTGTTCGCGGACGACCGAGTTAGAAATGATTGTAACTTGATCCCCCAAAAGGTGCAGAGAGCAGATGATGATGTCTGCTCACTGTAGGGAGATGGCGCTACAAGTTACAACTCGGTCGCCTGTGAACACGTCCTCCATTGACTTTGGCAAGTTTCTTAATCTCATGTTTTACAGGAACTATGCCTCAAAATTTTACGAGGTAAAACTGACCACCTGAGTGCACGTTCGGTGAAAGTTTGAACTTTTTATGAGGAGGCGCCAATTTTAACCAGCTCGTTCTATGGCATGAGATTCCTGTAATCGGCCCATACATCTGGAATACATTACAAAACGCACTTGTTTTCTAGTCAGTTAGTAGCTGCCACAATAAGAGCCAAAATGTTTTTCCGTAATCTGCTCCACCATCAATATCTTCAGGTACTGGGATTGGTCCATTGTGTACCTTTCCAAATACACCGTTGGTGACAGCCGTCCCTTTAACATATACAGAGGAGAAATTTTGCATACGAGCCTTTTTGGCATCCCTCTTGAATTGCACCACTACTCCATTCACTTCTAAGCTGACAGTGGAATGGAAAGTGAATGCTGGGTACATCAACTGCCTGCCTTTGGGAAAATATGGCGAGGGTGCAGGCGAGCGGGGGAATATTAACCACGTGGAATGAACCTGAGACGGGTAGAGAAGAAACATCAAAATGTAGAAGAGACAGAAAATAGACGGGACAATGTCTCAAACTCGGCTAACTTGTTTATTTAGTCCACCCCCTTATATAGTCTCGAGGCCATCACCACCAACACGAAGGACGCAGTCTATACAGTTCAAGCGCCACAGCCTGCGTGGTGCCACAGTTGAGGCCAAGGAGGTCTGTCTGCTGTGTGAACCATTCGGTGACTGTAGCCAAGCTTTGCACATGCTAAACTGAATGTGACAGTGGCACTTTGAAGCGGCTGTGGTTATTCCCAATGTCATACGAGGAAATTAACCGTTCCAAAGGAGGACTCTCGGCCTGCGTCATTTTCAGTGTTTTTGCATAGGGCACACGCTTTTTTTCTTTGGAAAGCGACCGTAGGCGCCGGGCGGCTGAGGTCGTGCACTGGGCTGTGGAATACGTTGTGCCGAGCAGGCCCTCGGACTCAAGCGCACTGTTGGCCTACAAAGGGCTCTGAATCGGTCGCGAGAGATGGGACGCCCAAGTCCTGTTGTGGCAGTGGTCTGCTATTTGCTTATTAAGTACACCCCGATTCCACTCTATAGCCGGTGACAGGTCAAGAACGAAGTGGAAGCACCTCCCACCTCTTTCCACTTGAGGAGAGCAAACGCTGGAGAGGAGGTTGCCTCCTCTCCACCGTTCACTCTACTAAAATGGAAAGGAGGTGGGAGGAGCGTCCACTTCGTTCTTGACTTGTCGCCGGCTATAGGCAAAATACTCCCCTCGCACAAACAAATCCACTTTAAATTTAAAAAAATATATGCATTATTGGCATATTTTTAAGGTACAGTGATAGTATATGTTCATGAACCACGCTGATGCAACAATGTTTGAAAGTTACTTTGGGTGGAGTGCTACTTTTGTATCGCGTCATCAAAAGGATACTGACACCCCCAAAATTTATTTTTTATTTTATGTTAGGTGATTTATTTTGGTGTCGGAAGACTACCCAATCAATATTTTGCTAAGCGTTGCATATATTTTTAAGAAAATAAAAAAAGAATGCAACTTCTCGAAACCTAAACCGAAACTTGACTGGGGAGGGAGAAGAAATTTAGAGAAATAGCGTGTTGCCGAAAGTCACGTGGCTGTACAACTTCTTTTTTTTTTTTTTTTTAAATCAACATTCAGTGTATTAGAAGCCCCAAAGAATAGGTATAATTTTAAGTGTGAGCCTTCGATGACCCACGACTTTGATTATATTTGGTGGTTGTGCCTAAACCATAGAAAACAGCTTGTGACCACGGAAAAGAGAGTGAGCGCGACTCAAACCAGCCAGTTCTCGATCGGCGGTTTTCGGGCGGAAAGAAAACGAATTTCGAGCCCCAAATTTTGTTCTGGGTAGTTGTGCTCTCGCATGTCGTGTACGAATAAAAATCTTAGCAAGCATAAAGCGCGAAACACATGTACGACGAAACCGTCCGTTCTGACGTGCAAACTGCTGGAATGACCTTCGGGGGCGAGGGTTTTCGTAGCTCCGGAGAGCGTTGAAAACCCTCGCCTCCAACCGTCGTATTGCCTGATCGGACGTCGGATCGGACGGTTTCGTTGTACATGTGTTTCGCGCTTAAATACCTCATCAGTGTCCCTTTAAGCCTAAAAGTCTACAAAAGCTCTCAAATGAAGTTGACCTGCTGACAGGACTGATTGAATGTTAGTTCCAGTGCACAAGTGCAATGAGGATATAGTTTGATCTATGGATTTTGTTTATTGAACAAAAGACTATTTTAGGGACAAGCGAAATTTGACCAAAAGAAAGTAACGGTGTGCCACTCTTGCTCTTGCAGGAAAAGTAAAACTGCAGGGTGTCTACCGACCGGGAAAACCGGGGATTGTCAGGGAATTTTAAGACACCTGGAAAAGTCAGGGAATTGTCAGGGAAATTTCCAAAAGGATTGCCGAGTCAGGGAATTTATCCCATGCTCGCCTGCTTACGCTAGAAGCGGCAGGCACTAGGGTGCCTTCATGTGCGCTTTGCTTATGGGCCTCTGAGAGGCGCGCGCGCCTAGCGATCCATTCGTTTGTCAGATATGGTGCTTTCGCGCCAAGTTTCCATGTTTCGCGCGTCCCCGTAAACGCAACCTGGACGCCTGTACTCTACGAGCTCTACCACGTGCGTTTGTGGCTGTGGGTTGCGCTTTCTACCTCGTTATTTTCCTAAAGTGCAGGTATGTGAAAGTGACTATGTCGCTGTCGAGAAAGTGCTCCTTCAATCTCAACTGGACAAACCCGGACATATGCACGAATGCGATGGATTCGGCCCATTCCAAATGATCCAAATAGTGCTCACTGCGCAGTGTGCTGCAAGAAGTTCTCCCTGAGCAACATGGGGAATAGGGCGATTGCTACACATCTTGAGGGTAAGAAACATCACACTGCTATGAAATATCTGCAAAGCGTTTCCCAGAGCCCAGTCGTATTTTTCAAAACTGCGACAAATGCGGACTTGCCTTCCGCGACAGCAACGGGTGTTTTTTGTCCGGTGGTAAGCTTGTAGGGCTCCGGCAATGCGTCTAACCAACGCCACGGAAGCTCTTAGCCCCTCTGTGAAGACGTGGGTGGTGGCTTTTTATTGAAGAAGGAAGTTACAAAGGCCAGGTGTGCTGCTTGAACACTATAACAACTCATGGGTCTTTCCGTTCAGCGGCAGCGTCTGCCTTGCTGTTTCCGTGGATGTTCCCCATGCGTGAGACCGCCAGAAAAATTCAGCTTGGAAAAAACAAAGTGGGATATTCAATATGTCGTGGTATCGCCCCTGTTGTGTATTTAATCTTTACATAATATATACATTACAGCATACAGCGGGCACAACCGACCGGGTTGGGGCCAGAGCAGTCGAACGTCTCGTGCCTGCGCGCGTGCACCAGTTCACCGGCATCCCTGGATATCCTCGGTTGCCAACACACAACATCCCTCCCCCCTAGGTCACATAGTCCTTTAGGTAGTCGGGACGTCGCCGTTGTCGCTGGGGACGATTTGACTGTTCTTGCGCAGGCGCTGAAGTTGGCAACACTGTTTGGTGCCTCGGTTCATGGGGTGAAGCAGGTGAACGTTGTGGGGAAGCTGGAGGTGTTGCCACTGGGGTTGACTCCTCGGGGAAGTCCGCTTGACTCGTAGATGGTGGGCACTCTTCCACCGATTCATTCCTAAGCAATGGCTCGCTTGGTAAGGAGAGCTGCTGAGGTGACAGCTCTGTCGTAGGCTCCTCCTCGTCCAGGTATGTGCTCCACTCCCGTCTCCGGATTCGGTCCACGTGCCGCTTCCAGAAACGACCGTCGATGGTGCAAACCTTGTAAGACACCGGACCGGTGATCTCAGTGATGATACCGGGTAGCCACTTGGGGCCTGCTAAATAATTGCGGATGAAGACTGGTTCTCGCGGCTCGAATTCGCGTGCACCTTGTCTTCCCCGCAGCGCTTGTTCCTCTTGCTTGTCCACCATCTCTGCTTGTAGGTCTGGGTGAAGCCGGTCCAGTGCAGTACGGAGTCTCCGACCCATCAACAATTCCGCCGGACTCTTTCCGGTCGTTGAGTGCGGGAGAATATGCTGACTCAAAAGAAATCGGGCCAACTTGGTGGCCATGTCGCCTCCTTCCATGCGCCTGAGGACTTGTTTAGTTTCTTGGACCATGCGCTCCACTTGGCCATTTGACGATGGATGATATGGCGCCACCTTAACGTGCCGGATCTGGTTTCTCTGCAACAATTCTTCAAATTCTTGTGAGACGAACGCTGTCCCATTGTCCGAGACTATAGTGTCGGGAACACCGTGTGTTGCGAACAGCACTCGCAGCCTTTGACACACTGCTGCTGACGACATGGATGCTATCTGGATGACTTCCAGCCGTTTCGAATGCGCATCCACCACCAGAAGAAAAACCTTTCCTTGGAAGGGTCCTGCAAAATCGATGTGGATTCGGGACCATGGGTTTCTGGCAAATTCCCACGGATGCAGTCTTGCACGTGCAGGTTGCGGCCTTGTCTCCTGGCAGGGCAGGCAGGTTCGGACCTTCCTTTCGATATCTTGGTCGATACCCGGCCACCAGACTGTGCTTCTGGCAAGCGCCTTCATGCGGACGATCCCGGGATGCGTGGTATGCACCAGCTCCAAAACCTGGTCTCTTGCTTGCTCTGGAATGATGACTCTACATCCCCATAGCAGGCATCCCCGATACTCCGACAACTCGTGCTGCCGTCGAACAAATGGCTTGAACTCGTCCGGCAGCCTGCCTTGAGGCCATCCAACCCCCGTCCAATGTCGAACTCTGGACTAGGTTGGGTCGTTCCTGGTGCATCGGGCAATCCGCGCGTGCACCAGTTCACCGGCATCCCTGGATATCCTCGGTTGCCAACACACAACAGCCCCCTACTTTCAAGACAAGTTACTAGCAAGCCTCTCTAACGTGCCATATCTGGTGGTTGCTTGTGATGAGCCACTGAACAAAGTAACTCGGAGAACAGATTGATGTACTGATCGGGTGCTGGGACCAAACTCCCTGAAACAGTAAACCCGGGTCAATGCTGTATTCTAAACATCTTCTAAAGTTTGCTTTATCTAACTTAAAGAAAATATTTTACTTTGTGAATAGTGTCTATCATATATTGTTTTGGTGTCGGTAGTTGTGGGTCAGGGAATTCAATTAAAATAGTCAGGGAAAACCTGGAAAAGTCAGGGGATTTGAAAAAAACTATTTGGTAGACACCCCGAACTGAATGTGTAAAAAATAGCATTCTTCAAGTAACTATACATCGCTTGCACGGGAGGCACTCACTTGATCGAATGACGTTTTAGCGAACGCCCACGTTTCATCGAATGACACTTTAGCGAATAGTCGGATGCCGCGAAGCGGCGTTTTCGGGTGGGCCAAGTGAGTTAATATTTTTGTAATGAGTTGCCGCAGACTGTCGCCGCGAAGCGGCGTAAAGCGCAGCGCGACGGATGGGTTAACGCGCGTCCCGTTATTCGCTAAAACGACCATTCGCTCAAATGTCGCCGTTCGCTAAAATGTCATTCGCTCTTGTGATATGGACCCCGCTTGCACAGTCCCTATAGCATTCTCCAAGTAACTATACATGGCTTGCACAGGCGCTTGTGGTGGCCACAAGCGCCTAATTAAGGCAGGGGGAGCTACGCTTTTGTGCGCCCTTTCCCCGTTATGTGTGACCAAGTGACGTCGATGCAAGCTATGTACACCCTGAGCACTCCTCCGCGACACGGTGCCGTTTGCTGGAAGGTGGGCTCCGACGGTCTGCGAGTTCTTTTTTTCTCCTTCGTCGGCTAGTGGGGGTAGCCTGGAAACTTTGTTTGTACCGCGTCTTTCACCACAGCAGCTTTCCGTGGGGCACTTACGAGGATGTGGCCCTTGTAGACCACTTTTGACGATTACCCACAAACCTCGACTCAAAATGTCTCTCGCAGACCGAGTCTGTCAACTGCAGCAGGTGGCCTTTGTGCGGGATGGCGTTGCGCCTTACCTTTAGGCGGTCCTCTTTGGGAGTGGCAAGAAGGGATGGCTTCTCCGCTCACGTTTTGTACCTCGCGTTGCACCGTGGCACGAAGCACACACTCCCCATTGCTGGCAACTTGTGGAATCGGAAACTGGCCAGAAACAAAATCGAAAAGCTGCGCAGCACTGTAGCCCGGCGCACGCTTCCGCCTGCTGGAGCTCGGGAAAGGACGGCGTCGCTGGCAAGGGGAGAGAGAACCGTGTGCTGAGCTTGCCCGCTACGGCTCTTCGGTGGAGATGCGGCGTTACGGCACCCCAAGTATTTCTAGCACCCTAGCACGAACCATGTAGTGGAAAAATACTCGGTCTGACTCTGAGGCTCACCATGTATCTATGAACAAGTTTGTTCTAGCAGGCAGTATAACAGAGCAGCTTTTTTCTGGGTTTCGATGCAGCCTTTGGCTTTCCTTGCACTCTCGTATCGGGACATGCAAACATTTCTGAAATAGTCCACCAGTGACGCATCTCTCGTAGAAAACATATTTATTCTTAGACTCACAACACCGTCCAACTGCACCGGAATAGGGTGAAAGCTGTACAAATAAATACGAGCTTCGCAACGTGACTGTATATCTATGTACACCGTATACCATACACGCCGTTCATTTCTAAGAGACAAAATATGCTCGGTCTTTGGAAACACCACGACATTTGCAGTCTAGACACGGAACGTGAAATGCAAACAGCTGACTAACAAAATCTTTCTGCATCATACTCCCCGGTACGTACGGACTAGCTTCCTGGTGCGCTCATCTAGTTGCACACGAGGATTCTCTGTCGACCTTTAGACATTAGACATGAGGCATCTTCATTTTGTCGGCACTCCGCCGAAACACTTTCGACTCGTGTTTGGCCACGTCCCGTCCTCGTTTCGTCACCTAGTGTGAAGCACCATTCTCGGACGAAGATGCCAGCAATGACCAGGGTCGTCCGGCGAGGATGACATTTGTGGTTCCACGTCGCAATATTACTGCAGACTAAACAGACTGAAGCCGAGGTCACGTTACATATCTTGAAATTAAAATGGACAGGCTTCGTATTGCGCGTTAACCCGACTATAGACCACCACACTGTTTGGACAACGAGGGAGCGCTTGCCCGCACCAGGTCTGGGCACTGGACGTGCAGAGAAGATTCGGGTGAAACGAAGCGTCTGAGCTTGCGCCATGCCGAGAGCAGCGCCATTGGTTGGTGGAGTTGTTTCGCTATTTCGAGACATAGAAAGGAACTGCGCGAATGCATAGACAATTTTAATAAGTGCCGCCCAATTCTGGCCAAGAATAACGAGCCGAAATTGTCTTACGCGGGAAATAGAAATTTCTGTTAGTGTAAATTTTCTCCGCATACAATAACGGTCTTTCGTTTACTCGGAGCAGAACCCGCCCCAAAGACGTTATCTTTGCCCCGGTTTGAAAAATAAGTCCGTGCTTTTAGCTTCCGCGATTGTAAAACATGAGCCCCAGAACTGAGAACCCTCATGATAGATTGCTTTCTGCGTGCTCAATGAACGGCTAGGATCCCTGGCCTCTCGCATCAGAAAGCCACACTGTGATGGGGCAAAAGTTTAGAACGCTACTCGGCAGTTGTTTCCGTAGCTCAAGTTGGCAGTGCTTTGGGGCAGTTTGTTGCGACGCGTTGTAGATTTATTCGGATGGCTGGTCGCCAAGCCCAGCTAGGTGTCTCGCGCACATTCTCAGTTGCCAGTCTGAACGGAACATTTGGCTGTAAGAAAATGCAGATTTGCACGTGCGATTCTTGAGTCGCATAACTGTGCGTGCCGTAATTTTAATGCGTATTTTGTCCTTAAGTTTTCTCCGGGTAAAATGGTAGTGCACACAACGAGACAAGTTGATTCCTACTAGATTATATACCGACGTTGGGACAAAACTAACCACCCTGTAGCCTTCTTTTCATGCTCGCATTTTCATCTTTACGCAAGCTTGCATCATTGGCACAGGTTGCACACTCCGAGACCAACGTAACTACGGTTGCACCACGGAATGAATAAAAGCTCTTTCCGGGGCACGTGCCCAAATAGTTCTCTCGCAGTTGGTTCGGAAACGGCCGAGTCATTGAATGCCTGTCAAGTCTCCAATACAAGCCACAATACTGGACTCTGCAATTCTTGGTCATCTGGTCGTATTCTGGCTCCTAGCTGACAGACAAGTTTCACGGGCACCAAATCTTTTCCCGCATTCTTCTCCCATAGGTGACACCGACTCGGGCAAGTTGTCGACTTTACAAAAATCTGTTTGAACACGCACCGAGAATGACTTCCCAATATTCGCCGCTACATTTAGTGTGGCCATTTTGCGGCGCTGGCACATACCAAAGATTAACGCCGCCCTTCCGAGTCGCCGCTGCCATTTTTGTTGTCGGAGAATGTCTGCGAAGACTTGGAAAAAAGGAAAATTGTTCCGCAGTTGCGGATAGGCACGTTTGAAAGCTGAAATCAACCTTTCAATCATGACACGAACGGCAACGCGGCATCATTTGCGTGGGTAGGTTCCTCAAAACGTAACAATGTTTTTGCCAACTTCGGTAGCCAGCTCAGACACCAAAAATGCGCAAGTGGCTCTTGAGTGTCCTTTGTTCGACAGTGCTCGGACCGTCGACTTCGCGGCAGCGATATAGCTTTCGCATCGATTTCGTACGGTCCAACTCGCCTCTTATTTGGCGAGCATTTAGGTGCCGACACCTCGTACGTCACATAAATACCCAAGACGTAAGCTGTCCGCAAGGTTCACTTTTGCCCTCCGCTTCAGTCCACAGAAAGGGCATTTTGATAGTTTGGACATTTCGGAACACTCGAATCTCGAGCACACTGTTTCGTCAGTTCTTCACCGGGGTTTTGCGGCGACTCGGTGCTTGGACAATGTTTCGTTGCCGCGACGGAGCACGGTGCACTCAGTTGGGAGCGGGGGCACCGTGTCACGACCCGACGTAGAGTTGGTTGTCGACCATCACCGCATCCTCTCCGTCTGTCGCCAACGGATGTCCGACGTAGACGTTGCCGCCTTCGACGACGTGCGGCGCGAGGGACGCCATTGGTGTGACCGCACCGTCCAGGGACATGGCAACCGCGTCCCTGCCTTCTTCTTCGGGCGGAGGAATCGGGGGAAGGTCTCTCAACTTGACACCAGCCTCTGGCGGACCCTTCTGCACGCTGTCCTCGCCGCTGGGGGAAAAAAATGGAAGGACGTAGCTTAGAAACAATTTCCCTCTTTTCTATCCAAGTTTGTAAATTTTTAGAGATCGGATGTCGGTGGGGAGACGAGATGCACGCCTATTGGAAAGAGGGCAACGACTATGGCAGGAACTACATGCATGCACAAACAAGACGTCGCAGGTGTATAGAAACAAACCCACGAGGTAAGTAGGGATGCGCAAATTTTGCTTAGAATTGAATGGCACAGTGACGTGCCCAGCTTCGACGCTAAGGTGAGGCGGTACGTCGTCTCTTTCCTTGCACCCCTGAAGGCTACGAACGATGTTGCACTATTCGATTTAAACCACTATTTGCACGTGCCTACCATTAACTAGATAAGATGGACAACATTCGGCGTGCGTGCTGCTATGTTTGAATGAGCAGGCGTCGTCGTCGGTTCAAGGTACGGCTCCGGACAATACGAAAGACCGACTCGACGGTACTGTTTTGGGCAACTGCGCAGGATTCGCTTTTACCGGGCCTCTGTTGCTCTGGGTGAGGAAATGAACATTCATTCTATGCTTTCTTTAAAAATAAAATGTCTGGGACCAAAGTTTGCCCGGTACTGCCCTATGAACATCTAGGTTGATCGGTCTTTTACATTGTTGGAAACTGTACAGCAAAGTTAATTTGTACGCTGTAACAATCTTGCCTCCTAGTACGCATTACAGGTGGAGTTATAATAGCTAGTTTTAGGCAAAGTACCGTCTCTTCTTTTGGCAATGTTTGTGTGCAAGACAGAAACACAGTGCTGTCTTTGTGTCTTCTACTTATTGCACGATTTTTGTGCCATCTTGTTTAGTGTCGTCATGTTCTGTTCAGGTCGGGGCTGAACGACAGCGTTCAAAACTACACTAGCAAAAGTTGTCGACTGAATCTCGTGAAAGAAGCAAGAGCAACTCGCCTTCCTCGTAAAAACGCCTCGTTTGTTTTTATATTCATACACTGAGTCGCATGGCATATTAAAGGAGGAGATGGAGATAAAAAAACTTTGCTCAGAAACAATTTTTTTTTTTATCGCACAGAGCAGAAGGGTAGCGGGATACGAACGACCGACAAGCTCCGAATGACCGTGTTAAAGGGGGGGAGGTGCAACGATTTTAAGATTAAAAGAATTAGCATCTCGTCATTATCAAGTTTATAGTGTCTTGGAGGATAGAGAAAACATCTCCTTCATTAGAAAATGTTCGGCTGCATAATCGCCAAGCAAAAGCCTCGCTTTTCCCACTCCCCTGCAGCCGCGAGTGGCAGCCGAAGGAACTACGGCGAGAATTTTACGTGGACTCGCTCGGCTCTCAGCTGCAGCAGAACGCCCGCTAATCTCGGCAGAGACAGGGAGAGGAAGCGTCCTCGGAGAGAGCACACCAAAAGCTACACGGCACCCCGAATTACGTCACTAGGAAGGGGACCAGGTGTGACCCTGAAGACTGGGAGCGAGTCGAGGGCTGCCAGAAATGCCAATATTTATCTTTTGTTTTCACACTAGGACATGCAGGCGAAATCGGTTTTCTGTTATTTACTTGACAAGTGTCAGAGGGCAAGTTCCACAAATTTTTGACCCAAGTCCAGAAATCGTTGCATCCCCCTATAAAGAGTGCTTAGACCTTGGCCCGCGTTCAGACCCTGGCCGCGTTCAGACCCTGGCATATTTTTCAAGTAGTGTCATCATGATTAGCGGGAAGTTTTATAATAAATTTAAAGTATAGGATTTTTTTTAGTTCTTTTCCACCAACAATTCCTGTTTTTAGCATCCGTGCAGAACAAATCGCCGAAATATGCAGAATTTTGCAACACAAACCGACAAACGTCTGCCAATAGAAAGAAATGGGGCAAAATCTACGTCCTAATTACCCGAGCCAAAAGCTAGGAGCCAGAGCATGGACAAACGAGTAAAATTACCCCTTGATCATGCGCGATTTCCGCTTCTGATCAAAGTCCACCTTGGCATAGAGCGCCGGCGAGTCGTCCGGACCGTGCACCTCCCGCCGCTCTTGCACCGGCGGCGCCGCCATGGCCGCCCCGTCGGACTTCCTCCCGCCGGAAGACGGCTTGCGACTGCGCGACGCGGCCAGGGCGATCTCTTCGTAGATGTTTTCCCTGGACGACGCCGAGCTCTTGCGGCTGGGCGTGGAGCTCTTTCGCCGATCTGCGGTGGACGCCGGGACGTCCGGCTCGTAAAGGAGACGAGGCTGCTGGTGGCCGTTGTGGATGTGGTTGTTGTTGACGGTATGGTCGTCGTGCTGGGGCGGCTTCAGTGGGATCTCCGTGTAGAAGTCCTCGTTCTGGTAGATGGTGCCGCTGCTCTCCGTGTACGAGACGTCCGTGCCCCCGTTGGTGGCGCTCACGGCCGCTTTAGGGGGATGGTTCTTGGGGCCGGAGAAATACTTCCGCCTGGAACGAAAAGTTTGAGGGCTCCACGCTCGGCGAGAAAGGCACCGACTGCCGACCTTTCCACTTTTCGCGCCTCCAGCTGATTGCTCGCCCTCCCGCGGCGGAAACGGGAAGCGTTCTAGTGAGGGTGCCCCGATTCTCCTCCTCAGCGGGCGCGGCGGAACTGCTTGCAATCGTGGCTCGCGAAATGTCAATTTTTATAGCAAACAACACTATCACAACGTAGTGCTGCAGCCAGAATGGGGTCACGGTCCTCCTGGGCTGGGCTGTTCTTTGCCACAGTAGGAGAATGTTCTCCTTAAACACAAATTAAAGCACCTCCGGTGCTTTAATTTGTGTTTAAGGAAAAATCAATTAGTCGGATTGCTCAGAGAACCTAACGAAAAGACGTGGGCTTGGAGGAGCCGTCGTCGAGAAGGCATCTGCTCTTTCATAAAATCCTACAGATCCATCGAAAAGATGGAAGATTGAAAACGCCATCTACACTCGATACCAAGGGGTTGTGTTAGTTCAGAATAATTGAAACGCCACATTAAAAGTGCTACAAATAATCAAATAAAAAAATTCTTTTATAAGTTAATTATTTTTTTCTTTTTTGTTTTACTTTTAGGTGTATTAGGGAGGAAGCTGCCAAAGTTTCCAGACCAGTAAGTAGTCCATCTAAGGACCGTGGCTCAGTGTCAAATATGGCGTTCAAGTTGAATCAGTGGGCATGTTTGCTTTCGAGGTTTTCGAGAGGTTCCTAAGCTTCTCGAGTTCTCTCTGCAAACTTCGAAATTCACGGATTTTGTTTTAGGCACGTTTGAGTACTGCACTAGATCCTGAGACTTTGGTTCCTGCGTGGAACTTGCAAAAAGGTTGCTCTGAGCTGCACATACCTCTTGAGAAGCAGCAGCACGCACATGGACAGCAGAAACAAGAAGGCGATAGCAATCACGGCAGCCACCATACCTGAAAAGCAGCGCCCCCTGGGTTTATCCTTGGGACAAAGTAAACCATGGGGGAACGGGTGTCTACCCCATGTGCAAAGCAGTTGCGAGATTTGCACACTGTTTGTGGACCCTTGCAGTACCTTCCCGCGGGGCTTGCTGCCTGGGTATGTAGAGAAGCAAGCTGCAAGTGCTGGAAATGCTGGAATGGGTATTTGATAGGCTTGTGCACATAGTGCATTATGAGTTCAAAGCAAATAGTGGTTTTGGCCAAATATTTTTGAGTCAAATATCAAATAGTTTCTTCAAGCTTTTCACTACTGTTCCACTATACCTAAACGAAAATCCAGCTGAATTCGTGAAGTTTGTTCCCAAGTTTTCACTTCTCCGTGTGTAAGCTAATGTTAATCTAACTACCTATATTAATGAACTGTGGCCTTAGAAAGCCTACATGGGAGCGGCAAGCAAATGACAGATTTGATGTGAAATTAAACCTGTAGAGATGCTGAGCTACACTTAATGTAGCCATCTCGCAATACAGAAATATCTTAAATCTCGAATTTGAGAAAGGAAAAACGAGAGCACCGTGAATGATGAACGCAGGTTCTAGGGACATCTCTGCCTAGCATATAGTATCGCAGAATAGTTTAATTTTCGAAATTTTCACCGTAATGTAGCTACCAACATTCACAAAGCTTTTGTTTCTGTTTAAATACACTAGGCAAGCGTGGGCACCATCCTGTTTTCAAAGTGCTCTCCTCCTAGACACGGGACTGCGATATTAGTATTTTTCAAAGTGTCGATCGCGGTGGGTTAGTCCCGTTGAGTGCGCTTCTTAGCGAGCACCGGTGCACTGCGGAGAAGCAATAGCCTCGGAAGGGAGCTCCGCGATTATTGCTTCTTCGCAGCGCACCGGTGCTCGGTAAGAAGCGCACTCAACGGGACTAAACCACCGCGATTGACACTTTGAAAAATACTAATATCGCAGTTCATCTCAAAGCGAATATTGTATTATTTGGAACTACCATTCTAAAATTTGATTATTCGCATAATTCTAGTACTGGGATACTCACAATTAATATTAATATCGGAAGATATTCATATATACTAAATAATGTTTAAAAAAACATGAATTTTCTGGGTAATGTTTAACCATGTCAGTGACTCCAGTGAGACTTCATCTCACAACTTACTTTTCCCCCAGGCGCTATGACATTAGTAGTAGTCGTGACTAGGAAGCTGTATGTATACCCCTTCATATTTCAGCTGTGCAGGGCTGTGGCAGCACCGAACCACCAATGCGGCATTATGTAAACAAAACATGTAGCTACTCATTCGTCACCGCATGTATTTGTACCTCAAACGACAAGTAGAGAAAGTCAGACAGCTTTCACTCGAGTTGGCAACAGCGACTCCTTCCCGGACAATGCGCACTTACTTTGGCTGTCCATGGAACATAGGAGATTTGTCTGCAGAACGTGTGGTTAGGGTACGTGGCACTGAGAAAGCCTAGCGAGGGACGATGCCGAAAGAACCTTCTCACGCGGATGTGCAGCAACAGTGTGCGCAGCATTCCGAATGCATATCATACAGTGTAGATTACGTCGGGAACAAACTTTCTAGACCATCATTCTTCGTAGATTCTGCGGGGAAATGGATGTGTAGATGGCATAATGATAAGTGCACGATAAGATGATTAGCGTTATTTGCGACTGGTATATGAGGTACGAAATTACCGGTTAAAGTCGAGCTTGCGTCGGAGGCATCGCTCGACGAATGCTCCTTGAGTTTTTGCTTCACTTGCCCTGCAAAGAAAAAAAAGGTTCGAGGTACACACTTGAGCACTTCTTACGAGTTGCGAATGCGAAAGCACGTGTGTCATTCTTCCGCTCCCTCATTTCGTCTGTGGCGTATTTGCGTCGACGGCAGATCGCGCACTCTCTTCGCCGCTCTGACCTTGAACGCTTTGTGCTACCGGCGCGCTGATGGCGCAGACACGCAGCGCCATGGGGTGGCAATCGTTGAAACTGCCGTGCAGCAACCAATGGGGGCCTCGCTCCTTGAAACTACGAGGCGCGCCAGCCAATGGGATCGAAGCCAAAATCTATCGGCTTCATTCCGCTTCTTTGAGATCGGGGAAACTAGGTACCGTTTGGTGCGGCTTCAAAGCTGATGATGTCGGCTCGCTCCATAAGACAGTTAATGCTTTTGCATTAATTATAATAATTGGGTTGTGGGGATATTTATACAGCGTGTAGTTGGTCAGCCATTAAAGTTGCGACGAGTCACACGCTGTAGATGAGCAATTTAGCCAGTGCAGTATACAGACGCTAGCCTGGGGTCTTTAACGTGCACCACGCAGTAGTGATGCACGACCGCACGCCGGTACGATGCTCATCCAGATCGAAACGGGCAGGGGTGGGGCTCGAACCCAGGATCCCTGGGTTCTGCAGCGTGAGCTTTCGCTCCACGTGCGTCGAGCTGGGTGTGCGCTTTAGCCCACTTGGCCACCGATCCCCCCCATAAATTGCATTGATATATATAATGGCTTTTGCAACAGACATACAACTTTGCAGGCATTGAAAGGTTCAGTTACAGCGGAAGGGCTCTGAAACTGCGTTCCCATCGACCTTATTTACTCTCGTCCCCAGCCACATAGTTCACATATCCGGCATGGGGAGACGAAACAAAGCGAGACATTACAACCTGTAACAAGTAAAAACAAATATAGAGAGGGCAAAACAAAAAGGATTAACAAATGTGATAAAATTGTAAACACCTTCCAATTGCCTGGCAAGGGCAAGACAGTGTATTTCCCCATACCCGAAGTCCCAAGATGGTGACAACTGCACGAAGAGGAAGTTCTGAGTGGCCCCCGGGAAAATGTTGTATGCCAGTGCTTTTCCCCATCTGATCTCTATTCTAGCCTAGCTGATCCCTGCACGCCTGCAACAGCTGTGAGTCTCTCTGGTGTGTGCATAAGCAAAGTCCTCTTTCTGCAACAGTACCAGCATGGGGCAGACAGATGTTTCTCGAAGAAAAAAAGCTTTACAACCTGCGAAGCTGAGTACGACAGGAAACTTTCCAAAAGGAACTGAGGCATTACACTGCAAGCCTGTCTACTCTAGGACGGATAATTTATGGCAAGAAATACTCGCGAGTGTGCCAGTATTCTTACTACATAAAATCAGCAGCTGAAATGCCTGGACTAGTGTACAATGTTACCATGACTCTTACATGTATGTTCATAATTTTAATACAGAAATAGAGTTACTCGAATTTATGGTAATATAGCGGTACGCGAATACACCTGCTGTAGCCACACTGCAAGGTGACCAGATTGTTTTTGCAGTTGAGGATATTGTTGTATTTGCGTTTATGCAACCGAGAGAGTAAAAATACCATAAAGTAAATGTTATGCCTCTTAAATTAGCTTTATAGAGAGGTTGCACAACATCCGACGTAACTGGGTTCATAAAAATGTGTCAGCCAATCGGAAACAGAAACGCACTATAAACCCAGATGCCGTCATGCTCCGGCTGTAAATGTACAGACACCATCCCGAGACTGCGACTAATGGCGCTCAAATGAAGTTCAGTAAGTGGTAAAATCCGAGATTGGGACTAGTAATTGCTTACAATTACTGTTATTGCTCGAGTACACTCTCGTATAAATTAGGTGCCGCAAAATTCTAACACAAAGCACATTATTTGAAAGTGAGAAAAAACTACATCGCTTATTCATTCTATTTTTCTGACCCGTCGAAGAAAGAAGTGCTACCGTCGTCGAAGCTTAGGTTCCATGTCCTCTCGCACTGGTAAACCAAACTCAAGTAACGCAACCCCTAGGGTTAGGCTTGTCCCAGCTGCAAAAACATACGTAAAATGAAAAATATTTGAGGTTTTATTTCGATTTCGAAAGCCAACTCTTTCTAAAGTTGATCTCCGACGATACAGCTTTGCAGTTCTCGATTCATACGGAATTGGCTGATTAGAGGCTCATTCCTTTTCCCCAGCCGAGTGCAACGACGTCGCGCAACGTCCTAAATGTGAGAAACTTTTTGAAACACAGTTTTGTCGATAAATTCCAGGAAACAATTTTTAAACCACTCAAGCGAGGAAATAACGGTTTAAACCAACCTTCGTGGCATTATCACGGGGCGTCCCCAATGTCGCATTCTTCCGCAAAGGCAATCTCATTTCAGTCCAACCCGCTTTTCTCGGCAAATACGAACGGTTAAATAAATTCGGCGGTGCGTTAACGCCGTGCTGCACTGAGAGCTAAATTATTTGTGTTGGAGGGTACAATGAACGTTGATCCCATAACTGTTCCCAGTCGACTCTTACTCGTTCCCTAACTGGAAATGGTGGGACCAGTTGACTCCCAATTACAAATGGCTATGACCGACTTACCCCTCAACTGGTCCCAGTTGGGCCTTGAGCTGATCTCAGTTAAGCCCCCTTGGTTCATATTGAGTCCCAGCTGAGACCAGTTGAATTCTGTTCTCACTGAACCTCAGTTGGGACCAGTTCAGTCCCAGTTCAGATGATCCTTTCGCGGTTGGGACACGGGGACGCGTCCTCAGGGACTGACCGAGAGTGCAGGAGGACTCTGGCTTGCTCCAGGTGCCGTCCTGCTGGCAGACGACGGTGTGCCGGGAGCCCTGCCTCTCGTAGCCCAGGTGGCAGTTGAGCTCGGCCAGGTCTCCGTAGCTGGTGGACACGTTGAGCAGGCGGTACGACCCTCCCTCCATCTCAAACGTGGGCATCTCGCACGTCACGGCTGCAAGGGGGACCCCGTTATGGCCATTGACTCGGCACCATCGCCCGATACCCTCAGAAATATCGCGGTGTACGGCCCATTGTGCACGGCTCGTAGGCCATGTGGGCTCGTAGAACATGTGTGGCTCGCAGTCCGCATAAATGACCCGCAGTTTGAGTACCGCTCAACCTCACACCCCATGCAGCCTCTGCGATGTATCACAGCCCAAGTATGACTCATACCTGGCTTATAGTCCACATACGACTCGTAGCACACGCAAGCCCGTCTATGGCTCTCTGTTAGTATATGGCTGGTAACTCATATACGACTCGTGTGAGGCTTATAGTCTACGAATGACTCGTCTCATGTACGGGCTCCTCCGTGGTTCCTGGTCCACATATAGTTTGTATACAGCTCATGGCCCATGCGTACGACTTGTGTCCTTTAAAGAGTCGTCTCGGCTGGGTTTTCGACTCCCTACCGCTCGAGAAAAGTCTGGCTCAATGACGCTTGAGCGGCTCAAGTCTGAGGAGAGTGTTTTTTGGGACATACGCTGGCAGCGGGGCTGTTGCCCTCCCCAGCGGGCATCCTCCTGGCAGGTGCGGGTGTCGTTCCCGTCCAGGGAGTAGCCGGGGTCGCAGGTGTACACCAGCTGGCTCCCCTGCACCGTGCGGCCGTTGCTGGCTCCCCGCACCGCCACCCGGCCGTTCTCCAGGGGCCCCAGGGACGGGCACGCTAGCTCTGCAAGGCCATCCTCCCCGACGTTAAAATCCACCCTTTTTCCCACAGAGACCTCTCGCCTAAAGGCAGGGCCTGTTTTACATTCTGGGATCGATAAATTTCTGAGAAAGCTACGAATGCGGCAGACTGCATTTAACGTGTATTCGACGTATCCGACGACGAGCGAAGGACCGCCTAAACTATTGAGACAAATAGGAGATCTTTTTGCGATGGTGTTCCAGAAACTTATAAGCGCAAACAGACGAACACGAAAAGGGCTCGTTTATATGTTCCGTTCTTGTTTGCGCTTATGAGTTTCTCGAGCGTCGTGTACCAACAGTCCAACAATGGGCCTCGTTCGGCGTTAAACTGCGTTGGATAGGTGTTTCAAGGCGAGTTCCAAAGGTGAATGGAAGACAAAGTCTAGATAAACAATGCCAGTGAAACCGCAAAACGAAATTTGTGAAGTGTGAGGATAACGCAGTATGTTCCATCCCACTTTCATGCGAAAAAACGTACAAAGCACAAACAGGACGCTGCTTAAACGAACACCTGAAAGCACGTAAATACACACTAACGATCACCGGGGAGCCTCCCTTAAAAGTGCGTGTCGGCCAATCTTTGAATGCACGGTAGCAGCCAGAAGAAACAGTGAAAGGCTGAACCGAGAGGTAATTGAAGCCTTTCTCATTAAGAGAAGTGGCGATGACAACGTAAGTAAAAAATTGCTGCGCTTGACGGACGAAGATGACGGATTCCTGGAGGCGGAACTGGAGGAAGATGTCGGAGAGAGGGCGGCGGTCTAGCCCTCGGGGAAGACGACTTGGGAAGACGTCGCCGAAGTTAAGTTGTTGCGAGTCGAACTAGTCCGTGTCTGTCATGTTTCTTCTTCTTTGTCCTTTGTTCATACTTGCGTTCAGAAACCTTTCAATATGTTCAACCATTATGCTCTCCTATTACTTTCAAAGTTAAATTCGGCTATTGGGCCACGACGTACGCATGCAATGTCACGGTTTGGCCGCCCTTAAAATGTTATCGCGTTTAATATCCGTCGTCAACTGAGAATTTCTTACTAGGGACGTTGCAAACCTTTTCCAAACCCGACGTTTGGCGTCAAACCTCGAGCTTCAACTAGTTCTGCGAGCCTTCAAACTTTTGGCACATGGATGGATGTTAGCGGCTGTTGCCCAACTTGAACACAAAAACTTCAAATTTTAGGCAAAGATTATTTTTAATATCGCTAATTTTAAGATTAAAAAAAATACAATTAGGAAAGTTTCTCTGCTATGAAATCAAACAATAAGTTCTCAATTATTCACCGTAATATCCCGGGAGATGCCCCACCCCCGGAAGAAAGCCCTCCCCTATTCTTGGCTCCAATCGCTATTCTTTAAGCGCAGAAAAAAAGCCCACTTCTAGCAATCGCAGTGTTCAAATCAATGACGGCCTCGCCGTAAAGGCGTCTGGTTAGCTCAGGCGGGATATAAGTGAACAGGCCGACAGGAAGGTACAGTCATCTTTGCTTCGTTGCCCCTAACCGCTATAACAAGCTTGGGAGGGACATATGACTTAAAGATAGCTTATTTTCTTTCTCGATTGCACGTTCAAACTTTGCCCACTCCATATTTTCACCCTATTTGCTCTCGATTTTAGGTGGGCTATCTCTGGGGACATTAGGGTAGTTTGTTGGTTAAAATGGGGCGCACCCCCTTAGCTGGGTGGTGCCAGCTTGTTTCCAACTGCTCGATCGAGACCAGGTGTTTTATGGGCCGCATTTGCAATACGAAAGAGGCGACCAAAACGTCCCTAGGCCTCTTTCCTCCTCGCCACGCAACGGTGCAACGCAACCAATCGGGCAAAAGGTGTTCTTCATTAAACTGCAAACGCTGGTCTGAGCTGCTTCCTCTCTTAAAGCTAGGCTCACTAATTCTGTTAAACTTTTGAAAGTTCAGAAAAACTGGAATCTGGCCGAATTCAAACCCCAACTGGTTTGCGGCGTCCCCACTTACTATTCGCCTCAGCGTCCTTTTGAAGTTGAAGTGTGCGCCCCCATTCATTTACGTAGGTGGCTGGACATCCGACGAGACTAATGTCCGAGCTAACTCTCGAAAAGGGCTCCACTTGGGACACTAAACTCGTCAAATACAAAGTTGGAGCCGAAAGTTTGCAGAGAGCGCCGATTGGACGCCGGCGAAAAAAGCGCAAAGTCATCGTCGTGACAGTCCAATCGGTCCGCTCCATGAACTTAGGCCCATGCTTTGTGTTTGAAAAGTTGAAAGCTCCTGGTCTCCCTGTTCTGGGCGTTGTGTCCCTACAAAGTTTTTGAATGTCGAGAGAAATTGATTTTATTTTGGGAGAAGGTTTTCCTTCTTCCCGGAACGTCTGGGTTAATAAAGTCTCTGTCGTCGTTCAGTATCCTCTGAAGGTAAGCGAAGCTGCGTACCGAGGCAGTCCGGGGCCCTCCCGGACCAGCGTCCGGACGGGAGGCAGGAGCGGGTGGCGGGGCCGCCCAGCTTGTAGCCCGAGACGCAGCGGTACTCCATCTCCTGGGGCGAGATGGGCACCGTGTACGACTTGGGGGGCTTGTCCGGGTCCCCGCACGGGTACTTCTCTGCAAAGAGAAATGAGCCCGGCTCGGAGGAGCGACTCTTTGTTCCCCGACCGCCTTGCAGGCGCCGCCATTCCTCGAGATGAGCGCGACTGCGTTTAGCGACAGTTACGAATAGAAAATGAAACTTCCCCAGTCTTAGATATGTGCCAGGAGGCTCAAGCGATGTCGTTTTGCTTCGTTGCGGACTGTCTTAACATTTTTGGAGGATGCGGAGGAGCATTTCCGCGACATAAGACAATGGTTCAAACGTCGTTGCTCTGAAACAGAGCTTATTTAGCGGCCAAAGCACACAATCGAAGGGACCCGCCTAGGGAGGGAAATTGTTTCTGGCCATTGTCTAGTTGGAAGGTTCCCAAACTGCTTCTATTCCTTATTTCTCCACGAGGAAGCTCCGGAGTTACTCGGGAGTAGCTCCGGAGCTTTCTAAGGGCGCCTCAACTCCCTCCATTCTAGCCATCCGAGTAAAATGTTCCCTAGCCCGAGACTTGAACCCTGCACGCACATTTGTCTTCACACCCGCCGCTGTTTTGTTTGTCCTCACTGCCCCGAAACGCAAGGATCTTTACACAACGCACTACAATACCAGACTTTTAAACGGGACGATACTTGGGGTCGTGACTTCCGTTGCGGTAGGTTCTCTTAAAACGTAGAAGTGCACAAATTTTAGAAAAAACACTTCAATCGTTTTCCTTCGGGGATCAAGAATATCGAGATTATTTTGCAGTTTGGTGCACGAAGGCTGCAGAAAATCATTTTCTAAGTACAGCTGAAGCCCCCCTTCCTGGAGTGTGACGTCGTAAAAGGAGTTGTCGGAATCTCCGCTCTCGCGCATCTTCGGCACCTACCAAAGCTATGCACGCGCACTCTCCCAATTAAAAAAAAAAAAGTCAAGAAAAGACATCACGACTGGTGTCAGTGTGGGGGAATATACCTGGCGAGCTTGCACGTGCAGCCCACATAGCAACGCATGCTTGGCAGCCAAACGATCTGGGTATGACGTAACAACTGGTCGGAGGTTTTTCGCGTTTTCTCGTGTTTAGTTACATCCTTGGGGAAAGCGAACGTGATATTTGGATTCACGGGATAAAAATACTCTAGACTTCACCTCTAACTCCTTTTTTTTCAAGAATCTCTTCAGCTTCCCTTTGCGGACCCCGAAATCGCACGATAATTACAGTCGCGATTTTGCGTTAAGCACCAGTTTGTGTTTTTTGCGAGCACTACCGAGGAATGCCATGATACGTGACCATACATAACCACGAGTAAAATACTTTTGCCATACTCACTAGCGTATCTTGCTCTTAAGCAGCTTTCTAAACTTCTGAATCGTTTCATTCAATGATCACTGGGAACTTAAGAAGGGTGTGGGTGTTTACCTTAATCAAAGCTATAACAAAATAATGGCACTGTAATTTTTTGAACGTCGCAATAATAATAGCGGTAGTGGTAATAATAATAATCACTGAGCGGAACTTTGTTCGATTATTGTAGCGGCGAATACGAGCTGGAGGCAAGACTGAGGAAGATAGTGCTCAGCTAAGTGTTCTAGGTGCACGATGCTTACCCCTGAGGACGTAGACTTCCACCTCACACAGGCTGAAGTAATCTGGATCCTTGCGCTTGTCGGTGATGTCGACAAACTGCCCGACAATGCCCTTGCCTTCGTCGCACATCAGTATCACCGTCTGAGTGGCTGGGACATGGAAGAAAGAAGAAAACGTCGGTTTTACGCTTTCCTAACCAGGGTGGGCCTTATTTTTACGACAAAGAATGCAACCTCAGACACTCGGAAATTGTCGTATTTGTGGCAGCATGCAAAACTTCCGATCCAAGAATGGGGTTTGGTAGGAATATCCCTCTCACGCAATCGCGGTCAGTTCTCCGATACCTTCGGTGCATGTACAGAGCTTTAGTTTTAGGCGCAGTAGTATGACCACAGGATCTAGGTTATTTTCTAGGTCACCAATTTGTTACAGACGTGTCAGATAACATTCTAGGAAAGATCCCAAAATGCGTGCCCGACGCACATTTCGGGATTTTCCTTTATAATCGTACGCACTACAATGCTATAAAGGTACCTTCATGCCACGGGAGGCAGGTGCAGTCGACCTACCACAAATCTGGAATCAACAATTTTTTCTAAAAACACTATTTTTGCCCAAAGTGCACTGGCCCTATCCAGCATCGACTTGAAATGCACAATGAGTAACCAGCGCAGGCTGGGAGCAGCGACGTAGCCGGGTGGGGAGCTCTTCACCACTCACCCGAGTCATCCCAGGCACATCGGCCACCCTTCCCCCAAAAATATTCCTGGCTATGCCACCAGCTGGGAGCATCTTTTTGAATCAATCGGCGATCACAGTTAGGGCACTTGTGGCTACACTGACAAGTCCCTGGAAATTGTGACATTGTGGCACACGTACCAATACACTAAAAAATATTTCCAGCTTAACTAACGCTATTTTGGCCCGTATGTTGCGTTTATTTTAACGTGCAACACATTGTAAAATCTTCTTGCTAAGTGCCAGTGTGTTACCATATCCCTTAGGCGTGTGCGAATAGTGGATTTTGAGTCTGAAGCGCATTGAAAGTGAACGGTGGTTTTGGTAGAAACTTTCAGTCTAAAATCTTATTTGAGCCTTTCAATATTATCACCAGCTTGCCTGCACACTCGCTGTTTCTTTCCTTAAGCAGAGGACAGTCCTCTAAGAGAGCTTGCGGAAGCTGCGGGGATGACGTCAGGCTCTCCTGGTCACGCACGTAGCCACGATTTTGTTTGGGGGGGGGGGGGGGGGCGCTCATGACAAAATGCGCTGTATGCCCCTGGCTGTGTGCCTGCTCCTGGCACATCCAACCCCCTTAGGTGTAACAAGCCAGTGCAAGCGGCCCCAATTTCAGAAAACGGAAAAGTTCGCAATTCGGTGGCACTTTTTAAAAAATAACTACTCTGTGGCCACTTTTGCCACCATTTGGGAAAATGGGTTATGCATCCCTAATTACCCCTGGGGCGATGCGTACCAGTTAAAAAAACACCGTATAGGGGAATGAAAGGGCATCACGAAAGATTGTGTTAAAAATACTTTAGCTTGAAAGTACATCATATTTATAGTACTTTATTTCAAGTACATCACACCCAGTGTACTTACTACTTTAATTGAATTGTACATCACCTCTCATTTACTTTGTACTTTACTCGAAATAGTTTTTAGATTTACTGAATCCAACACTGCATATATCAGTAAACTAAAAGGTCTCAAACTTAATAAGGCATAAATAGGGTTTCTTATTATATATTTGAATTTTCCAGTTTCAAAATGATGTATTGCAGGATGCCTAAAAGGCATAAGAAAAAAAAAAAAAAAAAAACACTGATACCACATTTAATATATTTATGCCCCTTATAGCATAGGTCACACATACACCTGCTAGAGAGAAAAAAAAAGATAATGATTGGGTGTGTGCAAGTGGAGATAGAAAATACCAAAGAGCGTAAATATTCCACTCAAAAATAATAGTAGCAAAAAACATCCACGGACTCATTTTACTTTGTTTCAAAGACAATATTTCGAGATAAGAGAGACTTAATTCACGATATCCTTCAGGACAAGATGATGAGTGCCTGCCAATCTCCAAAAAATGCAATTTAAAAAAATGTTTTTTTATTTCTGTTTTAAGGAGCAACGTGTCTCCCTTTAATTTTAATGGACTGTGACCTGAGAAAGTCCAATGCCCACGTTGAGATATGACAAGTAAATGACACACTTGGCATAGAATTAAATCAACACAGGTGCCCACCTTTACCTAACCTAGGGGATTTATAGATCTCCTCGCTACATACAAATATCTCTTCTTTAATCTCGAGTTCGAAAAAAAAAAAATAGAATGACAAATTAAGGCAGTTTTATACTCTCGCATAACGGCCAGTTTAATTTTGCAAATTTTACCGCTATGCAGATATAAAATGTACAGTTTCCATTTCTTTGTAAATATACACCCGACGCGCGCGTGCACTATTCCACTCGAAAGCGCGCTTTTCTGCTAAGCACGCGACTGTGATAGTCGTACTTCTCCGAGATGACGGCGGTTCTCCCCGTTGAGTGCGCTTCTTACCGAGCACAGGTGCACCGCGGAGAAAAAAGACTTGCGAAAGCGAGCTCCGTGGGTGTTGCTTCTCCGCACTGCAGGGGTGCTCGGCAGGAAGCGCACTCAACGGGGATACCGCCCCGCGATCAACACTTCGAAAAATACGAATATCGCGGTTCATCTCGAAGCGAATAATGATTAGAGCAATATGCATGGAAAGCACAATTAGAAAATCCGAATGTTCGCACAACCCTAGCCCATCACTGCAACCCATCTTGCTAAAAGGTCAATTTAGGGTTGTGATATAGTTTTAAATAAAACCAAAGAAACAAATCTTGAAAACCCTAAGATTGAGGACCACGTAATGGAGGCAGACATACTATTCAGGATCGCTCTCGCGTGCATTTTCTAGTATTTCTTATGTAATGACCAGCTCACTTTGGTGTTAATTACCGTTTTAGCTCCGAAAAATAGTCATGCTTTCCTTTCATCCTGTGGAAAAGCACACAATTTTGGTTCAAGTGGTTAGGTTAGTAGATTATTAAGTAGGGATCGACGTGAAGTTAAATCATACTTTTATGTCAGAGAAAAAAAAAAAAAAATAAAAGTTGCTGCGGACCATTGAGGCAATTTATTAGGCCAATCAGAGAAGCGAGAGCAAAGTGAGGAAGACTTTCTTCTTTACTTTTTCGATTTTATTAAATAAATGGTCTGAGTGGTCCACAAAAAACATTTTGTTTTCCCTTAGGCAGGAAAAAAGGCGCACCATTGTGAATGGCATCCTTACGCTCAGTCCAGTGAGCCCCTCCTGCGTGAGGCGCCTTTGTGCCAGCAATGGAGTCACTTGACGGCATAACAGCCTGAATTGTACCTGAGAAATGAACTTTGCGAGACACCTAACGAAGTTTTCTCAGATAATGGGCCACAAATATGACTTTCCGGCACACTCAAATAGATGTACCCCGTGTCCAGGGATGAGAAGGCGTCCATCGCATAAAGAGGGGCTCACTGGGTTCATAGTGGGCATGTATACAACACCATCCACGTCAGTCTGTAAGAAATGCACGACTGAGAAGTGTTGCAGTTATAGATAGTCTGGTGTCTCACGCTCTGCCATCTATCGGAAACACGTAGAACTAGGCGAGCTCGGTCATTTTCGTCCGTGGACGCTGCCGTAGATTGCCCGAAGCAGGTCTTTCTTTCATGAACTTTAGGTAAGTGTTCATTTGTCGATATTTTCACTGCAAGCTTCCACCACCTAGCAGCACCTCTGTAACAAATCGCAGCGTGATACGTTGAGAAACTGATTTTTGCGGACCATCTGAAGCGGGTTCGAAGCGTTAGTGTACTTCCTGCTAGTTAATGATTAAAAGGAGTAACAGTGCCTTCATGTACTCACGGAATTTTCCACTGAAAGCAGCACATCTGTTGAAGGTGGCCTTGTTGCCTTCGTAGCTGATTACCGACACCACCAAGTCTTGTCTGGAATCTACGGGACACGGAGAAGGTAGTTTTCACGGAGTTGATTTGCATTGCTGAAAGTGCAAGAACAAAGCTAACAGGTAGAGAAAACATTTACAGTTGATAAGTATCTATTTCGAGAAAACAAGTATAAGTGTAAGCAAGCGTTGCCAATGGAAGTGCGTGTGGAATTCACACACAGATAATAAAGAAAAAAAGAAGGGAAGAAGATTGATTGATTAACTATTCACTTTGTCCGCGCCTTTCTTCAAAATAGCTATTAGAATACAGACCAGCGAATCTTGCTTATCGGGTAGGGGACAGATCCCACTTGCAAGTGACCTCCGCAGCGGGCACGGGTGACCGGTAACGAGTCGACGTTTGCCAGCCGATCAGAGGAATTGTTGAGAAGACGCGGCCCACTCGGATGTATCCTTGAGCGCAGCGCTCCGCCGTATTCCGCCCTTATTTTCGACATGGCCTCCGAGAAGCGCGGTTTCGGTATGGCGGGTTCTAGAGCAAACATTTAGTGGAGCAATTAGTTTGTCGAGGGACAACAAATCTCCGATGAGCCAGAAAAGGCGGGTATCTTTGATTAGTAGATTTGAGGCGATGGGCTCACTATAACCAAGTTTTTACTTGATCTAGGCGAAAATCCGAGGCCTTGGCGCGCGAAGAGGTTTCGCGTAGTTGCAAAGCCCGGCAGCCCAGGCATTTTCGAATCGAGTCAACGACGACACCGCCATCCATGACTCGAGCAGCATTTCTGGCATCTCGGCGAACCCGGTCGGACGCCGAGTGCCCTCACCGGGGAGGATGATGCAAATGCATACCGCGGAGCGGAGACGCGAGAGAAGCACGGCGACCACTCACTGACGTGCGGCACGCTGATGGCGACGGACAGCACGTGGTAGGCTGCGCCCAGGTCGACGCGCCACCAGCGCGGGTGCTGGTGCGTGGTGTAGAAGCAGTTGCTCTTGCTGCCGTCCAGGGCGTTCACCGGCGGGTGGGCGTACAGGTAGCCCGACGTCTCAGGGATCCTCTGGATCGCCAGGCTGGTGTCTGCGCCCCTTCCTCGTTAAAGATCCTCCTCCGGTACTTCGATATCTCTCACGCCAGCTATTCCCCCCAAAACCCCCGCGGTGCTGCCAAGTACCCTGAAACGGGTTGCTGGCAATTTCAGCCCGGTGGATCGTAACAACAGCGCAGAAAACACGGAGCAGCGGAGGAAACGAGCACTCGTCCTCTGCTCCGTCCTTGGTTGTAATGCAAAAGCCCATGGAGCGGAGCCCGTGCCGTCTCTAACCGCCAAAGAAATGCCCATTTTCCCATTGGCTGACCGAAACGGCTCCTAGATAACCGTTGCGGCCGAGAGCAGCTTCCGCTCCTCTCTGCGTCGAGGAACGTGGCGGCGCCTGAGGCGTCTCTATCGTCGGCGACCGCAACCTCGGCAGTAGCGAAAAATGGCCGTCCGACGTTAGTTACACCGCAGACAAACCAAGGGAGCGGAAGACCGACATTCATGCTTTCGCATTCACAACTCATAAGAAAAGCCTAGATGTCCTCGGATCTTTTTTTTTTTTTTTTTTTTTGCGCTGTTTTTACATTGATTAACGAATATCAACTCTCGACGGTAAACTTTAGCAGAGATAACTGTTCACGATCGAGCAGCATGTTTACGAGCGACACTTACAGCATACAGCTGTCACGTGCGCCGAAGACGTACAGATCTGGACTCCGTTGACTGCTCCACCGCCTTACATACTCGACATTTGAAAGGTACTCATCCGCACGTGACCGCTTCCACAATTTCCCAGGTTGCAGGTATATGCTTCTCCGTTCTCCGTCAATATTTCGCATAAAGCATAATATCCCCGAGTTCAAGGACTGCATCTCCGTATAAAAGCCACTGGTACGAGCAATAATTATTCGACGATGTCGTTAAAACAACATCGGCTAAAGCTTGCACGCGCAACAACCGCACCTTTTCTACACCCTTCAAATGGGAAGGGTGTTCCACGCAACCTTACATCAGATTAAAAAGGGCGTATTACTCGAAATAAGGGCCCCGAAAGGGCGTAACCGCTGGTGCAAGTCTCTCGAACACACTTTACACCCTTTAGGGTGTAGAAGTTTTTTCAGTGTGTAGGACACGAAATAGTTTCATTGTACGGAGGTTTAGACAGCCGGGAGTCGGCTCATATTAAAAATGGCGTTTCCGCTCCCGATGGGCAATTCGGTCGGAGCAGCGCTGCTGCTAACCTGCACTCTTTCCTGCTCGCAGATCTCGAGCGCTCCATTTGGAGCGCGCATATTCCGCTCGCAGGTCTGGTTCGACTTGGTCATCTTCCGCTCGTAGACCTCTGGCAGCCTTCGTGGAGCGCCTCCAACACCGCCGAACTGATCCGCGGGATTTCAGAGATCCAAACGGAAGTTGACAGAGCGCGCTACGCCATTTCCTGTCCCTCGGCGGTGGCGCATGCGCGACGAGGTCGGTGGGCCGACCGGCCGCGCCGTCGACGGTCGAGCTGCTCGGATGCATCGGTTGTTTACGCGGGATTGCGACGGCTCGAACGCTTCTACCTCGCGCAGAAAAGGGATGGAAAGCCGGCAGCGTGACAATTCGGAAGCGCTCACATCTCTGATCGTGAGACGAAGAACGAGAAAAAGAAGGACAGAACATCGGGAGGAGGCAGGCGCAAGGTTAGGCCTGTTCATTTGGCCGCCACTGATCGTTGACTTTTTTGACACTGCATGCCGCCGGCATTTTCTCGTGCAACAAAGCAAGAACCGATTAGTCAACGACCGTGATGGCTCGTTACTTCTCCGTTTATTAAAGTCGTATACCAGAAGTCGTATACCAGCAATCTGGACTCCACCGAAGGCAATCGCTGTGCGTGCCTTGCCGCTTCGCGGCGGCTGAAAGGCACCTCACGGTGCCGGGCGTCTTCCTCGTTACTTGTGACATGGGCTCCGTGGTATTTCGCCCGGCCCGTGTTATTTGTGCAGCTAAGCAGTGACAGTTGTCCCCGGTCGCCGGAAAGATCAGTCGGCTGAAGCCAACGTTACTAAAACACTCAGTTGGGAAACTCGCCGTCGAAACCTGGGCCGCTGGCGTCCACCGAGACCGAGCTAAATGCGACAACAGCGCCACTCTTTACCATTTGTCTGTACTGTGGTCACCTTGAGCTTTTTGAAAGCCTATTTTTGCGTAAAAACAAACGAAAAAGACACTTTTTGTATGAAATTTATTGGAGTTTAGTACCAAATCATGGACGCGTGATGTTTTTATCATATATAGTTCGCGAGGTTTTGCGGAACAATTAATATTGTTTTTATACAACCATGCCTCAGCGGGCCTTTCAGGTAGCGCGTCCAGACCTAGGTGGATTTTAACTTCAGATGTTGAACGCGGCGCGTCCGCCGGGGAGACGGGGGTGGCACCCCTGTAACCTCTACCGCTGTATCTGTTCTTAAAGCCAAAATAGAAGTCACGTGCAGTTTCTCGAGTGGCCGCTGCGGAAGAAATGGTGGCGTTGTGTTCGTCATTAGCTCGGTGCTCGGAGACGGATTGGGGCCACTTTTTGAAAGCTGTCTCTATGGGAGTTTCCCAACTGAGTGTTTTAGTAACGTTGGCTGAAGCGTTGGTGGGCTCGTCAAGTTCGAGCAGCGGCCATTTTGAACGGCCGAGGGGAGAGCGGGGGGTCGCTCCAAAAAGGCGAGTTCATCTTCCTCTCGCCGATTCGGACCGGGTCCCACGGAAAGGAATCTTGCCTCCCTCGCGGATTTTGGAAAACGCTACAGATCTGCGAGTGGAATTCATCGCAAGTAAAAAAAGGAGGAAAAAGGTAGCAACGGCGCGTTTTCCTCCCTTTTACCGACGTGCCTTCTCCAGGCGGACGGGAGTATATATATCTGTATATGACGATGAGGTTGCCTAAGGCGCAACCTAGGCGTGGCAAATATACAAAAGGGGAGCGCGGTGACGCCCCCCCCCCCCTATTTTTTTTAATTTTTTTTTTTTTTTGTGATGGCGCCTTAGGAGATTTGGTTAGGTCGCCCACCCCGGCCGGCCCTCCCGACTCAGCACGGCGAGGAATATATAGTGATAAATAAAGACGCCAAGTGCTGCTTTACAAAACAACTAACTATATCTTCGGAATCACCGGCCCTTACCCTTTCGGTATGCTATTTAGTACCACGAAATTGAAAATAATTATTGTAAAATCCGGAAAAAAAAATAAAAGAAGTCCAAACACCTTCAAACCTACCCGCGCTTCTCAGTGCCGTGACGTCAGTGGAAGGCAGGCTTGCAGGTCGAGCGGGCAATCTAAAATGCATGCGACTATGCCGAGCATTTGTTTCGCGCTCCTGCGCGGGTACTGAGTTTCCAAAGCATTCACTCGACACCACGAAACTGCTCTAATAGCCGATTCACACGACGGACCAAATCGCGATTTTCGTCCGCGGACCGTGTACCACGTGACCGGCACGTCACCGATTCCTGCGATCCGCGCCTCCTCCGCGGAGGCGCGGACTGATAAAGTCGAGCGCCTTTTTCACTCGCGGACGTTTGGCGGCAGACTGACTTGGAAAGCATTTAGTCTGGCAACGGTACATGGTTTTCTTGGTATTTTGCTTATGGTCGTTCAAAACAAAAATGGCGCGTCGTTGCGTTTTGTGCGTTTGTTGGTTCATTTTGTCGTACGATTCTTGGTTCCACGCGTGAGAGAAACTCCAGAAACTTTGTCCGGCTGACGCGACGCAGGTTCCGGTGCTCCTCCGGGTCCGTGTCAAGAAGCTCCCGTCAAAACTCGTCTAGCGCGCCGCGATAATTCTTGCACGTCCAATCAGGATTTCACCGAGCAAGCCCTCTCTTGTGGATGTGGTGTGCTTGAGTGTTGTGCACGAGCGCGGAGTGTGTGAAGGCATCTCCAAACGCCCCTCCGCGAGCCGAGAAGTTCGTCGCGTCTACGCCGAAGCTTTCTCGGGCAGGATCATGCCTGTGTCACTGTCATGCTTTGGGTTAGTAAAGTTAGTGGCGCTTCGCGCGAAGCCTGTCCCGGTGTTTTGTTCTCGATCTGTACGTAGCAGCGGCGTACGATTCTTTATCGCGGTAGCAACCGTCGATTTCTCTCTTGGACAACGGTGCTACTGTGCGATGTTGGAGTTTCGCGGCACTGTGGGGTGCGAACAGGTTCGGTCCGTCCTCACTGGCGTCTGCTCGTCGTCTCCCTCGTGTGGATGCGCCTGGGAGACGGACGAACCGCGGATATGTCGTCACGTGATCAATTCGTCCGCGGATCAGTCCGTCGTGTGAATCGGCTATAATCAGTTGGGAACGAAGTCTACAGTCCAAAGAGTTAAACGCTTGCCTTCCGCTGACGTCACTTTTTCATTGTTGCCAGTAGTGACTTTCCGTTTGAAAAATACGGTGAGGACCAAAATTAAAAATCCACTATCTTCGCGAAAAAAGGAAAAAAGAAAGGCTCGAGATACACCTATGGACTTTTATGAGTTGTGAATGCGAAAGCATGGACATCATTAGGGAGTTTTCGTAGATTGTTTTCGCCATCTTACAACGCACTCCGGAGCCCGCTACGATACCCGGAACTCTACAGTCCAGGCCATATCGAATCGCAGGCGCAGCGGTGGCTTCTTCGTTGCGGAGGTCTTAGCGGAGGTGGAAACGCGGTCTACGAAAGCTCCCTAATAGGGAGTTTTCGTAGACCGCGCTACCCCCTCCGCTAAGCGTTCCGCAACGAAGAAGTCGCTACTGCGCCTGCGCGCCGATAGCCTTGACTGTGGACTTCCCGCTATCGTAGCGGATTGCGGAGGGCCTTGCGGGACGGCGAAAACGATCTACGAAAACTCCCTATTCTTCCGCTCCGTTCTGCCGGCGAGGAGAGAGCGACGCTCTGACCTTGGACGCTTCGTGTTGGCGCTGCGTGTCCGGCCAATGGGAGCCCCCGTCGACGCGCGCCAGCCAATGGGAGCGAAGCCCAAAATCCATCAGCTTTATTCCGCTGCTTTGGGATCGGGGAATTTAAGTGCCGTTGTCAGGCTTTTCGCGTGCTTTCATAGCTGGGAGCTGGCTTCACTTGGACAAAGGATTTAAGGTGCCGTCTGGCGCGGCTTCAAAGCTGATGACGTCGGCTCGTTCCATGAGACAGTTAATGCCTTCGCATAAAAAAAAAAAATTCTGGTCCAATATCTGGGTTACTATATGAGCGATATTTGTTGGTGTTCAATGGGTTAAAACAGCGCAAAAAGACAAAGGATCAGTAATCGGGAGGTTGACGAAGCTTGCTTTATTGCCAACCATGACGCCGGCATGCATGCCAGGCACGTTGCCAAGGGGGGGGGGGGGAGGGCCCATGGGGCTCGGCCCCCCCCCCCCCCCCCCCGAATACTCCCTTTTTGCTGGGAACTTCTCTCCCCCTCCCTCTCATACAGCATTTTGTCATGGGCGGGTATCCTACCTACCTACCTACCTACCTACCTACCCCCCCCCCCCCCCCCCCCCCCCCGCCCCGAAACAATATCCTGGCTACGTGCCTGATGCATGCATAAGTGTTCCGTCACTTGCCCTGGTTAGTGATGAGATAAATTTTATCTGAAAGGCGGGTAAATACGCGTAGCCGCGTATCGGCCTGATGGAAAGATGACGTGTTATCGGGTCGATTGCTCGCATGTTTATCTCCTCTCAAGTTTACTCGCTGAATGGCGAGAAGTAAAAATTCAGATGTAAGTCAGCCCTGGTGTCTGCGTGTTTCCTTCTACTTCTCCTTCGTCTTTTTGCGCTCTTTTAACCCATTCAATATGACGATCAATCAACTCACCCAACTTTGCACTTTGCTGGTGTGTTTAGCAAATTTTCAGGCATGTTGGGGACTAATACAAAACGCGCCGAAATATCCCTTTAACAATTCGTTTTTTATTCTGCTTTCTGTATCTGGTTTGGCAGTTTGGTTTGTCTCAAGAGATAAGAAGAGGCGCATTATGGCCAGCATACTGGTGACGGCGAGCGTCCTTGCGCGTCGTTTTGACGAGAGGGCAGGATCTGGTTTCTTGCAAAGCAACGCAGCAACGCCAGGCCCGCATGGCGACTTCCGTCCAAACACCGGATCGGAAGTGCACCCACCGTGGCGTGACCTAAGCGATTCCTTTGGGCGCCGGCGGTGCGCGCTTTGCTAACGCAACCCTCGATCTCTTTCGTGATATTTGCCTGACGGGAGAAAAGTGTGTCGGGCAAGACAAGGCTCCAAGCGTCATCATCGTGAGCGTCGCTGCCTCAGAACAAGCGACGCTGAGTGGCGCCTTCCGGTCGGCGTATTTGCCGGTCGGGGATACGACGACGTACCGCAGACGGGCAGGGCGCCGGACCAGGTCCCGTTGGCGAGGCATCCCCTCGAGGACTGTCCGAGCAGGTTGAAGCCGCTGTCGCACGAGTAGGCCACCTGCTGCCCTTCTTCGTACGAGTCCCGGATCAGGCTGATGCGGCCATAGGCCGGGCGACCCGGGTAGCCGCACTTGAGACCTGCGAGGCACAAGCGCTCTCTCAGAGCGCTGCAAAGATTCCGACCGACTAGCCTCCTTAGAAGATACTTCCGATCGTTCTATTCGCGCAGCAACAAATCATGTCCACCACACCCCGAGTCTACGATAGGGAGAACGACACGCGAGCCTTATGCGTCGTGACGTCCCTTCCTAATCTCGGGGTCTGTCAAGTTCAAGCATCACCGTGTGCACCCTAACATTCGGATCATGTCCACTGGATATCTAATGTCACAATGGTGCCGCATCTGAGGCTATTCGCGAGCCTAAAAGAATGCCACTGGAGGACATCCACCGGAGACCTCGGAAACATGTTCGAGTGCTATGGGCGTTCGGCTAGTACAGCTGACTATTCCCCGGCTATCGGGCAATTCATTAGCCGTACGTACTCGGCACGTAATGAGGCGCGATCAAGCGAGGAATGTGACGTCACGATCCTCAGGTGAGAATGAGGGGAAGCGCTTCTCTCCTCCTCGCTTCGGTTCGCTCGAGGGGACGAACACGAGACGGAATGAGAATCGGTGTCGTGAGACGTTTTGTCAGCCTTGTTCAATCGTGCACTTTCCCAAAAATACGGCCATCAGTTAGAGATATCGCAGTATGAGTGATGTTTTTGGGTCTTGCAGCGTCCCACCTATCGCTCCAGCCTTGTTTTGTGAGCTAAAAATTTCGGTTCAGCATCCCTTTGAGTCAGAAATCGTACAGGCCATCGAAACAAGTACAGATCGAAACGCGAGTTACATTTGATCTTCGGAGACGAAACTGATCGATGGGCACTAGCGATTGATTATATTTATAAAATAATAAAAAAAAAAGAAAAAGAACAGTCTCGCGTTAATTCACAACACAGTGCCATCATTAGCTGCGACGCATCACAGCGAAGACGTTGGGCGTCGCGTTCATGCACCGTGGGGTGCGCCAACAAAAGCGTTCGGCACGAAATAGACATCTGACCATTTTGTGCCGAACACTTTTTTTTTGTTCCGGAGCGCGAGAGGGCGCGCCTCCCGGCATAAGTTCTTGGCATTGACGGTTCTACAACGTCATTTTGTTATCGGCTATTTATCCTTCCAGAGAGCGCGTGCAGGTGGGGCATCGGGTACTGCAAAACCCCTAAGTATACACCTTTCCATAAAAGCGCATTAGGGCGCTTTCATTGCTGTGTTTGTCTGTCGTGCACGCGCCCTTTCTGGCTAGCGCCGGCTGGACTGGGATTTAGCACGTGTGGACTGGGATTTTTGTAAACAGTGGAAACGTCCACAGACCTTTCCAGAAAAGAGCGTGTGGCCGGTGCCATTTTGAGTGTTCGTGCGTATGGCGAGTGCTTTGCTGGCTTTCCGAAGGGACGAACACGCACGTGCTGAGCTGTGAAGATCGCACGCTGGACTGTGATTTTGTAAACATTGGAAAGGTCTATAGAGTGGGTTCTTAGCGTATTATTTTACATTCTCAAGTGAAATGCATCGTACATTGGGGTTCCTTTTTACTGTCAAAATATAACAATAAAGAAGAAAAAAAAAAAAAAAGGGGGGGGGGGGGGGGGGGGGCGTAGGTCAGGGGCAACGCCTCCGCCTCGCAGGCAGCGGACTCAGGTTCGATTCCCACGGGCGACAGACCCTCTTTTTCGAAGGTTTGGCAACATGGGCGACGGACGTCCTACAACGCCAGCTACAGCATCCACAACGGACGTCAATCCCAGTGGCGAGAAGTGGCCAGAACAGCTATGCGTGTGTGTAACATTTGTCGTAGTGCCGAACCAAAATTTGGATTTGGCAAAATAAGGCCGCAGAAGCGTTAACCGGGACGCGAACCCCAAAACATCACTCGTACATCGATATCTCAAACGGATGGCCGTATTTTCGGAAAAGAAGGGCGCGATCAAGGAGGAATTTGGCGACATGGTAACTGAGTCTACTTGCTTTAAAGGGGCAGTCAAGTGGTTTTTGAGTTCGTGTTTTGATAATGACAGCTCAATTTAGACGCCTTAAGTATCCCTAAAAACCAAAAAGTATGATCATACGGTGATTATTTCTTTAATAAAAATGTAATTGAAGGCCGCCAAACCTCGGATCCATCCGAAAACGAAACCACTCTCATTGGTCGTCGCACGCTTATCAAAAGGATCTCGGGCCAATGGCGTTGGACGACGTTCCGTCGCGCAGTGATCCCGAGGTAGCCGCATCGGCCGAACCTCTTTGTCATTCGAGCTTTGATCATGGCGGAGTTCTCTACGCTCGAGGACCTGACGCCGTTAGAGGTTGAAGTTCTTCGGCGGACAGCCGACCTGGGGATGATTTCCTATGACGCCACTCCGACGTGCGATGTGGACGATAGCAGCGCTTCGGAGTCATGTTCGGGTTCCGAGGACGACGAAACGCAGACCTTTTCGGGCGTTCTTCGATTTGCGGTTGGGGCAAGTCGTAACCAAACCAACGTTTGACATCGCAGCGTTACCTCTGGTACGTGATATCAAACGATGTCGCCACGTTGACTTTCGCCTCGGGAGAACGGGGGAAAGGCTGGTTCAGACATGTGCAACGAGCGCGTACCTACGACTGCGTCCGTTGCAACCGGAACGACCGCACTGCGCCGCGCGTACACACACGTGTAACCAACAAGCGCAGCGGGTCGTGAGCACGGCGACCGCTTCTGTACGCCGCCGTCAGCTGTGTCAGCGGCCCCTCTAAAAAGGGGACGCACTGCTACTCAATGCCGTAACAGAATATAGACATACAGTTTTCTAGTCTAAAGCTTTATTATTTTTTCTTGATAGGCTTGCAGGGTACAGCGAATGAACAAAAATTAAAAAAAAAAGATGCAGCGCCGTCTTGGATGATCACGACTCTAATACACTACATTGCAATAGTACAAATATCGCCACACGCCTTTTCTACGATTATAAAAGACAATGTAATCTTAGCAGCGATATAGCAACGTAGAAATATGATTTCGTGATCAGATAGACGTTGCGAGCGTTCAGGATTGCTAACACTAATCACTTTTCTCCGGTGATGAAAACGCGTGAAAATTCGTATCCTTTATACGGTACGCGCCAGTAATACCTTGAACTTGAGCACACGCATGAAATGCGCCAAATCAGAAATCCGGGCGACGTTCGAGGACACAAATGCTTAGGAAGCACCACTGTAGTCGAAGTAAGCAAACACGACGGCACGGGCGTTTCTGCTATCTTGAGAGTGCCGCCACGACATCGCCGCACGAGTAGGCGGATGTTCCCTTCTAGTACGTGCTGGGTTATCATAGCGAAACACGACGAAAATTCACAGTCAAGGATAGCGCTTTTACGCGGAACGATGAGCTTTCACCAGGCCGTCATTCCGACGATCACCACCGACGCCACGTTTGCGGATAGAAGGAGCCGGCCGGGCCGCGACCGGCGCGACCGGCCTGCAACGCGCGGAGATACGTGCGCTTCCGCGCATCCCTGGGGAACGGGAAATTCACCTCCCGCGGAGAAAGACAAGGAGAAAACGTAGTCCCTTGTTTGTGAAACGATAATTGCGCTATCGCGTATTCTAAACTAGAAATATTTTACGTCTTGTGAAATTATCATGCACAACATATTTAAATGAACTGAAAATTGTTTTTTTAGCGAAACTTTAAAAAAGACCGCCAAAATTTTCAAACATACGATAATTTCATTGGTCCTCGCACGTACAGAAAAGAGTCCGCACTTATTCTATTCCTGCGTGATTAATAGGCGTTTCTGCCTTCTAAAACTGAAGATACTCATTCACTGACACTTCCTTAACACCATCGCACCAAAAAGTAGCTTCTCCAAAAACCGCTTGAGTGTCCCTTTAACTTCAGTTGCGAATGTCACGTCACGATTCTCTTGGAAGAGTTGAGAAAGAGGGAGCTGCCTCGCATCTCTCTTCCTCGCTTCGGTCCACCTGCTCGAAGGGACGAAGCGCGGAGGAGAGGGAGGGACAATCGCGACGTCACATGTCTCGTTGGCCTTGTTCAATCCAGGCACTTCTTTTGCAAAAATATGGCCATTCAGTGATTTTCGTACACACCCCCCTTGTTTTTCTGAAGGCACGCCCTTAATTCGCAACGACTCCTCTATTCTGAATGCCTGCCCCCCCTCCCCCTAATTTCAATTCCCGGGGAAACCCCTGCGGCGATCCGTTAGAGATATCGCAGTATGAGTGATGTTTTGGGGTTTTGCAGCGTCCCGCCCATCGCTCCAGCCTTGTTTTCTGAGCTCCGAATTTTGGTTCAGTATCAACGGTGGGGTAGAGACACAAGAGGTCCCGATCGGTGGTTCCGATGAACCCATAACGCTGGCGAGGTGTGCCTACATAGCTAATTTCTAGTGTACTTTGCGGGAAAACACGGGAATCGTGCATTGTATGAAAATAAATGAAGTTGAAAAGCGCTCGAGCAATATCAACTCGTCGCGGGAAAACGTGTACAGTCGTCGTCAAACTTATACGGAACATTTGTAAAATATTGAATGCAGAAAAAAAAAAAAAAATGAGAGAACTGCGCATATGTATGTGAACTGAAGGTATGCTAGGGACATAGTGGGACACAAAGAGAAATAGCTTAGGGCTAGCGCCAGTTATGCACGCACACATAGAAAAAAATAAATTAAATAGAACGAGCCAAGATTAGGCTTAGCATGTGTTCCAGATAAGTTTGCTGAGCACTGTACACGCCCGTCCTTCCGTCTGCTTGGTTTTTCTCACGGAATAAAAGGAGGCGACATACCGGCTCGAGCCAGCCAAGCATGAAAATTCCGAGGGAATAGAACTACTGGTCCTACTTCAGGTTTTTTCCTACCCTACTTGTCCGGATGTTGCAGTGCCTTAATGAGGCTCTCTGCCACTTCCACGAGAAGGCCGTGCGGATACCCTCTCGCCCTCTTCGATCAAATGGTCTATTGCACTGTCTCCGGGGTCATTCGAATGGGGGGGCCAGAGTGTCGAACCGGAACCGAGCAGTTACTTTTGGCCG